TCAGTTACAGAACCACACTGTGATATAATTGGTCTGCCAGGTGGAATTATATTTAATTCATTTAATCCATCATGTTGTATTTGTTTAAACGTCTCAGTTTCAAGGGTGAATTTTTTGGGAGAATATAAATTCTCCCTAAACGTGCATCTCTTAATTTTTGACCATTTGTTAAAAATTTGAATTATATATTGTCGATTATGCCTTGGTCTATAATGATTTAACATACTCAATGACCTGGATTTTCAGTTCTGCCATGTTAAATGAATCTAATTGGCAGTAATGTTGAGTATTTAGTTGTCTTGTGACTTCTGCTATGTAGTCTAGCCTGTCTAAAATAACACAATTTGAATTTTTATCTGCCTTATTACTATTGTTTCATCATTTTTCAAATTGCGTAGCACTATTCTTATGCCCTTAGTAAGATTGTTTTTTATATTTTTTTCTATTGGTAGAAAAGACAATTCAAGCTTTGTTAAATCTATATAATCTTCCAACGTATATCACGTAGAGGCAGGTTTATATCTTGTATTGCTACGAAATGGATGAAGGTCAGTTTTTTCTTGACTGAACATATACCGACATTTTTCGCCAACAGGATATATTCCTGATTTCATATGTGGAATGTCATATTACAGTCATGAGCATGAAATTAAACAAAACAAAAAATATGATTCCAAAATAAGTGGATCAAGAAATTTAAAACGAGACAAAATAAATTATTTTTCAATGCATGTTATTCCCCATAAAAAAGAGAAGCAGTTTTTTTTTTTATTATTATTTATATATATCTTATTCTTTATTTTATTGATTTTGACAATATTTATACATGTTGTATAAAAATTTAAGTTTGTCTGATTATTCTTTCTTATTTCATTTGCATAAGTCTTTGAATTTTTAAATGTCTTAAACATTGTAAAATCTGTTATTCATTTAGTTTTTTTTTGGTTTGTTTCTTTTTTGTTTTGTTTATTTTTGGGAGGGGGGAGGATTTGAGCTGGGGGAGGGGGTAATTACAGCGTGCGCCCCATCACACTTTCATAATGAGGGATGGAGGAGGCAAAACATATTTCTTTGTTTCACTTTGTTTGTATGAACATATGTACATGAATGTATGCTTTTTTCTTAGTGTGGAGGGATATATACATGTATAAATGCATGGGTGTAGGAGTCAGGAAAAGGGACCATACCCGCTTTACACATTTGCAAAGGTGAGGCAATTTATTGTGTTATTAAAATATAAAGTGGCTTCGAAAGTGGACATTAATTTATTTCTAGACTATGAGACTATTATGATAGAAAGTATAGATTAAAGGTCTTTTTATTGCTTTTTTCTTGTCACTTTAAGAATTTATCCCCTCCCCCCAATTTCTCAACTTTTCAATCTACTCCTACTTCACTTACATAGGCGGATCCAGGGGGGCCCTAGGGGCCCGGGCTTCCCTTTCGTGGGAAAAATTTGGTTGATTATATAGGGAATCACTGAAGCGTGACTGGAGCGGCTCCCCCTTAGGTCAGTCAGCGGGTCCCCCCTTACAAAACGCAAAATCCCTAATAATTAAAGACTAAATATCTCCAAACATCGTGGTACATAAACCGGTATGCACATTTTTTGTGTTCAATCTGTTTAATCATACAATGTCTTAAATGCAAAATGTATTACTTTCTAATTAAAAACGTCGTACAAGTCAGATACAAAACAATAGTAACATAAACTGTTATCACAGAGATATGTCTCGCCTTTTTGTAATTTTGATAATGAGATGTGCCAATGCTAATACAACTGCATACCAAATACCATTGACTTATTATAAGTCTTTCCCTTTAAACAAACCTAAACACAAACATTAACTTGTAAACTATGTAAAAGTTTCAAAGTCAATGAACCATGATTAGGGTTGGAGCTATATAATAAATTTGCATACCAAATATCATTGACTTAACATTAACAGTTCATCTTCAACTGATCTAATCACAAGCTAATACATGTAAACTAAGCAAAAGTTTACAATTAAATTGACCATGACTGAGGGGCGGGGCCAAATATTATCCATGGAAATGAGATGTGCTAATGCTTATACAACTGAACACCAATTAACATTGGCCTACCACTAATGGTTCCCCTTGAACTGACCTAATCACAAACTAATACATGTTAACTTAGCAAAATTTTCAAAGTCTATAGACCAAGACTAAGGGGTAAGGGGGCGGAGCCAAATAATCTCCATGGAAATGAGATATGCCAATGCTTATACAACTGCATACCAAATATCATTGACCTACCACTAGTGGTTCCCCATAAATTGACCTAATCACAAACTAATACATGTAAACAATGAAAAGTTTCAAAGTCAATAGACCTTGACTGAGGGGGCGGGGCCAAATAATCTCCATGGTAATGAGATGTGCCAATGCTAATACAACTGCATACCAAACATCATAGACCTAATCACAAACTAATACATTGTTGACGCCGACACCGCCGGAAACAGCATACCTATGTCTCGCTTTTTGACTCCGTCAAGGCAAGACAAATATAAAGCAGATGGTAACAATCAACCGTATAGTTTTTCTGCGCTTGTATTCAGGTCAAGGTCCTTGGCTTTCGCCTTGGACTTTACCTGACTACTCGTGCAGAAAAACTATACGGCAACAGTTGTTACCAGCTTGTTTTTTTTTTGTTACCTTTGGTTCTGTATCTAACGCTTACTACATGTAACTTGAATTATTGATCTAATCACCCAAAACTAAATTTTTACATGTGACGACCCTTGTATTTGATTTATCTTTGTTGTCATATTACGTGTCATGCATGCATGACACGTATCTCATCAGATCAGCCATGTCTATTACGGCTCTTTGTTTAATTCTAAAGTTGTTGGGCGGTCAACTTTTAGTTACAATTATACGTGACTATTTTACCTTTTGACCTTTATCAAACATGTAAAAGTAGGTCATATGGCATGTATGGTCACATGATCATTTAGTTGAAAACCTTGTGCTGCTTACTGTTCTCAAGGAATAACTGCAAAATTAAAAGTTAACCCTACCTTTTTTTTGGCCTTCATGCAGAGTTACCCCTCATTTGATCACCATGCACAAACAAAATATTCTAATGCATCACCTAAGCATCTAACAAAAAACTCTTACGTACATCTGACTTGTAAAACTCAATTGTTGTTGTTACAAATAAGTTTATCAAAAAGTCTTTTGCACTGAGGAGAGTGGACACCACACCTGCATAATCACTGAGACTACTTATGATAACCCTATGTGTTATAGTAGTCTCAAATAATCATCACTAGTTTTTTGGGTTTTTTTTTTTACTATTGGTATATATATATGATGTTTAATTAATATTTCATAATGTTTGCATTGTGTATATTGTTGTATTGTTTGCCTTCAACCCCTCAGGGTACAATCAGGGGTACTACTTGTACAAATCATTTTTTATATACTTGAAGAAGTAAATATTAATATACTTATATAAGTAAATGTGTAAGATACTTATACAAGTGTATTTTATTTACTTGTATAGGTAAATTATTTTATTGGCTTATTTATGTCCCTTAGACATTCAGATTATTTACTTATAAAAGTAAAAAAGTCTACTACATTGTACTATCTCTTTTCTTGATTTTCTCCAGACTTCTTTGCTCTAATATAACAGACTCCCAGGCACTTAGTTTTTCAATCATTTTAATGTCATTCAATCAATGTATAATGAAAAAAAAATTAAATTTCAAAATGGTATTAGCCATGACTTTATATCAACTTGTGGAGTAAAACAATGGATGTACTTAGCCCAACTTCATTTAACCTCTATATAAATGGCCTTGTCAATGACCTTAATCATGCAAACACTCAGCCAGCTGTAATAATGGATGTTAAACTAACATCATTATTATAAGCAGATGACATTATTTTATTATCAGAAACCCAAGAAGAGCTACAGAATGCACTTAATGAGCTAACTAAATATTGTTCCCTTTGGAAACTTGATGTCAACAAACAAAAATCAAAAATAATCATATTCAATTCTAATGGGAAATTACATTGTAATTATTCTATTAAAAGTAGAAAATGGGCATCTTGAGACTGTTAATTCTTATTGTTACCTTGGAATAACAATAAATTATTCAGGCAATTTAAGTCCTTCCAAAAAAAATCTTTTGAAAAAAGGAAGAAAGGCTTGGTAAAAACTTAAAATAAAAAGCTTCGCTGAGCGCAGCTGGATACGACCGCAGAGGTCCAACCCTGAACAGTTGGGGTGAAAATGGATACAATATTCGTGCTTGATACAGGTCTGAATTTGGATTGTAATTAAATATTTGACACATAATAGGTTTCTGACACTGAATAACAGTAGTCAAAGAACTTAGAATTGGTTATATGATTTGAATTTATATTGAATCTTTTGCTTTTGAGCAATACACTATCCTGTTGCGAATTGATCCCCACCCCCAAACATAAACAACAAAAAATTACCCCCCCTTTTTTTTTGCTTTGAGAAATACACTTTGCTGTTGCGTATTGACCCCCCCCCCCCCCCCCCCAAAAAAAAAAAAAAAAAAAAAAAAAAAAAAAAAAAATACCCCCCTTTTTTGGCAAAAAAAAAAAATTTGAAGAAATTTTCTTTTTAATTTCTGAAATCTGAAATAACTTTTATTTTTGGTACTTTCTGGAGTAATGAAAAAGGTGCACCGTAAAAGCCAGTTAAGTTTTTAATTTTCTAAAAGAGAAAATGTATTTGAATTTTATTTATCTAGAGCATGCTATGCCTTAAAATTTATCCAGATATTCAGGTTTGTCTGTACTCAGAGGTGAAATTGCAGCCATTTAACCCAAAGGGTCCACATGAACCTTAAGCTGATCGTGTATGACATAGTTTACCTTGTACGCCTTACCCACGTGGCCTTACCATTCATTTAAATCTCCTAAATTCTATAATTGCTAATCAACTTATTAATCTAGTATTAATAAAACAAATTGAAAAAACTTACCTTCATCACCCAAGTACAATCGCTTCGGTCCCTTGTTTTGTCCTCGCTAAGAGTACATCGACTCCATTATTGATCATTTTAAAACAAAGCCAATCGTGGTCATTTGAACGTTTGTTTACAACAGCTTTGAAGGCGGTGAATAAATCAGTTTTATAGTTTACCACTTGTATTAAAATACTTTGAATTTTTGTTTATGTATAATTATGAATATAATTGTGCTGTTTGTTAATTTCTATCGTATAATGTTTATATAATGCTTGGAGAATAACCCACGATTAATGATGTATATAAGCACTTGTGTGACAATCGTCAGTAATAATCTATTTTTTCATTGGTAGATATTTTTAACTTGCAGTGAGCTGTTTCCGTGGCGGGGTATTCAAACTAAATATTCGACATAGGTATATTGCTGTTTCTTTTCTTCATTAAAATAGAGGATTCATTTGCAACAAAAGTTTAATTTATTTCCTTTGTGCAACATTAGGCCCAATTAAGCTAGACAACACGTACGCAAATGGGTGAGCTCGCTGGTTTTTTTAAATTTTAGAGCACACTAACCAGAGACCTATATACACATGTTTATATATGTATCTGTACGAACCTGCCACACAGTGAGTATCGAAAAATGATCTATGTCAATAAATCTATTTTTTATACATTTCGAGATCAAGCAAAATTAATATATAATTATATTTGCGTATATCTACGCAGGGACTTTCTTTTATATACAGGACTTTCTATACTAACGTTAGTATAGAAAGTCCCTGATCTACGTTATTATTTTTATGTGTAAAGAATACCAAGAGCATTATAACTTATTATAAAAAATCATTTCGTAGATAAAGGATTTTAATTGTTTTTAGTTTTTAGTTTTTGTTTGGTTTTTTTTTCTGTATATAAAAATATTTCGTTAATCTGGGACATATTATATTGTTAGTTATATTATTCCCAGCGTACATAGAGCTGAAACATGTATGATCATGCATGTATGGTAGTATCTATGTCTCTGCATGGATACAGTTAGAATTCAATTTACGTATGTACAGAATTATTTTTTGGGGTTTATACAATAATTATTTCTGTATTATTATTAATGTTATCAGAGACATATAATAAAAATGTATCATATGTCTCTGATTGAATGTGTATAATTATGGTACAATTGTACATGTGCATAAGTCTTTTTTTTCACCTTGATACCCCGCCATTATAAGTGGGGATATCAATGTTAAAAATATATGAAGAACAAAACCTATCGCATCATTTCAAGGCCGATTGTTTTATGGTGTTCTCTTAATCGTCCATATTTTCAAGTAAGAGATGCATATGTTAAAATAAAAACAAAAGAATAATAAACAAACCTCTTTCCAGTATTATTACAATAGAGTACAATAAACTTATTTTATCACTAAATTTCGCATAGTTGCCAATCTCTTGTATTACAATGTATATGTTCCGGACCATATAAGTATTTGGACCATACGCGTACATACTCATATGGTCCGACCATACGCGTATGGTCCGGGTAATTGACAAGATGAACGTCGAAAAGGTGTCGCATAAATTAAGAGTTTCGAAAAATGAAATTTTGACTTATTCAATCATATGGTAGTCATATTTACATGATAAATTTAGTAGAGTGAATGTTACTTACAAGTAAGAATTATAGTAAAATTGATAATTTTAACATGGTCATTATCGATTTGTTCATACGAAAACGCAATATGTCGACTTTGGAAAATTACTTCAAGAAAATTAAATATCTAAATGAACTGTTAAACAATAAGTAAATCGCTTAACTCACAGGCACTTTGGTCATTCGTCTTTTGGTGTTTAAATTTGTTTTATTAAATTATAATTTCTTAAACATTTCTTATTGTTTTTAGTAAATTTGTTCATGTGTTCTAATCTTGCTCCTATTCATACGATCTTACAATGACAGTAAGATGGTATGAATAGAAACAAGAACACATCAATTTAATGAACATAAGTAGAAATAAGAAGAAATTTTGTTTCTGAAATAATAATTTAAACACTAAGAAAACAGAAAAAAATCCATGCCCCAAACGCATGTGGTTTCGACGAATATCGGCAGTATAAAGGAGATTAATTTGAATTGACTCTTAGCGAATGCAAGATATCAGACACACCAAGATTTAGACCATATGTAAAAGATAAAAGAATTCAGATATTAACTTGTTTCGTTTTTTGTTCAGAGAATGAGCTGTGTGTACCTGCAAAGAAAGATAGAATTATTCGAAAAATATCCATATGGTCTTAATACTCGTATGGTCCGGCCCGTTAATAAAATCTAATTAAAATATAGAACTCGGATTTCGTTATACTCGTATGTAGTATAAAGAAATCCGAGTTCTATATTTTAATTAGATTGGTTAATAACCAAACGAGTATAATACTCATATGGTCCGACCATACGCGTATGGTCGGACCATATGAGTATACGCATATGGCCATGACCATACGCGTATGCAGGCGTAGTTACGTTTACGTCAAAACGCACGGGCGTACACATGAATTTTGGGGAAAATATATTTTAATCTAAATACATTGAAAGATCTGGCTTAAAGCACATGAGCCTTGTAGTTCTTGATCACTGACTTGTAATTAAAGATAACAGTCGGAAGAAATTTACTTTTTAATCAAATGGTATCATATTATTTATTTGTTCGTTTCTGTCAAAATCTTAATCTACTGTGAAGTATCCTCCCTTTCCTATAGTTTAAAGCAATTCATTATCTGCTGAGATACGATATGCAGTTTTGTCGAGCCTGCGAGACATAGCAATCCTAGATTCCGTAATCGGCGTTGGCGTCGTCAATATTTATGTTCAGCCTGTAGTTAATTTTTTTTAAAAACATCAATAAATTTTGTCAAACCTTCATGAAACTTTACAGAATATAGGCAGAAACATTTTTATGATCAAAAGAGTATCCAGACCATAATTTACTTTAAATTTTTCCGCATTTTACTGAAAAGAACATTGTTTTTATTAGTTAACAAGTAGATACCGTTTGTTACGCATCAATTACTTTGTCAAAACTTCATCGAATTTTATGTAAAAATGGTAACACCAACTGAACCATTTTTTTTGCACCAGATGCGCATTTCGACAATTAATGTCTCATCAGTGATGATCGAGGCCGAAATATTTGAAAACCCAAAGCCTAATAAAACATCGGAAGAGCGCGCTAGCTGATCAAAATAAAACGTACCTAAAGTATAGCCAATTCCGGACAAAGAATCAGAGCTTTGCATGGGAGAGATATATTTCTTTATTTTAAAATGATTTCAAGACTTTTATAACAGTCAGCAAATTTCAGTCTAAAAATTATATATTTTTTTATTTTTTAGTATTTTACCATTTTTTTGGAGGGGGGGGGGGGGGCAATTAACAGACGGTATTGGATTAAATATTTTTCACCTGCTACGTACATTTGTAATCTTTCATAGATTGTTATGAAACTTGGACAGAAGCTTATCTTCCAAGATCAAGAAAAAACATTTAAAGAAAAGTTTGATTTCTTTTAAATCCTGTATTTGGCTGATAAAGTAAATGGATTCACTTTTTACAGTTTAATTTTTTAACCGACAGCAGCAATCCACGGAACCCATTGAGTATGTTCATATCACACCTGACCATCTATGAAAATTTATTATTGCATGTGTACATTAACGAAATTTGCGCATAAAGGGGAGAAAACTAGATTAAGTCATAATAATCAAAAGAACGACACCCTTGCTTATAGTGCTTTATTTTGTGCTATGTAACTTATTGCATGTGTATTAATTGTTATGTCTTGTAGTATGTCGGTTAAACACTCATTAGAGCCACAGACACTTGTCTCAGAAAAAGGTATATAGGAATTTTTTTTCTGAGACAAGTGCCTGTGATTAGAGCTTATGTTATGTCCGTATTTGTCATTGCGGCGTAGCTTACGTTGAGGCAACCGAGGCAGTTGCCTCTTTAAAAAAAGTATAAAAAAAAATAAAAATAAAGAAACTTTTCTTTATAATCTTCTAAACAATTTTCACAAAATGTAGCAGACTCGTTACTAAACGCTTACACACCGACTTGTATTGTCAGTCTTGTTGCCGTTATTGATTCATACCCTTTGCAAGTTCAAGACTTATGGAAACATTTCCCTCCTCTTAGTCTTATCAGAGACATATATACACACTCTGTGTATATATGTCTCTGGTCTTATCTCCTTGTATGAATCAATAACGACAACAAGACAATTTGGTGAAAATTGTTTTGAAGATTATAAAGAAAAGTTTTTATTTTTATTTTTTTCTTATATTTTTTTTAAAGAGGCAATTGCCTTGGTTGCGTCAAAGTAAGCTACGCCAATGTCATCGCGGCCTATTTGCATATGAAGACTAATTTCCTGGATAAAACTTTAAAATGGGTGGGCTTCAGGCGGCCGAATAGAGAATAAAGGGCAACTGAAAAGGGGGCTCCAGTAGGGTGTCCCGTTAAATCACAATGTCACGTTTAAAAATTGCTTCAGTTCACTATTATGTATATAGAGTTCTAAACTGATCTGTTTCTCGATTTCGACCATTTTAACTGAGCTACGTCACTGGTTGCAAGTAAGCATGTCGGATTTAGACATATTGAAACCACAAAAAGAATAGACAAAAATAAATGATGCAATAAAGTCCCAAAACATAACTTGAAGAATAGAGACGGGGCAAAAAAATAAAGAAGAAGAGAAAAAATGTCCCACAAAATTAAAGAATATAGAAATGAAGACCCATCGTCTCCATCCTGTCCAGACCCTCTTGCACATGCACTTGCATGTCTCTGAAAGAAATACATATACACCTTTATATAATAGACATCAGGGTGTAACGTGGGTCTCATTTGGGTCTAAGCGTGACCCGGGATTGCCGATTTTTTGTAAGCGTGACACGTGAAAGTCAAATTATTGTGCCGTGAAAACGGGAAATGAAGTCTAGCGGGACACGGGAAATTACAAAAAAATGAGAATTGCTTACGTACATAGTGTAAGCGGGATACGGGAATCTGACAAAACAGTAAGCGGGATCCGGGATCAGAACCCCCCAATGAGACCCCCTGTATAGAGAAAAACTTGTGTCTGTCGTATTCTGGTTAATTTATTTTCACGGAATGTTTGCCCGTTGCCGAAGTGCTTTTTAAATTTTCAAAAGGTAAGTAGAAAACAAGGTCACAGAGACAGCTAGTCACAGAAATGATCAGTTGAAATAGAACGTTGTATTTCTTAGTTAATCACTGATAAAAGGTACTAAAGGTTGATTAAATTTTAATTACAATGTATCCTACGCATACGATTGTAAACAATGCTTTCTGTTATTTACGGATACGATATTGGATGGGGTTTACAATTACAATAGTCAATAGACAATAGACAATATTTATTAGCACAAACACATTTACATTAAATGGTCATGGCATACAGTATTGAGACAATAAACTGACAATTAAATTGACTATAATTATATTAGAGTGACGGGGGTATTCACAGGGGAAAAAAAAAAGACCATAAATATGTGTGTATCGACAGTTATTTAACACTTCATGTATAAAAAAAAAAATTAGGATACATATTTAATAAAAGAAATATGAGTTATACAGATGTTCTCAATAAAAAACAATCATTAATATACTTTATGGTCATTTTTATAATGACTGGCAGACTGCTATTTAAAAGTGCGGTCATAATAAAGCCTCAGTGTTATAATCTGACTGAAATTTAATAAAATTGAAATTAAGATTTTTATTAATATTTTGTATATAGGTGTCCCTCAATGATATATAGCATGGACACGCTGAGAAGAAATGGTATTCATCCTCAATTTCTTGTCTATTACAGGATAAGCAAATGCGTTTACTAATCTTTCGATGTTGGTATAACACCCCCTTTCAATTGCTAGGGAATGGGCACTGAGTTTAAGTTTACTGAAAACTGATCTGTCAGTTTTGAATTTACATATATCAATATACGGGGGCCTTTTTCCAATTTTTTTAGTCTTACAAAAAAAAATTAACTTTTCACATTTATGGATAGAACAATTCATAATTTGATATGCCTGGTCAAAGATTCTTTGTTGGATAGTATTTATGTAATATTTTAAATTAATAGTATCAAAAGTAAGATGGCCAAAACCTAATTTATTTAACCAGTCTTTTACAATGTTAACCCATTTACTTGTTTTCTCTACATTATTATATATGTTGTAGACTAAAGAATTAGGTGAGTTCACAATGTGGTTTAGAAATTTTATAGCTGAAAGCTGAAATTTAAGTACAAAGGGGTTCTGTTTGTCTAAGCTAGACAAGCTACATTTGTTGTTTTGCACTGTACCCCTAAAATTTCTTTAATAAATTCGTATATTGGTATGACGTTGGCGTCGTCGTCGTTGTCCGGCGTCATCCTGCGTCGTCCGAAGACACATTGGTTTTCGCACTCTAACTTTAGTTTAGGTGAATGGATCTCTTTGAAATTTTACCATAAGGTTCAATACTACAAAAGGAAGGTGGGGATTGATTTTGTGGGTTATGGTAAAAACAGTTAAGGAATTAGGGGCCAAAAATAAGCATTTTTGTAACTTTCAGACATAACTTGTGTGTTAGTGTATGGATCTCTCTGACATTGTACCACAAGGTTCCATATCACAAAGGGAATGCTGGGATTGATTTTGGGGGTAATTGCCTCAAAATATTAGGAATTAGGGGCCAAAAAAGGGGCAAAAAACAAGCATTTTTCTAATTTCATGACAATAACTTGTGTTAAAACGTATGGATCTTTCTGAAATTGTACTACAAGGTTCCATATCACAAAGGGAAAGCTGGAATTGAGTTTGGGGGTAATTGCCCGAAACGTTTAGGAATAAGGGGCCAAAAAGGGGCCAAAAATAAGCATTTTTCTAGTTTCCAGACAATAACTTGTGTTCAAGTGTATGGATCTCTCTGAAATTGTACCACAAGGTTCCATATCACACAGGGAATGCTGGGATTGATTTTGGGGGTAATTGCCTCAAAAGTTTAGGAATTAGGGGCCAAAAAAGGGGCAAAAAACAAGCATTTTTCTAGTTTCATGACAATAACTTGTGTGTAAGTGTTTGGATATTTCTGAAATTGTACTACAAGGTTCCATATCACAAAGGGAAAGCTGGAATTGAGTTTGGGGGTAATTGCCCGAAATGTTCAGGAATTGAGGGCCAAAAAGGGGCCAAAAAAACACATTTTTCTAGTTTCCAGACAATAAGTTGTGTTCAAGTGTATGGATCTCTCTGGAATTGTACTGCAAGGTACCATACCACAAAGGGAAGGCTGGGATTGAGTTTGGGGGTGATGAATCATAAGGGGGTTCAAAAAATTTGGGGGGGAGATTTTTTTTTTTCTCCTTTTTTTTCTTTTTTTCCTTTTTTTTTTCTTTTAAAATTTTCCATTTTAAGTTGGTTATTTCTGATTTATATTTAAAAGCAAATAATAATGATATGGTAGGAGATACACACCAAACAGGATGTGTAAATTATTATATAATAAGTATTGTGCAATAGCAAAAAATTTTCAATTGAACAGTATTGCACAATAGCAAGAAATCTTCAATTGCACAGTATTGCGCAATAGCAAGAAATCTTCAATTGCACAATATTGCGCAATAGCAAGAAATATCCAATAGCACAATATTGCGAAATATCAAGAAATTGTCAATTGTGCAGTATTGGGCAATAGCAAGAAATATTCAATTGCACAGTATTGTGCAAAAGAAGATACTTCGTATAAATTGCTTATTTCTTGACCAATTTCAATGGGATTTTATTCTTGAATTCTTGGGGTTCTTTAATATGCTGAATCTAACCGTGTATTAAGTTTTTGGATTTTGGGCCCCGTTTTTAAATTGGTCCACATTGAGGTCCAAAGGGTCCAAAATTAAACTTTGTTTGATTTCATCAAAACTTGAATTATTGGGGTTCTTTGATATGCCGAATATAACCGTGTATTTAGATTCTTAATTTTTGGTTCCGTTTTCAAATTGGTCTACATTAAGGTCCAAAGGGTCCAAAATAAAACTAAGTTTGATTTTAACAAAAATTGAATTCTTAGGGTTCTTTGATATGCTGAATCTAAACATGTATTTAGATTTTTGATTATGGGCCCAGTTCTCAAGTTGGTCCAAATCGGGGTCCAAAATTAAACTTTGTTCGATTTCAACAAAAATTGAATATATGGGGTTCTTTGATATGCTGAATCTAACCATGTATTTAGATTTTTGATTTTTGGGCCCCATTATCAACTTTGTCCGCATTGAGGTCAAAAGGGTCCAAAATTAAACTTTGTTTGATTTCATCAAAAATTGAATTCTTGGGGTTCTTTGATATGCTGAATCTAACCATGTATTTAGATTTTGGATATTGGACCATAATAGGTGAATGTCAAATTTAAAATTTTTAAGTTCTTAGACCACATTCATTCTGTGTCAGAAACCTATGCTGTGTCAAATATTTAATCACAATCCAAATTCAGAGCTGTATCAAGCTTGAATGTTGTGTCCATACTTGCCCCAACTGTTCAGGGTTCAACCTCTGCGGTCGTATCAAGCTGCGCCCTGCGGAGCATTTTATTATTTTATATGTAAATGTTCAAATGGATCTGAATCTTTGAACACTTCGCTTACACCCAATACTTCACTTCCATAAAGAGTGATTGGGACAACTAAAGTATCAAATAGTTGAACTTGTCAGAAGAGACTTGGCAAAATGAAAAGAGAATTTAGAGAAAACTAGGCAAAATGGGCAAAACAATGAAAAGAAAGGACTATTTAAAATAAAGCATAGGGAAAATGGGCAATAAATATAAATAATGGATAAAAATTCTGAACAGAAATGAAGACCCAACTCAGATTTAAAACAAAGAAAATATGCAAATTTTGGTAATTTTAAATAACACACATTACTTGTTCTTAATTTACCAGGAATAGCTATCTGCTTTCTTGCAAGCAGGATGAAATCTATCACTCTTTCTTGTTCACACAGGTTGGCGAAGGGCATTAAGGGCATAAGATACAGTTACAGGGGAGGTAATGATGTTGCTAATGAAAATGTTATTTATGCGACGACAAACTGTGACATATCGGGTAAAGATGCATTTTTCGACTGATTTTTATCATTCAGACTGATTTAACTTTAAAACGAGTTCATGGACCCCTCTATTTTAAAATGACATTAGGTTTGATTATGTATGAAGATCATTTGTACCAATTTTTATGAAAAAGTCACTGATGGAAACTTTTTAAGTTAGATAAATATACAGCAAAAATGATGTTTTTTTTTCTAAAATCATGAAACTTTGATAAAAATTAAATATTTCCAAAGAAATTTTATACAAATTTAGAGCATATACTTATGTAAAGAAGATTTTCTAAATGTTTTTACAAAAATCCGCTTTTGTTTATCTTTTGAAACAAAAAAGTTAGGCATGTCTATCCAAAGGATAGAAATGTCAAAAAAACTGAAATTTTGAGTAAATGTATAAAATTTTGACCCCATTTATCTCTTAAAGTAGCACATAAAGGTATATTTTTTATTACATATTTGAATTGACTAGGTGAAAAATAGATTGTATGCCAATTTTCTTAAAAAGATCACTGTGGGATCAAAGCTGTATTGTATGCCCTTAAATGAGTATTATCCCCATTTATGGGTTTTCCCATACATACTCTGGTACATGTATCAATTTTCAGTAATAAAAGTTTGAAATTTGAATTTCAAGATATTTGCTGTCATGAGGCAAACATTCAGGTAAATGACAACATTTCGCCCAAAGACACCATGACTGAAATATCATCTGGACAAGTTCTTTATTTATACATCTTCAAAAAGTAGGATTTTTGGAGGTCATTTTCTTTGTATTCAGTGATTGATCATTTCAACTAGGGTGACTTTTTAAAGGAGAAATGTTGCCATATACATAAATGTTTGCACCATGACAGCTTTTATGATGAAATACAAAATCTTATGATTTTTTTTATCACATTGTAAGTTGATACAAAATGTACAAATCAAATCAAATAAAATAATTTTATTAGTGTAAATTCCAATACAGGAATGATATCAGCTGACATTTACAAAATACAATTACTAAAATGAGCAAAGACAAATATACAGAGGCATATTTGTACATGATTTTGGGTCAAGGATCCGGAAATTTTTTCACACAATTTCGGTCATTTTTAGATGATTGAAAAGTTGGTGCCCCTTTTCAAATAATTTTGTCGTCATCAATGTCGATGTCAAACTAGATTCATAGCATCAACGAACTTGAATTGCTGTCATGTGTTTCATCGCATTTACAACAAGTAAATTTCTTACCATTTTTCTAAAAACCTTCAAGAACAGTTTAGGGAATGCAACAGTTTAAAATAGAAATGATTTTAATGACTCAAAATGGTCAATTTCTCAGACATTGCTACCGTTTCTTTCGATTTGACAAAATTAAAACCGGAAGTGAACGATAATATTAAAGTACGGAAATTCCGGATTCATTTCCGGGATTCGTTTTGTTTATCAAATTGACAGGAAATCACCGGCTTTTTAATTTTATTACCTGTAAAAGTGTTTGAATATAACAGTTAATAGTTGCATTCGTTTACTTTAGCATGAAATCAATTTGCATTTTACGATTAAATATTTAATTTGCTGAAGACAACTTCACGCATGCGTATTACATAGTAAATAAAGCATGTGTGTTACTCGTGAAAAAAATACTTTTTTCTACTAATAGATAAAATTAAGGTTTAATTTTAAATCAGAATTGATGATTGTCTTTGCTGAAAAGTAATTAAATAATGAATACACTTGTCAAGGAATTTTAATTTCTTTAAGATATTATTCTGAGCTTGTGGTCAATGTCAGGTGTGAATTAAAAACTCAGGTAAAAAGTAATTAGTGATCATTAGCCAATGTTTCCCGGAGGCATTGATATAGTTACAAATGTATTAGGAGGGCCCTCAGGATTATCAAACTATACTGGAGTGGCAGTTTTATTACAGGAAAGGGATTATAAACAAAAACAAGTGATCACAAGTGCAAAATGGCGATTAAGAAATCTGATTTAAAACATTGAGTCAATGAAATGACCGAAATTATTTCTGTTAAAAAATGTGAAATTTGTCCTAAACCCCAATTACTCATTTAGGACAAATACTTTCAGTTTAGGACATGACTGGCAAATATGACCGTTTCCGGACCCTTATTTTGGGTGTAATGTACACATAGAATGGGACAGTAACCATTTATGACGATTTTCCCCAACCTGTTACATTATTTACATATATATACTGATGACAAATGGGGGAAGAAGCTGTAAGGACAGACAACCTTGTGCACCGTTAACGTTTACACTGAAACCAAATGATAAAGCAATATTCAAGACTTAACCACCCTAAAGCAATGATGAAATCTGTGGTTCTGGAAGTTGCATTAGCCATTACACAAAATTCCTAAGTAACACATAAAAAAAACAATGGAGCAAGGTTTTAATTGCTGTTCTTCATCTGTAAATAGTAAAGAAAAGAAATCATATCTCACTTTAAGTTCAAGATCAATCAAAAGCCTTTAGCCTTTAGCATTACATGCATGATTCATCAATTATAAAGACAACTTAACACTTTATTAGAGCAATTAGTCAAGAAATGCAAGAATATATGTAGAAGAAAATATTACTTTCCTACTTATATCCTGTAGTATTCAAATACAACCTAGATGACTAAGGGAAATAACTCTGCCTCAAAATTTTAGTTACCAGACTACCAGTACAAAGTAGGAAATACATTTACTTGTACAAGTCTTACCACTGAGTTACTGTATTGTTTTGTTGTTATTTAAAGATTGGCAATTATGCATATACTTTCTTAGACCATTATCATTAAAAAGTACCATCATTTATTTTGTTAAAAAAAGTAATTACTGTAAATTCAGAAATTATTGCTAGGTTTTTATTAATGCGAATAATGTGACTTGGTGATTAGAACTTGCATTTTCATATCTGATACAAATATCTGTATGCAGATTTTCTTGAAATCGCAATAATTGATGTCACATTTTTTTACGTTCTACAAAAATCACAATAATAAATGCATGCAATAATTTCTGAATTTACAGTATATGAGTGTTTACATATTTCATTTTACATAGCATATATTTGTGAGAGACACACAAAAAACTATGATTATAACATATTTTTTATTTTTATTGCAGAAGGTTACTGTTCATTTTTTTAAATTTTTTGTCTCATGTCCAATTTATTGAATAAGCCAATCTGAAGAACAAATTTTTGAACTAAAATGACTTTATAATATTTCTGAAATTACTTGTGCTTTCCTGTCATATTTCAGAATGTCCAGTGATGTTCAGGAAACAGATACAGAACCTCTTCTTCCGCATCATGAGCTCACAATTGGTGCTTCAGAAATATCAATTAATGATCCAGACTCCAAGAAGCAAAATCTGTGTTCACAAGTTTATACTTTTGTCTACATAAAGATAAAAAGTATTCTATTAACAAAGTATGTGCTGTTAAATAATTCAATGTAAAAATAAGAAGATGTGGTATGATTGCCAATGAGACAACTCTTCTCCAGAGACCAAATGACCAAGGAGTTAGAAACTATAGGTACAGCCTTCAACAACAAGCAAAACCTATACTGCATAGCAATTTAAGTAAAGATAGATTTGCATGGGTTATCTCCCTTTATATGTAACACTGATAACTTTTCTTGATTACCGGTATCTTTTATATCTATAGAATTTCTGTAACAAATGGCAAAAGCATATTTATTGCATACAGGTCACACTGTATTCATAGATTTAACAGAGACTAGCAAGGATCACCTTCAACACCAAATTCTTCAAACATATTCATGAGAAGATTTTAATTACCATGATGAAAAATAAGCTATTTAGCACCTGTTTATTAGTCCCCTACCGACGAAGTTGAAGGTGACTTTAGGTTTGCACTCTGTCTGTCTGTCTGTCTGTCTGTCCAGCAAATCAGTTTTCCACACAAATCAATTTGATATTTGGTGTATTGTTTTGTTCGGGTCTGATGATTTTGGGCATAGTTACGGTTCTTGGACTTAGAAAACTCACTCAAAAAATCATTTTTTCTCACTTTTTATACGACCGCAAAAAAATTTTTGTGGTCGTATATTGGTATGACGTCGTCGTCGTCGTCGTCGTCGTCCGGCGTCGTCCGAAGACACATTGGTTTTCGCACTCTAACTTTAGTTTAAGTAAATGGATCTCTATGAAATTTTACCACAAGGTTCAATACCACAAAAGGAAGGTTGGGATTGATTTTGGGGGTTATGGTACCAACAGTAAAGGAATTAGGGGCCAAAAAGGGGCCAAAAATAAGCATTTTTGTAACTTCAAGACATAACTTGTGTGTTAGTGTATGGATCACTCTGACATTGTACCACAAGGTTCCATATCACAAAAGGAATGCTGGGATTGATTTTGGGGGTAATTGCCTCAAAATTTTAGGAATTAGGGGCCAAAAAAGGGGCAAAAAACAAGCATTTTTCTAGTTTCATAACAATAACTTGTGTGTAAGTGTATGGATCTTTCTGAAATTGTACTACAAGGTTCCATATCACAAAGGGAAAGCTGGAATTGAGTTTGGGGGTAAATGCCGAAACGTTTAGGAATTGGGGGCCAAAAAGGGGCCAAAAATAAGCATTTTTCTAGTTTCCAGACAATAACTTGTGTTCAAGTGTATGGATCTCTCTGAAATTGTACTGCAAGGTACCATACCACAAAGGGAAGGCTGGGATTGATGATGGGGGTAATTGCCTCAATATTTTAGGAATTAGGGGCAAAAAAGGGGCAAAAAACAAGCATTTTTCTAGTTTCAGGACAATAACTTGTGTGTAAGTGTATGGATCTTTCTGAAATTGTACTACAAGGTTCCATATCACAAAGGAAAAGCTGGGTTTGAGTTTGGGGGTAATTGCCCTAAACGTTTAGGAATTTGGGGCCAAAAAGGGGCAAAAAAACACATTTTTCTAGTTTCCAGACAATAACTTGTGTTCAAGTGTATGGATCTCTCAGATTTTGTACTGCAAGGTACCATTCCACAAAGGGAAGGCTGGGATTGAGTTTGGGGGTGATGAATCATAAGGGGGTTCAAAAAATTTGGGGGGGGGATTTTTTTTTTTTTCCTTTTTTTTTTCTTTTAAAATTTTCCATTTTAAGTTGGTTATTTCTGATTTATATTTAAAAGCAAATACATGTAATAATGATATGGTAGGAGATACACACCAAACAGGATGTGTAAATTATTATATAATAAGTATTGTGCAATAGCAAGAAATTTTCAATTGCGCAGTATTGCACAATAGCAAGAAATCTTCAATTGCACAGTATTGCGCAATAGCAAGAAATCTTCAATTGCACAGTATTGCGCAATAGCAAGAAATATCCAATAGCACAATATTGCGCAATAGCAAGAAATTGTCAATTGTACAGTATATAGCAATAGCAAGAAATATTTAATTGCACAGTATTGTGCAAAAGAAGATACTTCGTATAAATTGCTTATTTCTTGACCAATTTCAATGGGGTTTTATTCTTTAATTCTTGGGTTTCTTTAATATGCTGAATCTAACCGTGTATTTAGTTTTTGGATTTTGGGGCCCGTTTTTAAATTGGTCCACATTGAGGTCCAAAGGGTCCAAAATTAAACTTTGTTTGATTTCATCAAAAATTGAATTATTGGGGTTCTTTGATATGCCGAATCTAACCATGTATTTAGATTCTTAATTTTTGGTTCCGTTTTCAAATTGGTCTACATTATGGTCCAAAGGGTCCAAAATTAAACTTAGTTTGATTTTAACAAAAATTGAATTCTTAGGGTTCTTTGATATGCTGAATCTAAACATGTATTTAGATTTTTGATTATGGGCCCAGTTTTCAAGTTGGTCCAAATCGGGGTCCAAAATTAAACTTTGTTTGATTTCAACAAAAATTGAATATATGGGGTTCTTTGATATGCTGAATCTAACCATGTATTTAGATTTTTGATTTTTGGGCTGCGTTATCAACTTTGTCCACATTGAGGTCAAAAGGGTCCAAAATTAAACTTTGTTTGATTTCATCAAAAATTGAATTCTTGGGGTTCTTTGATATGCCGAATCTAACCATGTATTTAGATTCTTAATTTTTGGTTCCGTTTTCAAATTGGTCTACATTAAGGTCCAAAGGGTCCAAAATTAAACTTAGTTTGATTTTAACAAAAATTGAATTCTTAGGGTTCTTTGATATGCTGAATCTAAACATGTATTTAGATTTTTGATTATGGGCCCAGTTTTCAAGTTGGTCCAAATCGGGGTCCAAAATTAAACTTTGTTTGATTTCAACAAAAATTGAATATATGGGGTTCTTTGATATGCTGAATCTAACCATGTATTTAGATTTTTGATTTTTGGGCTGCGTTATCAACTTTGTCCACATTGAGGTCAAAAGGGTCCAAAATTAAACTTTGTTTGATTTTATCAAAAATTGAATTCTTGGGGTTCTTTGATATGCTGAATCTAACCATGTATTTAGATTTTGGATATTGGACCATAATAGGTGAATGTCCAATTTAAAATTTTTAAGTTCTTAGACCACATTCATTCTGTGTCAGAAACCTATGCTGTGTCAAATATTTAATCACAATCCAAATGCAAAGCTGTATCAAGCTTGAATGTTGTGTCCATACTTGCCCCAACTGTTCAGGGTTCGACCTCTGCGGTCGTATCAAGCTGCGCCCTGCGGAGCATTTTATTTTCATCATGCTTGAAAAAATTTATTTGATAATTGGTATATAGTTTTATCATGACAAGTAACAGATCAAGTTCGAATTTTGTTCCGGTCTGATGATTTTGTGCAGAGTTATGTTTATTGGACATAGAAAATTCACTTAAATAATCAGTTTTCCACACTTTTTTTATCATGCTTGAAGATATTGACTTAGTATTTGTTATAAAGTTAACACCATGACAAGTAATAGAACAAGTTAGCATTTGTTACAGTACAATGAATTTTTAACCGGTAGGGGACTATGTATTGCCATGCAATACTCTCAGAATGCTGGTTATTATAAAAGTGAAAACAGTCATTTAATCAGGAAAAAAACTTTGAATCATTTACATGTATATCGATTTATGTGTATATTATCAAAAGTATGGGTAATGCATGTAAGTGGTATTTGTTTTTAGTGAATTATGTACAGGCTGCTAAAGTTATTCACAAATATATCGCCATTCATGCATAGCCTACTACATGCATTGGTATTATTTATTTCACAAAATTCTGAATATTTTCCTCACAAACAGTTCTCGTCTTATATTTTCACAGAAATCAACAGGATTTTTAAAAACTATACCATATTGAATATTAAAGTATACATGATTAACACTCTATCAAAGTATCTACACTTATGTTTATTTACCAACATATTTGTAATAAATATTAGGAACTAAATTTGTAATATTTTTTTATTTTTCAGATATTTTTGGAAATGTGTATTACTTGGACAATTTATTTCCTTGTTATTATGTGGAACAGCTGTGACAAGTGGACTGTTGTCTCGTAAAGGTGTTCATACACCCACAGGTTGGTCATGATATTGTTCTTCTATGAAAAATGAGACTCATCATTTACACTTGGTCAGGATGGTAAAGGAACATTTGCTTCTGAAAGTCAAAATAACTTTCACAAATAAGCAAATAATTTATTATACTCCACAATTAGTGAAAAATTAATATAGGATTATGTGCTCCTTGTAAGAAATTAGCATTTGAAAAATTAGAATAAGCTGGATTTGTCATATGAAATCATTTATGGACAGATAGGAATAATAAACTTGTTTTTATACAACTGCAAAAAAATTTTGTGGTCGTATATTGGTATGACGTTGGCGTCGTCGTCGTCCGAAGACACATTGGTTTTCGCACTCTAACTTTAGTTTAAGTGAATGGATCTCTATGAAATTTTACCATAAGGTTCCATACAACAAAAGGAAGGTTGGGATTGATTTTGGGGGTTATGGTACCAACAGTTAAGGAAAAAGGGGCCAAAATAAGCATTTTTGTAACTTCCAGACATAACTTGTGTGTTAGTGTATGGATCTCTCTGACATTGTACCACAAGGTTCCATACCACAAAAGGAATGCTGGGATTGATTTTGGGGGTAATTGCCTCAAAATTTTAGGAATTAGGGGCCAAAAAAGGGGCAAAAAACAAGCATTTTTCTAGTTTTATGATAATAACTTGTGTGTAAGTGTATGGATCTTTCTGAAATTGTACTACAAGGTTCCATATCACAAAGGGAAAGCTGGAATTGAGTTTGCAGGTAATTGCCCTAAACGTTTAGGAATAAGGGGCGAAAAATAAGCATTTTTCTAGTTTCCAGACAATAACTTGTGTTCAAATGTATGGATCTCTCTGAAATTGTACTGCAAGGTACCATACCACAAAGGGAAGGCTGGGATTGAGTTTGGGGATGATGAATCATAAGGGGACTCAAAAAATTTGGGGGAGGGAATTTTTTTTTCTTTAAAATTTTCCATTTTAAATTAGTTATTTCTGATTTATATATAAAAGCAAATAATAATGATATGGTTTGAATAGGTAAATTAAAAAATTTAAGTTCTTAGACCACATTCATTCTGTGTCAGAAACCTATGCTGTGTCAAATATTTAATCACAATCCAAATTCAGTGCTGTTTCAAGCTTGAATGTTGTGTCCATTCTTGCCCCAACTGTTCAGGGTTCGACCTCTTCTGTCGTATGAAGCTGCGCCCAGCGGAGCATTTTTTATAAATATAGAAATATCAAAATTTCAAAATGATTTATAAGAAATTTATTTTAGTTGAAAGTTGGCAAACATTGGGGTTTGCTAAGTATAATATTATTGCAGTCGTGTCACACCAGCTTATTTCATTAATGTGGGTACTGATTTGGATTTTTGGATTAACTAATATGATGTCATGAAGATCAATTGAAAATTGAAGTCTTTATATAAGAAAGTGTTACACTAAAGAAAGGTTGCAAAAAATTAAAACTCCTCATGTACTTGTGAGTTGTGAGTTGTTTCAGATTTTAACAGGCATTTCCTTAAAAACATGTAGTGTTGTACAGGTTTTTTGTTTAATTGGTAAACATTGAAGAAAATTTCCAAAAAAGAATTCCAGATGTCTTGACTCATTGTTGACTTTTTACTTCTACTGATAAAGCAACTAAATGACAGAATGTTTTAATAAGCATGGAATTTTTATGAGTTTTTTAATAGCCGATTGATTGATCAACTGTTGGTTTTTAACACCACTTTGAGAACACTTGGCTACAAATGTAAATCATAGCAACCAGCTGTTTTTGGTGGCGATTGCGGGAGTACCCAAAGAAACCACCCACCTTCAGGAAGACTGGCAATCTTGATCGATTAACATGAGAGTCAAAGGAATCTGGCAGAAACTGAGTTTAAACTCACAACCTCAGTGTTGACTAGTGAGCACTGTAGATGTACTGCTCAGACCAGTCGGCCACATAGACCCCTTTAGCTTATAATTGATTTAGCTGATGTTCAAATTGAAACTTATAATAAAACAACATAGCATTTTACATTTTGGCCCAAATAATGCAATTAACTCTCTTAAAATATCATGTTAAAATAAAATCACAAATTGAAAACAGTGAAAAGATACAATTTTGATATCTTGTTTTTTTTCCGTCTTAATCAGAACCAGAGCTGTTGAACTTAAAGCTATTTTTGTATCTATTTTCAGCCCAGTCTTTTCTGAATTATGTATTATTATGTCTGATATTTACTGTAAGCCTTGCTTGTCGCCGTGGTGATAGATCTTTAGGATACATTCTGAAGACCTCAGGATGGAAGTATTTCTTCATTTCATTGGCTGATGTTGAGGCTAATTATCTAGTCGTTAAAGCGTATTCCTATACAACTGTTACCAGTGTTCAGGTAATGTAATATACTGTAAATTCAGAAATTATTGCAAGGTTTTAACTTATGTGAATAATGCGACTGGGTGAATATTGCAGTAATAAGAACTCCCATTCTTATGTTCATACATATAACTGTAAGAAATATTTTTTAAATCGCAATAATTAACCCCGTATTTTCATCCTTTCTTTAAAAATCTCAATAATAAATGCATGCAATAAATTCTGAATTTACAGCATTCATATACTATATAAGACCTTAATATATCTGTAGGTTATAACCCAATGTTAGTGGTATTATTCCTCTATAATGAAAATGAACATTATCAGAATATAAATCGATTGTTCTTATCAGTTTAAGTTTGCCATATACAGTAACAGATATTGCATGAGTTGTAGTATTTGTGAACATTAGTGCAACTACTCATGTATACTGCCTGTGTAAATATGTAGGACAAAAAGTCATGTGACAAAAGGTCACAATTCAGTTTTGAGATTATTTTTCTTTGAATAAGAAAATACTTATTTTTTAAAACATTTTTGTATTTTTCACGAACTATTATATATACTGGTCAAGGACCAGTTACCATCAGTTACCAGCTACTGTCACCTTGCATTTTATGCAATAACGGATGTGTTGCATAAATACGGCATACTGCTATTATTTTTATAAAAATACTCTTATTTTATTTTTAAAAACTTGGTTTTGTTTGATCAATCATCTCTTAGAAATCTTGAATTTTTTTTTCTTTTACCATGCCTTGGGAGGATACGTGTTCAGGGACATTAGACTTTAGAAAACTGACCGTTTTTAGATAAAGTAATAGCAAAGCTTACTTTGGACATAAAATTTTCTTCAAAAGAATAAAAAAGGTTTCTTAATTTTAGAATCAATTTCTATGATACACTTCAATGCAGTGTAACTTTAATTTCAGGTGAAATAAATTCGAGATAAGTTCAGATTGATCGAAAGTCCGAGATATTCATAATTCACGGACAGAATGACAATATTGTTGGTTCATTTGACAAACCTCCATCTCTGTTTGCCCTAAAACTGAAAAATGTAACAATAATTTTCTAATTAATATGTCATTTCTATGATTTAGGAACTAGATTCGTAAGTGACGGTAACTGGTCCTTGTATCTATGAAATTTCATGCAAAAATTGGCATAAAGTCCTAGTCTATGGTCTTTGATCTAACTTTTGATAACCCTTTTTGTGTTAAAAGAATATTTCCATCAGTAGTTCCTGTTCAAAATAATTCGAGAAAAACTGTGAATTTCTGACAGTAACTGGTACTGCACCAGTAAAGCAACTTTGGAAACAAAATTTATTTTAAAAAAAATCAATACTGATCAAATAACTGTTAAGAGAAAAATTTGTTAAAGTTGCTTGGTACTTAAATGGCTTCATGGTGCCAAGAAATATATCCTTTTCACAATTAATATTCATTTATGGAGAACAGGAATAAAAGCCCTGTTCATTGATAATTTTCTATGTTTTCTATGTATTGTGTGCGATTTTGTCCCATGTACATTTACTCCATATCCTTTCATTTTCTATTTTATGAACAATTTCCTAAACTGTAAAATGAATATATGTAATAAAAAGAAATTATTTCAAGAAATTTCTCTTAAATATTCAATAAATTATAAGCAAATTATTTGTGAATTTTTGTCCTGTGACTTTTTGTCCTATCGAGTTTGTGACTTTCTGTCCTGTGACTTTGATCTGTGACTTTCTCTCCGCTTACCTAAATATCAGGTGTTAAAAGCAAAATTGCTCAGGTTGAACTTAAGTGAATCTAAGTTGATGACACCCTAATTCAAAAGAATACAAGAAAAATCTAAATTGATTTTTGTCGAGCCTTCGACTTTTGTCGAAAAAGCGAGACATAGCGATCCTACATTCCGTCGGCGTCGTCGTCGTCGTCGTCGTCGTTGTCGTCGGCGGCGTCCACAAATATTCACTCTGTGGTTAAAGTTTTTGAAATTTTAATAACTTTCTTAAACTATCCTGGATTTCTACCAAACTTGGACAGAAGCTTGTTTATGATCATAAGATAATATTCAAAAGTAAATTTTGTAAAAAAAAAATTCCATTTTTTCCCTATTTTACTTATAAATGGACTTAGTTTTTCTGCCAGGAAACATTACATTCACTCTGTGGTTAAAGTTTTTGAAATTTTAATAACTTTCTTAAACTATCCTGGATTTGTACCAAACTTGGACAGAAGCTTGTTTGTGATCATAAGATAGTATCCAGAAGTAAATTTTGTAAAAAAAAAATTCCATTTTTTCCGTATTTTACTTATAAATGGACTTAGTTTTTCTGCCAGGAAACATTACATTCACTCTGTGGTTAAAGTTTTTGAAATTTTAATAACTTTCTTAAACTATCCTGGATTTGTACCAAACTTGGAAAGAAGCTTGTTTGTGATCATAAGATAGTATCCAGAAGTAAATTTTGTAAAAAAATATTCCATTTTTTCCGTATTTTACTTATAAATGGACTTAGTTTTTCTGCCAGTTAACATTACATTCACTCTGTGGTTAAAGTTTTTAAAATTTTAACAACTTTCTTAAACTATCCTGGATTTGTACCAAACTTGGACAGAAGCTTGTTTATGATTAAAAGCTAGTATCTAAAAGGAAATTTTGTTAAAATATTTTTCCATTTTTTCCGTATTTTACTTATAAATGGACTTAGTTTTTCTTCCAGTTAACATTACATAACAGTTTAAGTTTTTATTTAAAACATTTATTAGATTCATAAACTATCCTGGATTTTTACCAAACTTGGACAGAAGCTACTTACAATCAAAAGATAGTATAGAGAGGAATATTTTTATTAATTTTTTTCCTCATTTTTGTTGAGCCTGTGATAAACAGCAGAAGTAGGCGAGACACTAGGTTCCGCGGAACCCTTACGAATTTTATTGATTTTTGCCATATGTTTGGCAAAAAAATTTCTGAATTCACAGTTCTGTGAATTCATAAATTTTTGGGAGGGTTTCATTAAGGCCAATGATACTTCTATGGGTATCACAATAATAAAAACTTGTATTCCGATGTCTGATACATATATCTGTATGCAGCATTTCCTGAAATCGCAATAATTAATCTTACATTTTGCATTCTTCAAAAATCGCACACAATAATTTCTGAATTCACAGTACCTTAACTGTTACATTTCAACATAATGTAATAACATTTGTTCATATGATGATAATCAACTGCAATCAGCTGACTAGATACTTTTTCTGAAGTTGACCATATTTAATAAATGATTGTATAGAAGTCCTAACTGCTCCATTACTTTTAATTCCTAGGATACACTTTATGAAATATAGGAGATAAACTCTGTACTTTTTGATATATATATTTCAGCTGTTGGACTGTTTTAGTATTGTTACTGTACTGTTGTTGTCGTATTTTGTGTTGCGTGTGAGATACCACTTTGTGAATGGTGTCGGTGTGGTGACATGTTTCCTAGGACTGATAGCACTTGTTTTAACAGATTCATTAACAGGGAATAATAAAGATACTGATGGAGGTATAATTCTGGTAAAATGTATTGCCTTTAAATGAAATCAATAAAACAATAATCTTTCCTGGATCTTATTCATAAGAGAGATAATCATCAAAATCCTGTTTCTAGGCTTAGCCAGGATCTGACACTGTTGTCTTTTAGTTTCTATTCCAACAACTTTTTTTCAGGATCAATAGGATTTGCCATGATGTAACATACTTTGAAAAATTTCATTGGTTGAAGCAATATTATTATTGCAAACCAAATGAAACTTTTCCCCAGATTCATCTCCTATTAGTCAATCTATTTAAACTTTTGTCAGCTCTATTGTCCCATTGAATAAATACAATAGCTATTGATCTCTGTGTAGTTTATTAACTGGAACCATTAAATTTCTATAAGAGAAATCCATCACTCATTGATTAATTTACCTGAATAAAAAAATTATCCTCTAAAATATTAAAATACATGTTTTAACTCACAAAACTGCATGTCATGTTGTATTTATTCAACATCAATAATATATTTTCAATCTGTACAATGTAAACAGTGATTCAAACATTAAAAGTTGATTTCTGACAAAATTTTGAAAATTAAGAAAAGGCTTTCCTATTCTGACATCGGACTCGGACTTCTCTTATACTGAGTTTTACTGTGCATACTGTTGTGCATTTGTTTTTACTACATTGGCTAGAGGTATAGGGGGAGGGTTGAGATCTCAAAAAACATGTTTAACCCCACCGCATGTTTGTGCCTGTCCCAAGTCAGGAGCCTCTGGCCTTTGTTAGTCTTGCATCATTTTAATTTTAGTTTCCTGTGTATAATTTGGAGTTTAGTATGACGTCCATTATCACTGAACAAGTATACATATTTGTTTAGGGGCCAGCTGAAGGACGCCTCCGGGTGCGGGAGTTTCTTGCTGCATTGAAGACCCATTGGTGGCCTTCGGCTGTTGTCTGCTCTATGGTCGGGTCGTTGTCTCTTTGACACATTCCCCATTTCCATTCTCAATTTTATTTAATTTTGAAAAGACATCAACACAATAGTTTAAGTTAGAGACCCAATGGATAAGCATTGATTCATCCCAACCGATTGTGAAAACATTGTTCTCAACACTAGTGAAATAACTTCTCGGCAAATGATTGGTCGAAATTTAATGACGTCAGACACGCGAAGCAATGAATGTGGGTCTTAATTTGATAGATGCTTTTGTGCTTTTTTTGTAAATATTTGTTTGTTTTGATATTGTAACACAGTGATGACTGCTGTACCCATATTTTGACTATTTTATTTATAATGTCTGTTTTGTTCACGCATCGTTGTAAATATAACGAAATTTGATAAGACTGTCGTACAAGTGAGAGGTTTAGCGCTATAAAACCAGGTTCAATCCACCATTTTCTACATTTGAAAATGCCTGTACCAAGTCAGGAATATGACAGTTGTTGTCCATTCGTTTGATGTGTTTTGTCATTTGATTTTGCCATGTGATTAGGGACTTTCCGATTGAATTTTCCTCGGAGTTCAGTATTTTTGTGATTTTACTTTTTATGACGTCAAATTTTCTTGGTTTCTTCTGAATTTCCTATTGTGACGTCATGAAAAAAAGCGACCATGCCTGATGACGTTACATATAATGAACACAATTTTCTGCAAATCTTTGAAAAGGAAGGATAAAAATCATAAGAGAAACAGTGATTACAATATTTCTCCACTCTCAACAGTTAAATTTTAATTATTTAAAAAGCTCGGCAAGCCTCACGTTTTAAATATTAAAATTTAACTGTCTCGAGGGAGAAATATCCTAATACACTTGTTGCAGTGGTGAAATCTATATATCTATAATATACATATTCATGTGCAAGTATGCAAGGTATGACCACAATTTTTTGCAGAAATCCTTAAAATGCTTTCTTTCCATGTAAAGACAATTTTATCATAAAGCATTTTGGACTACTGCAAAAAATTTTGGTTATTCCTGGAGATACAACATGCAGATTTGTTGATGACTGTTGAAACATTATTTTTGTTGTATTTTCTTAATTTATATCTTTGGACTAACTTACCTATTTCAATAATTTGTTTTTGTGTTTAAGAATTTTATTTTATACAAATAGTTTTAAATAGTTTTATTGACATTTCTTGTTATGAAACTTAATTTTAAATAACTTTTCCTGAACATATTATGATGTATATGTGCACAACTGACATCAGTATAAGTATATTTTTGTATATAAAGGGAGACAATTTGAATTGTTTTGGGTTACTGAGAGATAATTCTTTAACTTTCAAAGAAGAAAAAAAGGCAATATTTACATTAAGGGAGACATTTTTAATCATTTTCATTAGTGTATTATAATCTTCAATTATCAAAACAAGAAATTCTAGTGGGTTTCTGATAATGCACAGAAAAAAAGCTAAAATTAAGCCAATGATATTGTGTACCTATTATGGGTCAAAGTACCCTTTTCGAGTGACGACATCACTATGTCGTAGATGTAGATGTACCAATATTTGATTATTCAACAACAAAAAGTAAGGTAAAATTATAATTCATTTATTAGATTTTGAACTACAAAAGCCAATTTGTATTACTTTTTTAAAATTTTAATCTGAAGTTCTAATTTCAGCTTCCGACAAGGTTCTTGGTGATATTTTTTGTGTGTGTGGTGCTTTTTTATATGGAGTGTCAAATGTGGCAGAAGAATATGTTGTGAAAAACTTTGATAGAACAGAGTTTCTGGCTATGCTTGGATTGTTTGGAAGTTTTATAAATGGAGTCCAGTTGTAAGTTCATGTCACAGAATTTAAATGCATATCACTGAATTTTAGTTTTAATAAAATATTCGGGGTAATTAAAATTTGAATCGATGAGTTTTTAATTATCTTCAAGTAATCTAGGTTAAGTTGATGAAAAAAACAGTGAGCTATCAATGCTTAATTTTGGCATGCTCACACATCTAAAACATATACATTCTGTCTCAATCCCCAAATTAGTAAAGGGTAGCTCATCTTTTTTTTTATAGTAAAACCACCTGAAAGGTAGATTTGTTAACCACCAACGCTTAAATTTTGTTTACGAGTCTGTGAAGATGAGATTCAGGTAATAATTATAAAAGTACTTAATGTCTATTTGTCAAACAGTTTTCTAAACAAATTGTATACTTGAAAATATTTGAGGGTACTATCTACTCAAGGATTTTTTGCAGAAGATCCCAAATGTTAGATTTTTGATAAAAATTGAAAGTTTTCAATTTCATAATAAACTTTTTTTTTATTTCAATACCTAAAGCAAGCCAACATTATACACTAAATTAAAGACATCAAATAATCGATTGATCACCAGTTTGTAATGAATAGCTTATGATGACGACCTATTCTCAAGAGGAATATTTGATTCACTTTACATGTTTGTATAAAACGTCTTGTAGAAAAATATTTTTTTGGGTAAGGCCATAAAATTAATTCACTCATATCTAAATATCAATAATAAAATAAAGAGAAAGAATTCTTGCAGTTTTCAAAGTTTGCATGTAATGCAAGAAGTCCTTTAGACATAAATATATTTGGCTACAAGATGTTTTGTACAAAGGTGTTTGATGAATCCGATATTTCTTTTAAGTAAATTAAGGCAACAATATCTTTCATTTTGCAATAAGTTTTATCTAAGCTAAATGAGTCTTTTCATCTTTCAAATTGTTTACTAGATGTAATTTTTGTTCAGAACTTAAAATAATTATGCAATTTGGAACTTTATATTTGTACAAAAAATGTCCATTTTCACTTCTGAACTATATTTTGTTTAAGCAATTATTTAAACTTTATGTCTAGACATACAGCATGATATTCATATGATACACATTTTTCTAGGACATTGTATAACTCAACATAAATTGATCATTTGAGTTTAGACAAGTGAATAGTATATCTTATGTGCCAAATAATGACCTTCATTTAATATTGTAGTGCAGTATTTGAAAGGCATGAAGTTGAAAGTGTGAATTTTTATTCAGCAGAAATTGGTAATTATTTATATTTTTAATCAGTATTTTAAAAAAATCATCTCCAAACCAGAATATGTTGTTCCTTTAACTTTGTACTAGAAAAGATGAAAAAAATTTGGTTAAAACTTATGACATTCCAATGCCAGAAAGCACATAGAAAATTTCAATCCACCACTTTTCAAAACAATGCTAGTGATATTCAACTGTTTTTGTTGTTGGATTGTTACACTACTGTCCCATCTTAGATTGCTACCGGGTTAATTCAGTTATATATTCCTTTTCAGAGTTGGGGTCAATCTCAATAAAAATTTTGGTTTCACACAATTCCATTATTTTACTCTTCAAGCATTTACTTAAGCGATGATAAAAAAAAAAAACTGTGTACCATCCTCTTTAATAGACATATTAGAAAATACTAAATCTATCTCCCCCAAGTCTTTCTTCATATTTTTATATGCAGTTTGCTTTATTTTCAGTTTATTATCTGAAAATACTAGACATTATTTTCAAGCCATAAAATGAAAATAATACTTTATGAATTTGGGTTCGCCCTAAGCACTTGTGGATTTACCTTCAAGCTAAAAGAATTGAAAGATGTATAAATACCCAATTAAATCAGGAGCTATATGACCAAACAGGGCCCGAAAAGAATAGTCAAAATTTTCTCGGTCAACTTTGCCTGGGGGAGTTGAAACCTTAGTTTCTGAATAATTTCTAAATTTATCAAAGTAGAATTTAAGACAGTATGTTATAAATCATGTCAATATAGAAACACTAACTGTTCAGAGCTGATGATACCGTCAGGGACATACAGTTTACCAGCAGAGGTTTCAAATCAGTGCTAGAAAAACCAAAATAACACTATAGATATGATTTATTAAAAGTGATTTTCTTCATCAACAACAACATTTCTTTAGAACAAGTGGACAAATCAATCTTTAATTTTGTGTTTCTTAATGTTTTTCTATGGAAAGAGTTAAATAAAAGACTTTTCTTCAGATCAGACAAGTATTCTATTTACAAAGGTTTAAATACTTCAGAATATCCTTTGTGTGTTCTGATATAAAATATGAATAATAGACATGTGGTATACGTACAGGAAACAGCAAACCAAGAGACACATATAACCATAAGACATCTGCATACACTCACAATACAAAATGTCAAGCTCTAAATCGTCTGAAAATGTTTTGAATAAATTAAACAAAAATTATCAAAGATCTGCCGTCATTTACACATGATTAAAGATTGTGTTTCCAGTTACAGAAAATGTTTTGCTTCATTTTATACAGAAAGATTTTACTGTAATAATATAATAATAATTTCTTTTGGTATTTTTCAGTTATATGTTTTGTTGGATTTACTATATGTCAGTTTGCCTTGTATACATGTATGACTATAGTTATACAACAGACCAGTGCTACAACAGTCAACATATCACTCCTAACTGCAGACTTCTATACATTGCTCCTTGGACTGTTCCTTTTTAAATATCAGGTAAGGTCATTGGGTCAGAGAGACTTACATGTAATATTAGCACTTTATGGGTTATTGGGATGAAATGTAGTTAAATCAACTTGCAATAGTTGTTGAATAATATGTTTTGCAGTGGATGTTTCTTGAGTCTGCAGCATGAACTAAAGTTTCTTCTTATACATATAAACAAAGCTCTGGTTAGTGCCTTAAAGCTGAAAGGTAACAGTAAGACTAAAAAAATCTTTAATTTTCTATGCCAAATCTGTTAACAAATTGAGTCTTTGAACATTTTTATACATATAATCTGAGAATTTTCCCTTTGGTGTTAAAATTTCAAGTAACTGGTATCTTATGTAATTTTAGACTGAAACTTTGGGAAACTTGTCTCATAAAAGATCTAAGCCAGATAAAGATGATTTATTTTGTAAAATTGATTGTTTGCTTAATGTTTAGTGGCAAATATTTTAAACCTTTTCAGGACAAGAATCAATTGAACAATCAATTACATTTGTATATGCTGCAATCTTTTTCTGTAATTTGTACTCACTAGAAAAAGAAGTTATGTTGTATATTGATGAACAATTTTTCCTTGCAACAGGATACCTACAGACTTCTCAAAGAGTTTGGCAAGCAGAGAGTATGGCACTCTCCAAAAAAGGCCTGGAATTTAACCTCCAATACTGCCTGTATATCTTAAACAGCAAAATGGATACACCTTCAACATAGGTTTTGCTGCCAAATGGGAGAAATCCAGACACCAATATTTATATATCCAAGTCATTCTTGTGGTCAATTTTTTATAACCTCACACTTGAAAAGAGTAATTGATGACACACTCTTATATAAGCACAAATATCACATCATTTCAAATTTATTGGTAATTTTAATTTCTATTTTGTTACTTTTAAACAAGCTTTAATTAATATTTATTTAAAATCAACATTTAATCATTTATTTTTCTGCTTCAGTTCCATGGTTTATATTTTGGATCATTTGTGGTAGTTTTACTAGGAGTTGCTATTTATGCCACAAAGGAACCAGAAAGAAAGATTGAAGAACCAGATAAAACAAACAAGGAACCTGTTATGACAAACAAGGAACCAGTTACACAGTGATATTATTATTCTTATATTATAGTCAATTTTGTATGTTTACTAATTAACAAAAAAGTCACAATACTGAGTGCTGTATAACAGTTTTTGAAAGATGATCAAACATAATAACTGCCATTTGGCCCAAAGAGTCATGAATGATTAAAAATGTTATACAAATAGGGTAAATTGTTTAAACAGTCATATTTTATTTTTTCTGTCTTATTAATACAAAGTATTTTAGTGATATAATGTTGATGCTTTAACACTTGGTACAGAATACTTGAAAAATTAAAAGCAAATTGTTGTTATGGAATACATGGAAGTGAGAATATTTTTAATATTATGAAATATTTCATAATTTGCAGGCGATTTTTCTGAAGAAATTTTAGATTCTTTATTAATCTATGTTTCAAAAATTTCTTGTAATATTCATTCATAATATGAGCTGTGTCCGATAGAAATCGACCTTATGCAAATGAATATCAATACATCTGTTAATTAATTTTGGGTTTAAAAAATGTTTATGCAAAGTCTGTAACTGCATGAAAATTGAGTTGATATAAGAACCTTACCAAACAAACCAAAATTCATCTTTTATTTCGTATTTGAATGTTCAAAAATCAATCAAAGTCTCATATATGTACATTTATATGTGCACATGCAAATGGTCGATTTCTATGTGACACAGCTCATATTATGATATAATATGATCAATGACCTGTTGCTGTATTTATTAAGCATACATAAAGCAGTATATCAATAGATAATAAGAAGCAAGAAGTGATAAGTTAAATACCGGTATTTCTGGTAGAATGCACTTATGACAGACGGCATTGTACAATAAATTTTCTAGTCCGTCTGTCCATCCCTGCTTGTTAGCGCTCTCACGGGTACAATTCTTGCCAGATTTTTATAAAACTTATACTATAATTTAATATCAGCAATATCTCGGACAAGTTCTATCATGGTGGCGGATCGACTTTTTTTTAAAGAGTTATGCCCCTTAGAAATATTAAATTTATGGAAAATGGCCTCGTTAGCACTCTCACGGGTACAATTCTTGCCAGATTTTTATAAAACTTATACTATAGGTTAATATCAGCAATATTTCCGACAAGTTCTATAATGGTGGCCGGTCAACTTTTTTAAAAGAGTTATTTCCCTTGGAAATATAAAATATGTGCAACGCGGGGGACATTGGAACTCTGTTCTTTTATTGTTTTTATAACTATGTTATACATAAGACTATAATGTATTATCATACTTCATGTCAAAATGCCAGATTTTGATCTGTTAATACAAGGGAGACAATTTACTCTATCCCATGGCGAATACTCTATTCCCCTTCATGGGGACGTTTTTTTGAGCCTTTTAATAAATAAGAATGATTGTTATGTACAAGACTTCATAGTTTATATTACTTTGAATTTGAAATTTGATAGACAGTAATAACAGAACAGTCAGTTTAATAAATTAAATAACACATATCTGAGACGGTGATAGAGCAGATTGTTACCCCTCGAAAAGACATTGTCAACCTTGGCTTTGCCTCAGTTGACACTGTTTTCTCAAGGGTAACAATCTGCTCTATCACCCTCTCAGCTATGTGTTATTTATATATTGATGTATACATTCCTGTATAAAAATATGTTCTCAAGCTAGCTTGGCAACATTTGACAACTTTTTTAGCTTAATATTGCAATTATACTATTTTTTGCTATTTTAAGGTAAATTATGTTTATTTTTTAAATCCAATAGTTTATTTCATTATACATTTATTATGGACCAGGGGCCAGGTTAATGTGAAAAGAAAGATATCTGAATTTCTACTATATTCTGCTTTTGTGTGCTTCTGCTTTTATATATATATTATATTATAAATAAGACTAATAATTGTAAACTATGTTCAGAAAACTTTGGATTCAGTTATGCTGAAATAAATCATATCTATCCTAGAATCTCAAAAGAGTCTTGCAGGAAATATCCAATTCCTTATGAAATCTAACTCTGTGATGACCTAGACTTGGAAGACATTCTAACTGTAACTGCAAAGAGTAAAAATCCAACAGTTTTTATCCTGGATATATTTTTAATATGCATTGGACAGTTTTCTACACATGCATTGGACAGTTTCAGTTGCAGATCCAGAACTTTTTATAAGGGGGGCCATCTGACTGCCAAAAGAGGGGGCCCGCTCCAGTCATGCTCAGCGATTCCCTATATAATCGACCAAATTTTTTCCACAAAAGGGGGGACCAGGGCCCCCCTGGATCCGCCTATGAGTTTTCTACTTATGTATTTTTAATATACATTGGACAGTTTTGTACCCATGTATTTTTAATATGCATTTGATTTTCTACCAACGTATTTTTGTTCCCCACGTAACGCGTTGCGGGGGACATGGAACTAATGTCCGTCTGCTGTCCCGTCTTGTTAGCGCTCTCACTGGTACAATTCTTGCCCGATCTTTATAAAACTTATACTATAGGTTAATATCACCAATATCTCAGACAAGTTCTATCATGGTGGCTGATGGACTTTTTTTCAAAAGAGTTATGCTCCTTGGAAATATTAAATTTATGGAAAATGGCCTCGTTAGCGCTCTCACGGGTACAATTCTTGCCAGATTTTTATAAAACTTATACTATAGGTCAATATCAGCAATATCTCGGACAAGTTTTATCATGGTGGCTGATCGACTTTTTTTAAAGAGTTATGCCCCTTGGAAATATTAAATTTATGGAAAATGGCCTCGTTAGCGCTCTCACTGGTACAATTCTTGCCAGATTTTTATAAAACTTATACTGTAGGTTAATATCAGCAATATCTCGGACAAGTTCTATAATGGTGGAAGATCGACTTTTTTTAAAGAGTTATGCCCTTGGAAATATAAAATATGTGCAACACGGGGGACATTGGAACTCTGTTCTTTCATTAATATGCATTGGAGTTTTCTACTGATGTATTTTTAGTATGCATTGGACAGTTTTTTATCAATGTATTTTTTAATATGCATTGGACAGTTTTCTACAGATGTATTTTTAATATGCATTGGACAGTTTTCTACAGATGTATTTTTAACATGCAAAATGAAAGTTAACTGTCAAATTTTTTCTAACCAAATTTCTAATCTAAGTGTGAAAAACTAGCATGTATATTGTATACACAATGTTCAGTCTTTACCACATTTGAATAAGGAAGATGAATATAAAACCAATAAAACTGTTCTGTGAGAGGAGTTCAATCTCTTTAAATCATATCTGGTGTATACTGTTAATTCAGAATTTTACAAAGTTGTCATTATTGCTAAAAAACTGAAATTAAAATTTTGATACATTTCTTAATATCGCAAATAATTAATGAAAATCACAATAAAAGCAAGCAAGAATTTCTGAATTGACAGTAGTTAAATTAGTTGATTTATAACACTTACATGTATATAACTCTTGTACCTTTGATAATTTTATTATTTGTGAATGATTTTGTTTTGATTAAATATATTAAGGAATAATATATAATATGATATAGTAACAAGTATCATAGTCTGTAAATTCAAAAATTAATGTATGTGTAATTTCATAATTTTTTTTCTTTTAATTATAATAATAATTAACGAAAATAATCCTTTCACATACATTTTCCACTTAACAGTTAGTCAATATTAGTACAAATAACTCTGTAGTGTACTGTAAATTTAGAAATTATGGAGTGCATTTATTATTGAGAATCACTGATTATTGTGAGGTCTAATAAATGTGATTGCAAAAATTTTGTGAAATAAAATCACTACTGAAATTATGAATGCAAGTTTTTATCATTGCCAACCTGATATTGTAGCATTTTTCGCAACAATTTCTGACTTTACACTATCTGAATGGAGATTTCAAAGCAAGAATGTGCTATAATATAATCTTTGTGATATTTTTGTAAAGTAAATGATAAGAAAACTTGTTCATTGAAATTGCTAGTTGTTAATGTTTGCTTGTAACAATTTTGCTTTAATCTAGTTATTTTTTTTTTTACATAATGTTGAAATATATTGAATAAAACATTCCTTCTTTAACATTTTTATTTTTTGATGACAGACTCAGGATTTATAAGTGAAACAATCTTAGGAATCAGACATAATTATAATGGATGTATTGTGGTACGTAGAAAAACTAATTAAAAGCCTGTTTGTCCAAAGTCAGGAATTTAGTCAGTGGTTTGCTATTGTAATTTCTTACTGTTTTTGACCAGAGGTTTTTTAGTTGATGCAGATCTTATACAATTTTTCAGAACTTCTGCATGATTCCGATGAATTTCTATTTATATTTCACTTTTTTTTTATAATAGACACGTTGATGTTGAAGACCATATGATGACAAAACTTTCTCTGAACAAAATGTGATTCAAGAAAATGGGGCTATTGGATTCAGATAAAATGAAGATATTATTATCACAAACACATGAAGTATCTAACAAATGTTTGGTTCAATTTATCATAAATTTGTTGGTCAGGTCAACAGGCGTCCATTTTGTTTTCTTATCTTCATCTGGGTCATTGAGATGCTGTCAAATACACCTTATCGCTATTTGTCCACCATTACTGGACAACACGAAGGTTCCCGTAAAATTTTGACGTCACAATAGAAAATATGTGACACCACAATGGAAAAGTGATTGTTGTATGAAGTCAGAAGTTCAAGCGGCACAGATTTCCAAATAGCGATAACGTGTATATGCAGGTACACCACATCAAATAACATCTTACACCTTCAGAATTTATATGGGGTTGACTTTCCCTCATTATTATAAAAAGTTAGTAAAGGGTTCCAACTTCATTCAAGCTAGATCAGGTCTTTCATTCTGGATCATATACAGATGTTAACCTCTGACCTTAACATGGAAAATTATTAGGGACCATCAAGATGGTACCAAAGTTTTATCAATGTTGTATAGATTTCATCTTAAAAGAGGATTTTCCATTTAAGACTATCATCTGTACATGTCTTTAGTTATATCTTTAATTTTTTGGTCATTTGAGAAATTTAGTGTTGATGGTAACTCTTTGATCTGCGTCTTTTAAAAATTCATTCACAACAAATTAAGGGCAAATTATAGCTTTACATATTGTCTAGAAATGGGTATATTATTGAAGACTGTATGTTAACTCTAAATGTCTTTTGGTTTTTTTTTGTGTTGAGTTGCTATCAATGTGCACCCAGAATTTCACATCTATATTACCAGACATTGACATGCCTTTTAAATCTGATCTTTAAAGAGGTCATCTGCTTTTCATGATGATAATCATTACATCTATATATATACACAAGAGTGCACATGCTGAAATGTCTCGCCTACTAAACTGACCATTGATTTTATGTTGATAGTCCTAAATATAAAGTTTTATAAGTATCATCTTAACATTTATGATCCAAGAAAATGAGGTCAAGGTCAGATAAACCAAGCCTGAAATACATGTACACCTTTAATACAATCATTCCATACACTGAATATAGATGACTCATTGCTTATAGTATAAAAGAAACAGACCAAACCATGGACATTTTATATTGACCAATGAACCATAAAAATTAGATCAAGGTCAGATGAACCCTGCCAGACAGACATGTACACCTTAAAATCATTCCGTGCATCAAATATAGTTGACCTTTTGCTTAATGTTTAAGAACAAGAGTGCACAGGCAAAAATGTCTGGCCTACTATACTGACCATTGATTTTATGTTGATAGTCCTAAATATAAAGTTTTATAAGTATCACATTAACATTTATGATCCATGAAAATGAGGTCAAGGGCAGATAAACCAAGCCGGAAATACATTATACACCTTTAATACAATTATTCCATACAACGAATATAGATGACTCATTGCTTGTAGTATAAGAGAAACAGACCAAACCATGGACATTTTATATTGACCAATGAACCATAAAAATTAGGTCAAGGTCAGATGAACCCTGCCAGACAGACATGTACACCACCTTAAAATCATTCCATGCATAAAATATAGTTGACCTATTGCTTATAGCATCTAAGAAACAAATTTAACCAGGAAATGTGAACATTGACCAATGAACCATGAAAATGAGGTGAAGGTCATATGAAACCTGCCAGACTGACATGTACATCGTAAAATATTGCATACAGTATTAGAAAAACAGACCAAAACACAAAAACTTACTTTTACCACTGAACCATGAAAATGAGGTCAAGGTCAGATGACACCTGCCAGCTGTACATGTTCACCTTACAATCATTACATACACCAAATATAGTAGACCTATTGCTTATAGTATCTGAGATATGGACATGAACACGAAAACTTCATATCATAAGGCATCTATATATAAAGTATGAAGAATCCAGGTCTTCTACCTTCTGAAATATTAAGCTTTTAAGAAGTTAGTTAACGCTGCCGCCGGATCACTATCCCTAAGTCGAGCTTTCTGCGACAGAAGTCGCATGCTCGACAAAAACTGGGTAAACAATGATCTATAACTCATACAGCATGTGTCAAGTTTTGTCCCATAAAAATAAATGACACAATTTATCAAATGGGTTTTATTTGTACACTGGATACGGTGTAGATGTTTCAAGCTTTATTTTTATAACTTCACAGTTTTGACAAAGATCCTGAAGAAATGACAGTTAAAATCTTCACTAAAGATAAACATTTGTAAGGGTCGGTGGAACCCAGTGTCTCGCCTACTTTGGCTGTTAGTCGCAGGCTCAACAAAAATGGGGAAAAAATTATTAAAAATTTTCCTCTAGATACTATCTTTTGATTGTAAGAAGCTTCTGTCCAAGTTAGGTAAAAATCCAGGATGGTTTATGAATCTAATAAATGTTTTAAAAACTTTAACTGCAGACTGTATGTAATGTTAACTGGAAGAAAAACTAAGTTCATTTATAAGTAATATACGGGAAAAATAGGATATAAATTTTACAAAATTTCTTTCTAGATACTAGCTTTTGATTATAAACAAGCTTCTGTCCAAGTTTGGTACAAATCTAGGATAGTTTAATTTATTAAAATTTCAAAACCTTTAACCACAGAGTGAATATTTGTGGACGCCGCCGACGGAATGTAGGATTGCTATGTCTCGCTTTTGCCACAAAAGTCGAAGGCTCGACAAAAATACCTGAAAATTTGGAAATAAAATGCTCCGCAGGGGGCAGCTTGATACGACCGCAGAGGTCGAACCCTGAACAGTTGGGGCAAGTATGGACACAACATTCAAGCTTGATACAGCTTTGCATTTGGATTATGATTAAATATTTGACACAGCATAGGTTTCTGACACAGAATGAATGTGGTCTAAGAACTTAAAAATTTTAAATTGGACATTCACCTATTATGGTCCAATATCCAAAATCTAAATACATGGTTAGATTCAGCATATCAAAGAACCCCAAGAATTCAATTTTTGATGAAATCAAACAAAGTTAAATTTTGGACCCTTTTGACCTCAATGTGGACAAAGTTGATAACGGGGCCCAAAAATCAAAAATCTAAATACATGGTTAGATTCAGCATATCAAAGAACCCCAAATATTCAATTTTTGTTGAAATCAAACAAAGTTTAATTTTGGACCCCGATTTGGACCAACTTGAAAACTGGGCCCATAATCAAAAATCTAAATACATGTTTAGATTCGGCATATCAAAGAACCCTAAGAATTCAATTTTTGTTAAAATCAAACTAAGTTTAATTTTGGACCCTTTGGACCTTAATGTAGACCAATTTGAAAACGGAACCAAAAATTAAGAATCTAAATACACGGTTAGATTCTGCATATCAAAGAACCCCAATAATTCAATTTTTGATGAAATCAAACAAAGTTTAATTTTGGACCCTTTGGACCTCAATGTGGACCAATTTAAAAACGGGGCCCAAAATCCAAAAACTAAATACACGGTTAGATTCAGCATATTAAAGAACCCCAAGAATTCAAGAATAAAACCCCATTGAAATTGGTCAAGAAATAAGCAATTTATACGAAGTATCTTCTTTTGCACAATACTGTGCAATTAAATATTTCTTGCTATTGCGCAATACTGTACAATTGACAATTTCTTGCTATTGCGCAATATTGTGCTATTGGATATTTCTTGCTATTGCGCAATACTGTGCAATTGAAGATTTCTTGCTATTGCGCAATACTGTGCAATTGAAGATTTCTTGCTATTGTGCAATACTGTGCAATTGAAAATGTCTTGCTATTGCACAATACTTATTATATAATAATTTACACATCCTGTTTGGTGTGCATCTCCTACCATATCATTATTATTTGCTTTTAAATATAAATCAGAAATAATCAACTTAAAATGGAAAATTTTAAAAGAAAAACAAAAGGAAAAAAAGTTAAAAAAAGTTAAAAAAAAAAATCCCCCCCCCCCTAAATTTTTTGAACCCCCTTATGATTCATCACCCCCAAACTCAATCCCAGCCTTCCCTTTGTGGTATGGTACCTTGCAGTACAATTTCAGAGATCCATACACTTGAACACAAGTTATTGTCTGGAAACTAGAAAAATGCTTATTTTTGGCCCCTTTTTGGCCCCCAATTCCTAAACGTTTTGGCAATTACCCCCAAACTCAATTCCAGCTTTCCCTTTGTGATATGGAACCTTGTAGTACAATTTCAGAAAGATCCATACACTTACACACAAGTTATTGTCATGAAACTAGAAAAATGCTTGTTTTTTGCCCCTTTTTTGGCCCCTAATTCCTAAAATTTTGAGGCAATTACCCCCAAAATCAATCCAAGCATTCCTTTTGTGATATGGAACCTTGTGGTACAATGTCAGAGAGATCCATACACTAACACACAAGTTATGTCTGGAAGTTACAAAAATGCTTATTTTTGGCCCCTTTTTGGCCCCCAATTCCTTTACTGTTGGTACCATAACCCCCAAAATCAATCCCAACCTTCCTTTTGTGGTATTGAACCTTATGGTAAAATTTCATAGAGATCCATTAACTTAAACTAAAGTTAGAGTGCGAAAATCAATGTGTCTTCGGATGACGCCGGACGACGCCAGACGACAACGACGACGACGCCAACGTCATACCAATATACGACCACAAAAATTTTTTTGCGGTCGTATAAAAAGTGGTTTTTTGTTGGTTTTTGACATCAGATAGCATCATGAAACTTTTCGTATTATGCTTTATATTTCAGAAGGTGGAAGAGCTGCATTCTTCATATTTTGTATACATATACTGTGCTTATTTCATGGTTTAGTGATCAACCTCAAGGTTTCATGATTAATTTGGTCCGTTTCAAAGATCCAATAATTAATAGGTCAACTATGTTGTGTGTGTAAAAAATTATTGGAAGGTGATGTGTCTGCCTGACAGGGTTAATCTGATTTTTGTCCTCAATTTTATGGTTATTGATAATGTTAAGCTTGTGATACCTGTAGTATAAAGACTCCATCACAATGAGTAAAGCAGGTGAGATATTGCAGTAATGTCAATTGGTCAACATGTAATCAACTGGCCAATGATGAATGCAAATTGATGACAAATGTCTTAAACCATGAAAGTTGAGATGGGTATGGAGGTAGGAATGTAAAACTCATTTTGCAGTTGGTTTAATATTTAGAACTGCATGCATTTTTGGCTCTTGAATTTCCTGGGTTCAGTACATTTTGCAATACATGAATTTCTAATTAGATTTTCCTCTCTCACATTTACAAAAAAAATCCTCTTCAAATGTATAACCTAGAAGTATGTCTGACATAGTCCAGTTTTTAAAGCCAACACAACACTATAAATAATTAACAAACAGTTCACTTGTATAAGCTTTATTGTACCCATGTACATAATCATATACAGAAGTTGGCTCAATTAATTTATAATTAACAAGCTAACAGTTCAAAAACAAGCACGTCTCATATTAACAGCATGATTTGAAAATACAAAATCGAATGAAAAAATCAATTAATGGAAAGTGAAGATGACATAGATAAATATATCTACATAAGTGAATTATAAATAGATTAAGACAATATTTTCTTAATATTTAAAAGCTGATAATCTGATTGAATAACTAATATTTCCTTTTTTTCCACATACCACTTGGAAATCAAGAAAAATGGCAGCTAGATCAATATAAAAATGCTGCTACTATAAATGTCCATCTAAACATCTTAATCATATCTGGTAGCCTTTGTAATATCTGGATGTCATTCAACCTGAAATGATTATGCACCTACAGTACCCACTGTCCATTTTTAGAACTAAGCCAATGTTAACATATCCAAAATGGTTGCAACATTTACAACCGTAACTTAAAAGGTTATCATATCTCTATTATTCTTGATTTATTGAACACAAACATCATCAAAGTAAATATGCTATAAATAAAATTGTTCAATTATCAGCACACTATTTCATTTTACAAATTCCATTGAATCGAAGTACTTGTTAGTCAAGAAACACATTTTGGGGAGATACTAAATACAGACACAATAGGTACAAGGTTTTTTTATGATTTCTTTGTTTTATCAGTCATGCTTTTAATATTTCAAGCACACATATACCATTCATTTGCTATGCAAAAAGTCTGAAACCACAAATTAAAAAACCCACAAAATATTTCAATAAACCATGTAAACTTTCGACCAAGAAACAAAGATACTTTGGATTCATTAATTTTCGAGAGTACCAATTTTCGTGGATTGAGGAAAAATTGCATGTTCGTAGATATTTGATTTCGTGGTTTTGCCCATCTTTGCATACAAAGCCTATAGAAAATTTGTAATTCGTTGAACATTTGAATTCGTGGTTTACCTGTACCAACGAAATCCACGAAAATTGGTATCCAACGAATAATGTTGAATCCACTGTACTTTCACAGTATTCATACATTACCCTCAGACTACTAGAAGAAAACTATGACAGTCTCTCTTCAGTATCTTGGATACGGAAAATATTCAACGTCACCATAAGTGAGTTTAAATATAGTAAAAATTGTATTTTAATTAACTTCATTATCTAACATTCCAGCACTAATATTCAATTTTAAATGATATTTCTCAACATCTTAGATCCATGATGTGCATGTGTATACCATGTTTATGCAAAATCATACTTTAAAAAATGTGCTTCGCCGAGCGCAAAGGTCCAACCATGAACAGTTGGGGTAAAAATGGACAATATTCAAGCTTGATACAGGGCCCCTTTTTGGCCCCTAATTCCTAAACGAATGGGACCATCACCCCCCAAAAACAATCCCAACCTTCCTTTTGTGGTATTGAACCTTTTGGTTAAATTTTGTAAAGATCCATACACTTAAACTTAAGTTATTGTCAGGAAACCAAATGTCTTGGGACGACGCAGATGACGACGTGATAGCAATATACGAATGCAAATTTTTTGCAGTCGTATAAAAATTAACAAACACACTACCATAACATATGGCTTAATCAATTATAAAAATGAAATACTAGAAATACTATGCAAACATTCAACTTGTACATCAAAATACAAAATAACTCTGATTCCAGGAAATATCAAACAAGGAAGGATTTACTACATAATTCATGGAATTCAATAACAGCATTTTAAACATGCAATTTAAATACATGTCTTCCCCTTTAGATAGACAGGATTCCAAGATGGTTTTGTTGGTACTATATATGTATCAAAATTTTGTTGTTTTTTCCTTCATTTTTCAGTTGTAAAATGGTATCTCTGACAAGGAACAAACTATTTCTAAAATTTCAAACAGTGAAATTGAATTGGCTATGGTTCAAGTGTTCTCAGTTTGAGATTTGAATCTTGTTAGACACCTGTATATCTAGATGAGTATGGTACGTGGTTTAATTAATAAATGGAACAATTTTTCTTTCACCATTTTGCCTGTATAACCTCTCCCTAATACAGTTAAATGGAAGAAATAGAAACAAACAGAAAATTTGTCCATAGTAGAGACATGTGCATATCTTAAAATCAAAATCATATAAGTGTAAACCAATTTTCTTGCAAGTGACATATTATGTTAACTTTATAAAAAAAAAATTCCAAACAAAACTGCTATTAAAAGTGGAATTCAGCACAATCAAAAGTAAAGTCACCTAAAGCAGGCTGTAACCCCTGAACAATACAGATATATTACCTAACAAACAGTTGAAAGAGTTCTTAATAAAATTAAAACTGAATTGACCAGTTGAAATATCAATGAACACTTGTACAAGTTAGGGTGTAATAAGTGAGCAGTTTCAGAAAGAAATATATTGTTATGGAACTGTTTATTAATATAAAAAAATTTGTAGGTAATAAATTTCAAACACAAGTTTGTAATTTATTACTTACCTGTTCACATATTTATATACAATATTTTGCACCACAATATACAAAATTTTTTTTTTATATAAATTTCATTTTTACAATTAAATGAACATATACAAAAGTGCTAAGGGGAGTTACTAGATCGAGCTGCCTTATTTTTCATGGACATTAATGCCTTTTCTCTCAATTTACGCTCTAGTTCTTCTGGATTCTCATCTTCATCATCATCCTCACTGCCAGACTTCTGAAATATATATACATTCATTAAGATATAAATACTGACAACATCATAGAAATAAACTCATAGATACCAAGATTTGTTTGTACCCTTAACACATGTTTCTTCTATAAAAGACTAATCAGTGACTCTTGAAAGAAATTAAGTTTAAAAGGCTAAATAACGTATGAAGTTGAAGAGCATTGAAGACCTAAAATTCTGAAAAACAAATTTGTTTCTGGTGCAATTCCGGCATCAATTCATATACATTCATATTGACTGCTGATAAGAGTACAGACTTGTTCAATGAAATATTTTAATTAATGTTCACAAGACTGTAATTCTGTCAGATATATTTTTATTTTTAAGTGGATCTTCAATTAAAAACTTAGGTTAGTATGGTTGGCTGGTCCAGGTGTTTCCCTCCTAATCTTAAGAACTGTTCAATCAACCCTTTCCAAAAATAAAATATGTTTTGCAACTTATAACAAAATGGAGGTCAAGTTGGATTTTCAATATTTTTACTTTTGTCATTCAGGAGTGATGGTCCTTGTTAGATTAGAGCTATTTTCCTAATGCTTGTAGTTCAAAAGGTTTGGTTGATTTGCTTGCTTTGTTTGTATAAATATGTGTTCAAGCATTGTAATTAAGTGCCAATCTGCCTAAGAATCAGGCAGTGGTGAAAATATGACAAACAAAAACCCACTCAAGTTGACATTAATTTTTGTTCCAATTGTATAATTGGGCACGAATATAACATTCGTTTCCTTTTTCTGTTCTGGTAATATAATTTAGTTGAAATGCATTAGAAATTAAAAACTAAGGGGAGCTAACTCTGTAATCTGCTATCATTCTAACCAAAAGTTATCGAGATTTCTCGAATTACCAGACAAGCAGAAATGAAAGACCTACCATTTCTAACTCAGGATGAGGGTAACTTCAAAATAGGATGGTTAGGTAGGTGGTTTTTTTTCGATCATGTTTTGAATTTTTTCTATAAATTGCCCAATTCTTGCAATGACTGACATCAGCAATCAACAGATAGGTGGGGCTTTAGCTTGTAAACATTATTTTTAAATGTTATTGGATGTTAAGTATAATGAAGAGTATAATGTATACAATCTGAAGCCCCACCTGTCTATTGATTGCTGATGTCAATCTTAATTACAATGCTTGAACAAACATTTATACAAACAAAGCAAGCAAGTCAACCAAACCTTTAAACTACAAGCATTAGGAAAATAGCTCTAAAAGAGATATATAATTTCTGAGTTGTAACTTGAGATATATCATTTCTGAGTAGTAACTTGAGAACCTATCAACCAATTCTTTTAAGATTTCCATATGCTGTTTTTTTAATGACAAAATGGAGATTAAGTTCCATTTTTCCAAAAGATGTCTCAAAAAGTGATGATGTGAGAAAATACTAAATTTGATTAACTGACTTCCAATCTAATAGCAAGGCATGAAAAGGGGATGATCATGACATGATAACTGCTATAACAGAGATTCTTACCTCTTCTCCTTGTCCCTTGTCTTTCTTATGTTTATGTTTCTTGTGTTTCTTATGCTTCTTGTGCTTTTTCTTTTCTTTCTTTTTTTTCTTCTTATGGGCTACATCTGATTCTGAATCCTAAAAAAAAATATTCTTTAATCTTAAGTTTCCTTTGTTGATCTCCTTTTCTACAACCATCAATGAGTTATATTCATTTATACTTTTTCTAAATTAAATTCTTGAATAAACTAGTGATATACATCAATTTGATCTTCCCTGACCATAAAAAGTTTAATACAGTCGAACCTCTGTGTGCTATAAAATCTGGGATGAGTCGAGATAATTTCTCTCCCTGCCGGTAAAATTCCTGTTTGATCAATGGATTTTGACCTCTGATGAGTCGATTTTGGTTGATTCGAATTATGGGTAAAGTCGAGTAAAATTTATAGTCCATCAATGTAAAATTAATGTAAATTGGACCCCCAATGTGTTGCAGTTAAAAGTAAAAAATTCTGAAAAAATAAATAAAATAGGATGTTTTTCTTGTGAAATCTAATTATTTTCATAAGTTATGAAAGCTGTGTAAGCATATTTGTATAACAGTCAAAATGACATGTATATGATGACGTGTAATTAAAACCTTTGTTGGTCATCCAAGCAGAACTTTATCGTGTCACCTGATTAAAACGAAACGAATGAACCAAGCCGAGATTATGTAAAACGTTAGAATTAAAATTCATTGATTGCAATAATTAAAAGGATTAAGACAAATATGAAAAATATACAATAATTGAATGCAAAGTAGACAACCCTCATCAGTGATATTTAAGGACTTTGTTCAGCAAGTAATTCCATATTTTAGAGTGACTGACCTTTGTATATATTTGTGTATTGATTTTATTATTAGTATCTGTACTTGTGTGTTTAATTATGGGACTAAAAAATATAGAGCTTGAATACACAATTATAAATTGTTGTATTGAAAATTATATGGGGAATGTGTCTGTGGGACATAGATGATGCCCCCGTTTGCATATAACGTCATAAAGGGACATAACTCAAGAACAGTAAAAGTGACACCACCAAAATTCAAACTTGATCTGTGTTGTGTGGTAATAAGCATTGTGTATAAGTTTCATAACATTTGGTTGAGGCAAACTAAAGTTAGAGAACAGAAACGAAAAATTCAGCAGTTTTTCCATTTGTAAAGGGGCATAACTCTATAACGGTAAAAGTGACGCCACCAAAATTCGAAGTTGATCAGTGTTTTGTGGTAATAAGCATTGTGTATAAGTTTCATAACATTTGGTTGAGGCAAACTAAAGTTAGAGAACGGAAACGAAAAAATTCAGCAATTTTTCCATTTGTAAAGGGGCATAACTCTAGAACGGTAAAAGTGATGTCACATAAATTCAAACTAGATCTGTGTTTTGTGGTTATAAGCATTGTGTATAAGTTTCATAACATTTGGTAGAGGCAAACTAAAGTTAGAGAACGGAAACCAATTTTGGGACGTATGGACGTACGTACAGACGCACAAGGGTAAAACTTAATGCCCCTCCACTACGGCGGGGCATAAAAATGCACAATGTTCAAAGTATCTAGTTAACACATATTTCATGCTTTCGAAATTGATGACAACACACACAACCTCGGATGAGTCAAATCTTTAATAAGTTGAATATTTTTGTCAGTCCCTTTGAACATATGTTCAACTGTTAAAATTTGTCAAATTAAGGACACAAAAACAAATGCTTTACACATCTAAATATTACTTGGACATTTTTTGATAATTTCAAGAAAAATCATTTTTCAAGCTTTTGCATATACATGTATGCATTTTTGTGTTGCCTCAGCATTATAAACTATTGGATCAAGCATGGATTCAACAAAAATAGGGAGGTAATTAATCAGAATTTCAGTAATTTTTACATGATTTTATTAATTCTGAAAAAAGGTGGTTCCACCTCCTAAAGCAGAGATCATTATGTATTTCTATGAGGAACAATTGGCGGCTGAACTAAGCCGATTACTTTTTTTTTTTTTATTAATAACCATACCTCTGAATCACTTTGAGAAACATCTTTCTTCACTTTGACTTTTTCCTTCCTTTCTTTGTCTTGCTTTGAAGTTTCTCTGTCTCGAACTGGACTCCGTTCTTTTTTAACAGATACTACTCGATGATATTCCTCTTCAGCAGGTTGTCTCTTATCAGGACTAGGTGATGATTGTGATCGTTTAGAACCAGTAACATAATCTGGACTGACATCTCCACGACCACGTTTTTGTGGTGTTGGATGCCGTAATGAATCTTTGGACACTTTTTTAGATGGCGGTGGTGACTGTGAACCTTCAGATGAACTACTAGGGCTGGTATGTTTATGTTTTCTAGATTGTGCAGGTGAAGATGATGGTTTTCTATTGCGGGGTGATGGTGATCTATGTCTTTGAGATGGGGGAGGTGATCGTCTATCTCTCTGACGTAACTTATTTTCTCTTGAGTCTCTTATATCTGCAAACTTTTCCGGAGAAGATTCTGAATGCGGTCTCTGCCTTGTGTAATTTCTTTGTTTCTGTCGTGAGTCATACGAGGATTCAGAGTCACGCTTGGGTCGACGAGGTGACATCTGATCCTCTGATTGTCTATTTCTTTTTGGAGGGGGAGACTGTTCAAAAGATTCACGCCCTCTTCTTGGAGGCTGAGGTTTTCTTTGTGGTGAATTTTTCTTCTGTTGTGGATGACTTTCTTTGGCAGCTGGGGATTCTTCTCCTGAGGATTCATTTTCAGAACCAGAGTCAGATTCAGATTCTGATTCAGACTGCTTTTTACCATCAGATGTGTTACTTTTTTTTAGAATTCTGTTATTTCTTTCAGGTTCTTGCTCCTCTTCAGAATCTGAAGGTGAAGGACGTTTAACGTCATCTCTTTTTTTCCTTGGTCTTGACTCAGGAGATTCCTCTCTGAAGCGTCTAGCTGGAGGAGGTGGGGAACGTCTCCTTGGTGGTGGAGATTGAGATCCCCTTGAAGGACGTCTGCGTTCAAAATTTCCTGGAGACCTCCTTCTATAGAAATCTGGAGGAGACATTCTCCGCCTGGGCGGTGGAGGAGATTCAGACCCTGATCTCCTCCTCATCCTCCTAAAACATACACAAAAAAACATAAAACAAGATGTATTCTCAAATTTTTTACAAATCCATTTTCTTCTTTATACAAATTTATATGACAAAAAAACCAAAAAAAATGTTTTTAACTTATTCATACAAAAGAGGTATCATTTGAAAAATGAATGATTGTGATTTATCCTCTTTATGGAATCAGTTTATACAATATGTTTTTCATTCCTTAGTGTCATCAGTAAGCCATGCATGAATGACTAGCCTTTTAAAGAAATCAAATAATAAATTGCTTCGCCGAGCACAGCTGGATACGAAGGCAGAGGTCCAACCCTGAACAGTTGGAAAAAATACCTTATTAACAGGAAATGTTTTTCTTCTCAATATATTTGAATATGTTTAATTACTTTAATTATTAATGCTTTTGTATTTTGTACATTTGTGCACATTTTGTCAACTTAAACTAGTTTCATTTTTATGATATATATTTGTATTGATTTGTTATTTTCAATTATTTTCAAATTAATTACTACAAGAGATATCTGAAATTTCAAAAGCTGAATTTAAACTTCATGTAATTCTTTAAATTATTCCAATGCACCCAAGAAAATATAATTTCAACATCTAAAATATTCTTTTTAATAGGTCCTAATAAAATTGAAATAGATAATTTAGAATTTACTTGCAAGAATATTTGTTCACACAATGTTGATGATACATCTGTTGGTTCAGTTAAAATGGCCATTCGGGCAGTCAATAGTTAGCCATCATTTTTTTACCATCTTAAATGTTGTGTTAGGTTTACTGTATATTCAAGAAGCAATTGGTACTAGTAAAAGATTGAATGTGTTCCATTGGACCAAGGAAAGGGACTTCAAAATGTCAACAATGGGTTCTTGATATAAACAAAATTTTGCAGTGAAAATGTAAAAGTAATTCTATAAATAACATTAGTTGGTTACCCCCATTTTCAAAGTGCCTTCCCTGGGTACCATGTATGTTTAAATGGAACAGCCTTAAGATTTTAATCTTTCTTTTTTAGATCAGATTTAATCATAAGAATAATAGGTTGCTCTGCTCTCTCATGTATAATATTGAAAACACTAATGAGATAGAGACCTTGAGAGGAATCATACCTTGGAGGGGATCTCCTGAACCGTGGAGGGCTGTAATAACGTGGAGGACTTCTCCTGGGGTCGGAATATCTGAAAGATATAAAAAGAAACCTTAAAGTGGCTTCCTGATGAAGAAGATTCTCTTCAAAATACAGTAGACTCCAGCAAATTCGATACACAAAATGTCAGCAAAAAATATCCCATTACCTGATATATTCAATTAAAAGATAAATGTATATTTATTGAATATTCTGCAAAAAAAAAAGGGTTCACCTAATTCTGAGATGCAACTAGCCCTGACCACTGCTGTAGAAAAGGGTGAGGGTGTTTTTTCTTGATTTTTTTCAGGTACAACACCACAATGTTTGAGTAAAAAATTGATCAGCTGGTTATGTAATACTATATGTTTTCTGCTTTTGAATCCTTTGTTTATTTAAATAAATCAAATTTCCTAATTATTTATGTGAATAAACATCTACCATCCATAGTTTGTGTCTTAATTTGTTTCATAAACGAAGTAATATCCATATTCATGCATGTCTATTTATGAAGTGACAACACAGGTAACTTGCTATAAATAGCTACACCAATTTCTCAAAAGTACAGCAAAATCTTGCTCACACTCTTTGAAATTTTTATCAGCTTGTCTTATTAACATGATGACTAATTAAACTATTTCTTCTTTGATATTTAATTAAAAACTAATTTGTTTCTATCATTCAATAGAAACGATATGGAAAGAGGCTTAAATTTAGATTTAAAATGATTACATGTCTGAAGTTCAGCAAATTATTTTTCCACTATCATTTGTCACAGAGTCTCTAAACTGAAATCTTACTTGTTATATATTTTATTTCTTTAAATTACGAAATTTAGTTTGTTTATCAATGAAGATAATAAAGATTGATGAATAAATAATGCATCAAGTTTAAGTTTTCTAAAGATTCTGTTATTGTTCAGCTCATGGTTCTCGAAGCTACACATTAAAATGTAAACAAGGGAAAATGGCGTCCATGACATGTGGTCATGCACATGTTACATAATTATATCTGACAAAAGTCAGATTTCTCTGTTTAGAAGGGATTTAAATGTATATTGCAATAAATTATTCAGAAGGAGGTACATTCAGTTTAAAATTATATTTCTGATTCCGTGAACACACAAGTTTTATCAAAATTTCTCCCAATGTACTGCACTGGTATTTTTAAATAAAATTCATCCATTGTAAGGGCATCTTATTCACATTACAAAGGAAGACAATGAATAAAGACAACAATTTTATTAGGAAATAGTCCCTTTTATTAAGCAGAAACAAAAATTTCTTGTCTGCAAGATTGTACTTGCATAACTTCCGGCCTCATTTTCTGTCAGAAAAACATTGAAAATATCTGATTGTGCATGGTTTTGACAGATTCTTATGAATATTCCTATCCAATTTGCCGACATATTCTTATATCAGATATTCGTTTACCCGATAAAATTTACATTAAACATATAGGAGGGGGGTTTGGTGTTTTGAAATAATATTACAATAGCCGATATATTCATTTAGCCGATATCTGATTAGGTGGAGTCTACTGTACAACATAAAAACTTACCTATGTTTAAAATACTGAAATATTTAAACAAAAGCTTACTTTCACAGATGGAATTTGTTAAACAATGAGACACCTGTTGGACATTGAAATGTTCTCTAAAAAAAAAGCAAATATCTCTCTTTATCTAAAATGTTGCTACAGAGGTTCATTTTAAATATAAGAAAAAAAAATAGTACCTCTGTCTTTGTTCTGGAAAGTATCTTCCCCCTCTGTCATTATATCTGTTATATCTTGGTGGTTCCCATCTTGGCGGTGGGGATCGCCTGTCTCTTCTTGGAGGAGGTTTACGTCCTGTAAAAAAGACAGGATCCTTTTTTTTTACTGTGAAAACTAATTAACACCAATTATAATGTAATATATTAAATGTCATTAAAAAATGTTTGCAACCTCAAAATACCATAACACTTTTTATCTTTATGATGATTGATACTTGTTTCAACTACATATAAGTGTTATTCCAGAAAATGCTATGACCCACCTAAACAGTAAGGTGGCGACAATCTAAAATTAGCAAATATCTGTAGATTAAAAAACACCAACCACACTTAACAGATTTGATTGAATGAATGTTCTTTGTTGACATTACAGAGTTCTCGATAAGTGGTGGTCCTAGGGATTTGACCACCACATTTTTGGGAAGGACCAACACAATTTTGGTAATTTGCAATAGAAATGATGGTGAGGACCTTCATATTTTCTTCAAGAACCACCAAGCAAAAAAAGATTTCGAGAACTCTGTTATTATTACAATATAATCAGAACATTTATTCAAAAGAAATACCAGATCCTGCTCATTGGCCTCATGTCGCAAGATGGCAATGGCAAAATCTGACAATGAAAAAGTATCAAATATGATTGTGAAGTCCTTTCAGGTAATACCCAATGAATTTAAGCAGCAGAATTCAGATAAATACTGTAAATTCAGAAATTATTGCATGCAATTATCATTGGGATTGTAAAGTAATGGACATAAATGCAAGATTAATCATTGCGATGTCAGGAAATTCTGCATACAAATATTGCTATGAAAATTGATAATGCAAGTTTTATTTTTATCCTAACATGATTTTCGCAATAATAAAAACATCACAATAATTTCTGAATTTACAGTAACTGAACAAATTTAGTTCTTCTATTTGGACTCTGGTGGATAGTTGTTTCATTCACAATCATACCACATCTCCTTATATTCAAATATTTGTACAAGTTTAACACATCATTTGCCCAATCAATAAGCTGATGTGACCTTGAGAAATTTGCTTTTTCAGGTGTTCCACAATGGAAGTGGGCACTTCTTCCAGCTTGTCCAAACCATCAAACTTCATGGAATGAACATGCTGTTTCCTTTGTTTTATCAAAAGTCTTTCACAATCTATTGATATTATATTAGCAGATAAACATTGTTTTCAACAGTTCTTCAAAATTAGACAGATAGACGTGAGTTGAGATGGACGAGCTGCTAAACATGTTTAGGTGGAAAATGTTTAATCCACAGGTAATACTTACCAACTGACTCTCTTGAAGAGGAAGAAGAAGAACCTGAAGAAGAGTCAGAATCGTTACTTTCCTCATGCTTACGATAGTTTCTCTTAGCCTGGACACCAGTCTTCTCTGGTGATTCCTGAGTACTATTCTCCGTCTGAAAAAAGTACACAAAAAAAAAATCAATGTAAATACTCCTGTAAGCTAAGTGTCCTGTATAATTTATCATTGTATAAACAGTAAAATAAATCAACCTCTCAACATATTTCATTCTTCAATCCTTACTAATAAGCTCCTAGCAATAGATCATAAATTACAACTTTCACTAGATAGTAATTTATTAACTTTGACATAGTTGCTAACCTTAACAATCAGAAAATCATGTGATGTCAAAATGAGTGTTATATTTTTTAATAGGTTTTCTCAATAGGTTCTCATTCTGTTTAATTTTTAAGATCTGGGTACAAAAAATTGGTAGTAGCTTAGGATAATTTTGCCAAATTTTTCCCGCAATCAGAAAATAAAATGCTCCGCAGGGCGCAGCTTGATACGACAGCAGAGGTCAAACCCTGAACAGTTGGGGCAAGTATGGACACAACATTCAAGCTTGATACAGCTCTGAATTTGGATTGTGATTAAATATTTGACACAGCATAGGTTTCTGACACAGAATGAATGTGGTCTAAGAACTTAAAAATTTTAAATTGGACATTTACCTATTATGGTCCAATATCCAAAATCTAAATACATGGTTAGATTCAGCATATCAAAGAACCCCAAGAATTCAATTTTTGATGAAATCAAACAAAGTTTAATTTTGGACCCTTTTGATCTCAATGTGGACAAAGTTGATAACGGGGCCCAAAAATCAAAAATCTAAATACATGGTTAGATTCAGCATATCAAAGAACCCCATATATTCAATTTTTGTTGAAATCAAACAAAGTTTAATTTTGGACCCCGATTTTGACCAACTTGAAAACTGGGCCCATAATCAAAAATCTAAATACATGTTTAGATTCAGCATATCAAAGAACCCTAAAAATTCAATTTTTGTTAAAATCAAACTAAGTTTAATTTTGGACCCTTTGGACCTTAATGTAGACCAATTTGAAAAAGGAACCAAAAATTAAGAATCTAAATACACAGTTAGATTCGGCATATCAAAGAACCCCAATAATTCAATTTTTTATGAAATCAAACAAAGTTAAATTTTGGACCCTTTGGACCTCAATGTGGACCAATTTAAAAACGGGGCCCAAATATCCAAAAACTTAATACACGGTTAGATTCAGCATATTAAAGAACCCCAAGAATTCAAGAATAAAACCCCATTGAAATTGATCAAGAAATAAGCAATTTATACGAAGTATCTTCTTTTGCACAATACTGTGCAATTGAATATTTCTTGCTATTGCGCAATACTGTACAATTGACAATTTCTTGCTATTGCTCAATATTGTGCTATTGGATATTTCTTGCTATTGCGCAATACTGTGCAATTGAAGATTTCTTGCTATTGCGCAATACTGTGCAATTGAAGATTTCTTGCTATTGTGCAATACTGTGCAATTGAAAATTTCTTGCTATTGCACAATACTTATTATATAATAATTTACACATCCTGTTTGGTGTGCATCTCCTACCATATCATTATTATTTGCTTTTAAATATTAATCAGAAATAACCAACTTAAAATGGAAAATTTTAAAAGAAAAAAAAAAGGAAAAAAGAAAAAAAAGAAAAAAAAAAAATCCCCCCCCCCAAATTTTTGGAACCCCATTATGATTCATCACCCCCAAACTCAATCCCAGCCTTCCCTTTGTGGTATGGTACCTTACAGTACAATTTCAGAGAGATCCATACACTTGAACACAAGTTATTGTCTGGAAACTAGAAAAATGCTTATTTTTGGCCCCTTTTTGGCCCCCAATTCCTAAACGTTTCGGGCAATTACCCCCAAACTCAATTCCAGCTTTCCCTTTGTGATATGGAACCTTGTAGTACAATTTCAGAAATATCCAAACACTTACACTTAAGTTATTGTCATGAAACTCGAAAAATGCTTGTTTTTTGCCCCTTTTTTGGCCCCTAATTCCTAAAATTTTGAGGCAATTACCCCCAAAATCAATTACAGCCTTCCCTTTGTGATATGGAACCTTGTGGTACAATGTCAGAGAGATCCATACACTTACACACAAGTTATTGTCTGGAAGTTACAAAAATGCTTATTTTTGGCCCCTTTTTGGCCCCTAATTCCTTAACTGTTGGTACCATAACCCCCAAAATCAATCCCAACCTTCCTTTCATGGTATTGAACCTTATGGTAAAATTTCATGGGGATCCATTCACTTAAACTAAAGTTAGAGTGCGAAAACCAATGTGTCTTCGGACGACGACGTCGACGCCAAAGTCATACCAATATACGACCAAAAAATTTTTAATTTTTGCGGTCGTATAAAAAGGGATAAAATGAATCATCTTAAATTTGTGTAATCATTCTATTAAGTCTCAGGAATCTGGGTTGAAAACTACAGGAGTTTACACAAAATATTTACCCACTTTCCCTTTCCAACAACTCCCCTTAAATCACCATACTATTTATGAGCTTGTTTCGAATTCTGACTCATCCATTCCAGCCAAAAATGGAGAAAGGTCTATCATACTTTTATTATTTCAAGTCTTTAACAAGTTAAAAGATCCTGACCCTTACACCTAGTTTACCATATTAAATTTGAGGAATGACTAATATTTTTTCTGTCAATGAAGAAATAACATCAAAAATGAGGTGCACACTTACGCAGGTTATTCAAAAGTGTGCACCACATTTTTTAGGTTATTTCGAATAGACAGAAAAAATATAACAGTCATTCCTTGTAACTTAATTCTAAATTCCATTTTTAAGGAGTAAATTTTTGGTGACGTCACGGTCACATAAAAAAAATTATGTCTATGAGCTGATAGACAAATAAATCACTTTGAGCCAATCAGAAGACGTGTTACATCCAAAATTAAATTATTAAGAAATATTTGCATTCTCCAATTTTTTTATGTATAAACTTCATATATTTTGGTATTTAAAAAAAATCTCTAACAAAAATTCTTACCACAGGTCTTTTTTCTGCATTGCTGTCATCTGAATCAGAACTATCTGAGCCACTACTTGAAGAGCTAAAAAAGAGTTGATTGCATAACAATAAAATAACTATTACTTCAACAAGAGTTCACACACTGAAATGTCTCACCTATTTTACTTCATCCTTCATTTCATGTTGTAAGTCTGTAATATGAAAGTTTTACTACAAGTATCACATAAACGTAACATCATCAATTTTCTATGAAAATGAGGTCAAGGTCAGATGAACTATGCCAGACAGACATGTACACCTTACAATCATTCTATACACCAAATAAAGTGGTCCTATTGTTCATTATACATGAGAAACAGATCAAACCAATAAATCTTAACAAAGACCAATGAACTATGAAAATGAGGTCCAGGTCACACAAACCCTGCCAGACAGACATGGACACCTCACAATTGTTTCAATACACTAAGTATAATTGACCTATTGCTTATAATATCTGAGAAATAGACCAAACCATAAAAACTAAAAATTGTTCAATGAACCATGAAAATGAGGTTGATGTCAGAGGAAACCTACCAGTTGGACATGTACACCAGACATGGGGTAATTGAAATATGTAATTGTAATTGACCGTAATTAATTACAATTTCTCAAGTAATTGAAAGTAATGTGTAATTGAGCATTTTTTCAATTACAAGTAATTGAAAGTAATGAATTACAAAGCCAAAATTGTCTGTAATTGACAATTACTTTTCAATTACAACTCAATTACATTTGAAATTTTGGAACAGAAAGATTGAATCTTGTGTTTTCTCAAAAAATGATGACATAATATAGGTTTCTTAATTTATGTAGTCAAAGAACTTGAAATTGGTTATATGAATTGAATTTATATTCAATTAAAGATTTCTTGCTGTTGTGCAATACACTGTGCTGTTGCCCAATACTTAGTAAATCTGTTGTCAGACTATTAACAAATAAAGTTCAATTAATTCTCAATGTCATATTAGAAATTTATGAAAATATAAAGGGAGCTTACATCAATAGATATAAACAATTCACCAAAGTTTCATGAGAATTGCTGAGAGCATTTTTGAGTTACTGTCAGAAAACTGGAAAATCCCCCCTTTTTTAATGAATAAAATCCCACAACTCAGAAATGTAAAATCTAAAATATATAAAAATCAAAAGGGAGCTCATGTCAATAGATATAAACAATTCACCAAAGTTTCATAAGAACTGCTGAAAGCATTTTTGATTTTTTGTCTGAAAACTGGAAAATCCCCCTTTTTTTATGAATAAAACCCTGTAACTCGGAAACGTAAAATCTAAAATATATAAAAATAGAAAGGGAGCTCATGCCAATAGATATAAACAATTCACTACAATTTCTTGCAAGTTGGTGAAAGCATTCTTGAGTTATTGTCCGAAAACTGGAAAATCCCCCTTTTTTAAATGAATAAAACCCCATAACTCGGAAACGTAAAATCTAAAATTTATGAAAAACGAAAGGGAGCTCATGTCAATAGATATAAACAATTTACCAAAGTTTTATGCAAATTGGTTGATGTCCGACATGTTGACGACGGGCGGACAGACAGACGGATGGACAGACGGACAACGGTATACCATAATACGTCCCGTAAACGGGCGTATAAAAAAAGTCAAATGTAATATGTAATTTAATTGAAGATTTGTAATTGTAATTGAATGTAATTAATTACTTTCAAAAGTAATTGACCCCATGTCTGATGTACACCTAACAATCATTCCATACACTAAATAATGTTGCCCTATTGTTTATAGTATATGAGAAATAGACCAAACCACAAAAACTACATTGTCCAATTAACCATGAAATTGAGGTCAAGGTCAGATGAAACCCGTCAGTCGGACATGTACACCTTACAATCATGCCATACACCAAATACAGTTGACCTGTTGCTTTTAGTATCCGAGATATGGACTTGACCACTTAACTTTAACCTTGATCACAATTCCATGGAAGAAGGTCGAGGTCAGGTGAACCCTACCTGACCGACATTTAGATGTTGCAAGGAACCCATATACCAAATATAGTTATCCTATTACTCATAATAAGTGAGTATTTCACTTAACAAGAAAACTAATTTTTTTTCAAGCAGTCACTGAACCATGAAAATGAGGTCAAGAACAATGAACTGCCATTTCCAAAATGATAATAAGAAAAGAAATATTGAAGATCATGTTTTGGTATTTGAAACCAGTATATTTACTTCATAATATTGTCTTATCAGATGATGAATATTCCAAACTTTCTTGCTGTGCTGTTACAGTTTTTATAAGTTACAGCATGCATGTAAATGACTTGTTACCAAAATTTTTACTTATAGTGAGTTAACTAACAGTTGCCAGAAGAGGAGCAGGACATATGTTCACCCTTATCTTAATTTGTTTCATCTAGCTTTCTGTGTGATGTTTTTTATCTTTACACCTTTATCTTTTGATAATGATACATGCATTCCACCCCAAATCTAGTTTTTTGCCTGCCTATTTCTTAGAGAGTCTTATTACCTCTTAGGTCTACGATTTGGTGGTGATGGTTCTCTCTTGGATCTTTTAGGGCTTCTTGATCGCCTATATCTTGGTGATCTTGATCTCCTTCTTGGATCTCCTCTCCTTGATGGTATTCTATATCTATCTCTTGACCTGGATCTCCTTCCATATGATCTTTTTCTTGACCTATAAAACAAAATTGTGAGCTATATCAGTGATTTACATTGTTGTGATGGTGATAATTTCAAATTTTTTATTATAATATGAAAATTCAAATCATTTAAAGAATAATTTTTTAAACCAGCTTCACCATATCAAAATAAAATAACATTATGAAGTGGACCTGAAAATTTATGTAATTTGATAGAAGCAATGTATGAATAAGCTGAAACAATGTCACTTTGAAAGACTGACTATGTCACACCAAATAAATGGGGAATATGTCCATGGGACACAGATGATGCCCCCGCTTGCATATCATATAAATATATAAAGGGAAATAACTGAAGAAAGGTAAAAGTGATGCTACCCAAATTTGTACTTGATCTGAGTTTTGTGGTAATAAGTATTATGTATAAGTTTCATAACATTTGGTTGAGGCAAACATAAGTTAGAAAAAGGAAACAAAAAATTCAGCAACTTTTCCATTTGTAAAGGGCCATAACTCTAGAACAGTTAAAGTGTCACCACCAAAATTCAAACTTAATCTGTGTTTTGTGGTAATAAGCATTTTGTATAAGTTTCATAACATTTGGTTGAGGAAAACTTAAGTTAGAGAGCGGAAACGAAAAATTCATCAATTTTTCCATTTGTAAAGGGGCATAACTCTAGAACGGTTAAAGTGATGCCTCCAAAATTCAAACTTGATCTGTGTTTTGTGGTAATAAGCATTTTGTATAAGTTTCATAACATTTGGTTCAGGCAAACTAAAGTTAGAGCATGGAAACCAACTTCGAGAGGTACATACGTACGGACGGACAAGGGCAAAACTTAATGCCCCCTCCGCTACGGCAGGGGCATAAAAATGTTAAGATTTCACATAATCTTAAATATAAAGAAGGATTCTTTGGAAAATTTTGCTTACCCTGACCTTGACCGCCGTCTCCTACGATAATCTGATCTAGATCTACTTCTTCTTTGTCTATCATGGCTTGGTGACCTAGATCTTGATCTTTTCCTTCTGTCGTCTGTTTTCTTTTCATCTTCCTCATTTTCATTTTTCTTTTCATGACTCGCTCTACAATCATACATAACACTCTTAGCTGTAACAATAAACATTTAGCTTTTAATAATGGTTAAGGAAGAGAAAATTTTGCATATTGAAAAAAAATTGTTTGAAAAACCATTCTAAAACCATCAAATATTTAGTTAACACTTAAGAAACAAACTTATCAGTTATTGACTTATTCATAATTAATTTTTTTTTCTAATGTCAAAATCACTTTTATTTTAGATAGGTAATTCTTTTTGGAATTATAATCAGCACAAAATAAGTTATTATAAAAATTGCACAACTTATCAACCTTTGCAAAAGTACCATGGCACTGTTATTATAAATGAACCTATGCATTAGATGATTAGATTGTTATAAGCTTGAAGGATTTATGACCTCTACAAACAAATTCCACTAACTAACTACGTGTTTGTTTTGTTGAAGTTGACCATTATTTACTTATCGTTCATATGATTCCTAAAATAAATTCAAGTTTTACTGTTGGAGGATTACCTCCATTAGATACTAGTAAATCAAGTTTACCTTTAACAAATAACCAGAGTGAGACTTGAGTTCATGCAACAGATTTTGTAATCTGAATCAGAGTTCTCCAAAAGTGGTGATCCAAATGTTTAAAATTTGCAAAGGACTGACACAATTTAAGAATTTTGCCAATAAAAATAATAGTGAGGACCAGCAGATTTTCTTCAAGGACCACCAGGGGAAAGGATTTGAGAATTCTGTCTCAAGTGATTGGTTAACCAAATACTTAGACCATTGACAGCTGGTTACAGGTACAAATCAATTTTTATAAACCTACTCTTTATCATCATTTGAATCTTCCTTTTTTTCTGGAGACTGTGAACCAGACTTGTCCTCTCCTCTTTTCTCTGTATCACCAGCTGACAAATCTGTGCCATTTTCTTTTTCTTTCACATCAGATTCTTCTTTATTCATATCGTTAGGTTTTCCTTCTTCCTCATCAACCTGCTCATCATCAGATTTGGTTTTATCCTTGGTCAAATCTTTATCTTTAGACCTACTTCTTTTTCTCTCTTTTGATCTACTCCTTCGGTCTCGTCTTCTCTCTCTTGATCTACTTCTTGACCTTCTGTTCAAACATAAACATGTATAAAGGTATTTTGATTCAATCAAAACCCCCCAATAATGAGTTTCTCATCTTTTTTTTAGACAAAAAATAAATGGAATGTCAAAGTGAACAAAATTACTAGATTTATATTACAAATATTTTTTTAGGGAAATGAAGCCACACTTGCCCAAGAAAGTAGGCATGCAAACCACTGGCAAAACTACATTTGGATTTTTCTAGCACTAGACAGTTATTGATATTGCACAACGCTTTTTCTTGCACTATTTTCAATGTTATACATTTATATCAATTGCAATACTATCTAGAAGTATTGTGGCTTATATCAGATTATGAAAAAGGCACATTTTAATAATCAAAAGATCAATCAATTGCACTTTTCTATTGCTCTCTTTTCTTTTATAGATTTGTATAAAACACACCAGAGACGTACTCTCCCCTCCCTCGTAGTCCTCAACTTAATTTTTTTTAAATTTCAAAACTTCTTGGATAATAATTCAGAATACATAAACAGATTTTTTCTATGAATGCTGACACAAACTATGTTTGTATAATTGAAATCATGACATAACCAGTGATTTTGCTAGCGCTCGTCATTTTCGTCATTTACGAAACGGTTTTCAAAATGAGGAAAGTATTCCAAATCAATTTCGTCACTTAAATTTGGAAAGAGTAAAAATATTTTCGCATGAAAATACTATAATTCTACCTGTCTTCTTAATTGTTTCTGACAAGTTTATGACCCTCAGCTAATTAGCATTTACAACAGGTGTTATAAGTTGTGATTACAGATAATCCGCTTATCGCCATCGGATGGGTCACTAATCCGTTAATTATTTATCAACCTCATAATTGATCATCATAATTATTTTCCCCAGTAAAATCAGTCAGTCAGTATTTCAATTTCAATATTTATCAAACGAGCACAATTTGCAGTTCTTTTGTCGTAGTTTCCTCATTCGAGTTTTCCCTCGGACACTTCGCATTTTAATTTCAATATTTCTCAAACGATCACAATTTGCAGTTCGCTTGTCGTAGTTTCGTCATATTTGATATAACTTTTAATCAAAAACTTTCGACAATTTCGATTAAAAAGATAGAACCTTATTCATAACATTCAGAAATGTTTTCACGAGTCAAACAGGTGCTTCCTTTACAATGAACTGCGCATGCACGAAAGTATTCTTATGAATTTAAAGACACGAAAACGTAAAATACGAAATAATTAAGTATCAAACTAAATGAGAGAGACAAATATAGTTCTTATTTAGAAAATTTAATTTAAAAAATGATAATTTCCTGCCTTTTTTAAACACGAACCAATCCGTAGATGAATCCGGATTCATTCTGAATTTATTATCCACTTTGTCACTTCCCGTTTTCATTTCATTTGGAAATCGAAAGTAAACGTGATCTATTCATGATAAATTTACAATTTAAAGTCATTAGAATTGTTCCAACAATGATTTGTACAAATCCTTGGTTCCAACTTTATAGAATTAATTCTAAATATCGCTTTAAAACGTTTTTAAGGATAATGAGTATGAGTAATGAAGTGAAATAGTCCTTACAAGTTCATATATGCTGTGATTCCTGGTTTAAAAAAAATGAATCCCAACTTTTGCTGATTAGGAATGTACCCTGAAACTAACTGAAGTGAAATTGTGAACTAGATTTCTAGATCTTATATCCTAATCTTCTTATTAAAGTGCCACATCAATCAAATCATGCAGTAACTGTATAGTATGCCTAAGTCCTTCAAAGTCTGACAAATATATATAGATAGTAATATACATCCTAGATCCCTTGCTGCTACCCAAAATAAGGTTGATTTTCATCCCGTGCAAAAGTGACTAAAGCCCTCAAAATCCTAGCTTAAACCCTGACATAACCATAAATTATTTGTGTTATTTCTCAAATTTTCTAGCATTAACCCTCAATCCCAGCATCAATGATTTAAAACCATGTTATGATTCTTCCTACCTAGGAGAGCCTCTGTCTCTCTTCTCTTGTTCCTTCCTTTCTCTACTCAATTGTTCTCTAATCTGTTCTTCATGCTTTTTCAGATTAGCCTGGATTCTTTCTTGCTCTATCTGTGATGGTTAAAATAAAAAAAAATGCAATTTTTTAGAATATAAAACTTATTGAAAGAGAATCATTGCACTTTTAAAATATGTTTAAAATAGTGAGTTATCACAAAATATAAATCACAATACACATAAACGTTGACTCTTCCTAAAATCTACAAAACTGTACATTTCTCCAAACTTCTTTAATGCAATATTAACAGTGCCAATTGTACAAGACTCTTGAAAACATTATTAATGTAACACTCAATTTAATTGTTAACCATGTTAACTTTTCAGTTTTTAAACTGGACAAGTCGTAAAAGCACTGAACAAATACATTGTATGGAGGGCATGAAAAGCAAAATCATCAATGATTTACTGTAACTGATTAGCATTCTCACCTGTCTTTTCTTTATTTCTTCCTTCTTTTGTTCGATGAACTGTTCTGGTATGCCACTTACATGCGCCTGTGCACTTGCCAACAATTCCCATAGCTCGCCTAAGAATATACGGGCATTTCTAGGGTTCAGGAAACCAGTCAAGTTTATCTGTATTTCTTTCGGATCTGGATGCTGCAGCGAGACAATGGGGAAGAAAAACAAATGAAGCATGCTTTTTTTGTATTTAATACAATGAAATCTTAACCAGGAAAAATAAAATGAAGAACTAAAAAGAGTGATTTGTTATACAAGATTATAAAGACCTCAAACTTGTACATGCAATCGAAAATCGTATATTGGTTCAATGAATACAATACAGCGCAATATGAGCCATCAAATTGTTGTTAATTTGCCTTAGGCACGACATACGATACACACAACATAAACCATGAATACATTTTGTTTAAATGGTGTACATGTTTTAAAAGTATACATCTTTCGTGCGTATATCAATCTGACTATCTCTATCCATTTTGCTCATTTTTCTTTCATTTTCTATGTGAAATCATCCTTTAATCATAATAAAAGAAGTATTAGAGATAACAATATACATAGTTGACAATATAACACAAGAAGCATGGAAAGAAAAATTATTAATTTTGATAACTTTTTTTAAAACATCACTTCATTGTTATCCTCAATTTCTTTAGCACAATCAACGATAGATTTCAGTAGAACACTTATTACATTACAATACAAACATAATTTGGAATGATAGGTATACTTAACTTGAACTATTCAATACAAACCGATTTGCCATCGGTGTGCAGTCTTTGCCTCCTTAAGATTTATGTGTCGTAGCCCTTTAATTCTTGGACTTGAAGGGAGGTAATTTTATGATCATCGCTGATTGTTAAGAGAGGAAACATCAAAATATAAGTTAAACTTTCCATGAAAAGACAATCAACAAAAACAATACTTTTTCAACCAGAATATCTTTTACAGAAATAAGTGTAGTTTTTCATGTACTAATAAAATATATTAGAGATTCCTTACAATTTGCATATTGTCCAAGAAACTAAGAACTTGTTTGGAATATTTAAGAGTTTTCCATAAATGATATTTGCATTATGATTCAATTTTCTTTGTTGATAATTAACACTGAATTAAACTTTACCGACTGAACTTAAATTGCTGATCAAATGCTTTTTCTGGTACCTTAATTGAATGTTACTACAAAGTATTTAAATAGCAGATAGGAAGCGTAAAAAAAAAAGAGACCTCATAACAGCTTATGAGTGCACGAGACTGGTCGCTCACCTGGTTTGTTCATGTAAAAAAATTGAAATAGGACATTTATGCTATAGGTCACAGTAGTAAGTATGAAATGTTTGCAGAATGGATGGTTGTAGAATGTCCAGTGACAAATATTACATGCATATTGAGGATAAGAACATGTTAATGTGATATGAATATGAACTCTGCTTTATACAAGACTGACACGCTAAGTGGGAATTTAAATGTGTAAGTTCACAAGGCAAGTCTGCAGGTAGACATTTTTCCCTACACAAATACATTTTTCTGACTCCAAGACAACAAGTCCTTTCTCTTACCCCTAAATGCAGTATGCTTAGAGGAGGAGCAGTAAATACCAATTTTCAAGTCTTTTGTTGGACATGGCAAGGGAGAAATCTTTTCAAGAGAAGTAGGTCAGGAACAAATAACTTTCAAATATACCATCACTAAACTTGCTTTAAATGGTCTGTGGATTTTATATGGAATGTTTTCACATAGTTTAGTCTGTTAAAAACAAGATCTGTTCACAGAAATCAAAACTTAAAAAAGTCTTATTTTCATAAGAGGAGGGTAAAATAAAGATTACATTATTAAATAATGCAACTGGACCCAATATGACATTGTTTAAAGTGCAAGTTTAATCAACAACGGATGCCAAATGAAAGCAGCAGTACTCATGGCATTAAGTCAGGCGAGCTAAAAAATTATGTTACAAAGAGTTACATACATAACATGAAAATGTATTATACTCAGACCACAGAAAATTTTCAAAATACATATTGCATACAATATAAGAAATAAGGAAAAATCAGACAAAACAATAACGTTATAGCTTTATAACCTTATTCATGTTATTTGAACAATAATCTTACCTACCAATTTTTTTATTCTAACATAGACAAATGAAATAAAAACAAATGATTTTTAAAGTAGAAGAGCCATTTCAATATAATCATTAGGCAAAATTACCCTAGATTCTTCAAGCTGATTGTAAACAAATTCGACAACGACATCATCCTCAATGCCTAATAATTCTGTAACTCTTTTAGCAATCCATGGTTTTATGCTGTCTACATTTATTTTTGACATATCAACCTGAAAAAATGTAAATATCAAAGTTAATTTTTTCAATCTGGTACATATGTTCAGACAAATTTTAGATGCTTATCTTTTTCAATAACATCTAAATATACCTGTTGCTGTAATATCAACTTCACGCTTACATAATGTTGTTTATTTTTATGCCCCACCTACGATAGTAGAGGGGCATTATGTTTTTCGGTCTGTGCGTCCGTTCGTCCCGCTTCAGGTTAAAGTTTTTGGTCAAGGTAGTTTTTGATGAAGTTGATGTCCAATCAACTTGAAACTTAGTTCCAAGTTCCCTATGATATGATCTTTTTAACTTTAATGCCAAATTAGTTTTTTGACCTCAATTTCACGTTCCACTGAACATAGAAAATGACAGTGCGAGTGAGGCATCTTTGTACTACGGACACATTCTTGTTTAAACATGCTCTCAGCATGCTCAGTAAGAATTAGTTTCCTTTAAAAAAAATCTGCTTACTAGGCAATCGTTATTTTTTAGAGAAGACATTGGATTTATCATTTTTAGGATACTAATTTTTGCGCATTTCATGGGTACATGTAAACAACAAATTTTTATGTTCAACAAACACAGAAGTACATATTTTTATAGGTTGGTATTCAGACTTTGATAAAAACACATAATCAAATATCAACGAAAATTCAGTGTTTCCTTAAGCTCAATCCACATAAATGGGTCCCAATGAAAGTACATGAATCCAGTAATATGGCTGTTCCAGTGTAATTGAATAATATACATGTATCAATTCCAAAAATACCTCACTCCCAAGGAACTGGAAATTTTTTCACACAATTTCTGTCATTTAAAATTGACTTAAAAAGTTGGGCCATTTTTTTCAAATTGTCGAAATCACACTAGATTCATAGCATCAAGGAACTTGTATTGACTGTTTCATCGCAATTACTTCATGAATTTTCTTACCGTTTTTCTAAAAATGTTCAAGAACAGTTTATGGACTGCATCTGTTTAAAATTGAAATGATTTTAATGACTCAAAATGGAAATTTTCTTAGACATCGCTGACGTTTCTTTCGATTTTGAAAACGAAATTAAAACAGGAAGTTTTGAGACAATACTAAAGTACGAATAATTCTGGATTCATTTCCGGGATTTGTTCTGTTTATGAAATTGACAGGAAATCACTGGATTTTTAATTTTATTACCTTTAAAGATGTTTGAATATAACAGATAATAGTTGCACTCATCTATTTTAGCATGAAATCATTTTGCAATTTAAGATTGTCTTATCTGGTGAAGACATTTTGGCGCATGCGTAATACATAGTAATTAAAGCACATGTTTACTCGTGAAAAATTACTTTTTCTACGTAGATTAAAAATTTAATTTTTAAATCAAAATGGACGATTGTCTTTGCTGAAAAGTAATTAATAAATGAAGAAAATTGTCATGGAATCTTAATTTCTTTATCATAATATTAGTTCTGAGCTTTTGATCACTGTCAGGTGTGAATTAAAAACACGGGTAAAAAGTGATTAGCGATCGAAAGCCAATATTTCACGGAGGCATTAATATAGTTATTAGGAGGGCCCTCAGGATTATCATACTAAACGGAAGTGGCAGTTTTATTACAGGAAAGGGATTACAAAACAAAGAAAAAGTGCAAAATGGCGATTAAGAAAGATGATCTCAATGAAACGACCGAAATTATTTCAGTAAAAAAAATAAATTTGTCCTTAATCCCTATCTGTCATTTAGGATGAGTAGCTTTCAGTTTAGGTCATGACTGGCAAATATGACCCTTTCCAGACCCTTGCTCACTACCATCCATACCTTCAACAAATCTAATGTAAAAGAAATATGTACCTTAGATTCTAAAGCATCAGCAAATCTCATCTGCTTCATTAACTTCTTCTTCTTGTCTGAGAATCTGTTATCCTGGTCGGCACTTGTGCCCTGAAATAAGAAAATAAATTCATCCTATAATACTTCTTCATTTGAAGGTCAATTAATCATTGATGAGGCCAAACATGCCAAACGTGATTGTTTTTTCGTCCTTTGACAAATGTTGTACAACTGCAATCTACATACTTTGTCCAACTAAAGAGATAGAAAGGTATATTGGAAGAAACAGCATACCCCATGGCTTGACATTACAGTTTGTCCAAGTCAAGTGAAAATAGGCATCGAACAAGTAGAACTACCATTTCAGTTGTACAACCAGAGAAGGAAAATTCATAAAATTAAATCATCTTACTAACCTACAATTGTTTACATCATTTCCAGAGTGTATCATAATGTAATTATCTATTAAAATACATTTACAGTGGTTTGCAATCATTTGATAATCAATTGGCTTCTAGCTTTGACAAAGACATTGCCTGTAAACACATGCTCCAAAGTAAACAAATTTTGATTTCATCTTTATTTTTCACATTAGCGCTTGTCTGTCATGTGATTAATTGCATCATCTAATTTTCGTTTATCTCCTATTTTACCATTTTTGAAATAAGAAGATCTGGTATAATTGCCAATGAGACAACACTCCAACAGACCAAATAACATAGAAGTTAACAACTATAGGTCACTGTACAGCCTTCAACAATGAGCAAAACCCATACTGCATAGTCAGCTATATAAGGCCCCAAAATGACTCAGCTAGTGTAATTAAGAGGCAAACGCACAGGTATATGATATGGCACTTCCAGGTAGAAAATCATGCTACCAGGACGTATGTATGGGCCTTAAGGAGGAACTCTAAATTAAATTCCAAAAAGACATTATCATGATTATATAACAATATTGCAAACAATAAAGCAACTAGTGCTCAATAACCATAAAAATCAAGAATAAGTCTTCAACTGGTAACAAAAAAATTCGTAAGGGTTCCGCGGAACCCAGTGTCTCGCCTACTTTTGCTGTTAATCGCAGGCTCAACAAAAAAGAGGAAAAAAATTAATAAAAATATTCCTCTCTATAATATCTTTTGATTGTAAGTAGCTTCTGTCCAAGTTTGGTAAAAATCCAGGATAGTTTATGAATCTAATAAATGTTTTAAAAACTTAAACTGCAGTCTGTATGTAATGTTAACTGGAAGAAAAACTAAGTCCATTTATAAGTAAAATACGGAAAAAATGTAATAAAATTTTAACAAAATTTCCTTCTAGATACTAGCTTTTAATCATAAACAAGCTTCTGTCCAAGTTTGGTACAAATCCAGGATAGTTTAAGAAAGTTGTTAAAATTTTAAAAACTTTAACCACAGAGTGAATGTAATGTTAACTTACAGAAAAACTAAGTCCATTTATAAGTAAATTACGGAAAAAATGGATTTTTTTTTTTTACAAAATTTACTTCTGGATACTATCTTATGATCATAAACAAGCTTCTTTCCAAGTTTGGTAGAAATCCAGGATAGTTTAAGAAAGTTATTTAAAATTTCAAAAACTTTAACCACAGAGTGAATGTAATGTTTCCTGGCAGAAAAACTAAGTCCATTTATAAGTAAAATACGGAAAAATGGAATTTTTTTTTTCACAAAATTTACTTTTGAATATTATCTTATGATCATAAACAAGCTTCTGTCCAAGTTTGGTAGAAATCCAGGATAGTTTAAGAAAGTTATTAAAATTTCAAAAACTTTAACCACAGAGTGAATATTTGTGGACGCCGCCGACGACAACGGAATGTAGGATCGCTATGTCTCGCTTTTTCGACAAAAGTCAAAGGCTCGACAAAAATGGGAATGTGTCCATGGGACACAGATGATGCCCCTGCTTGCACATCATATAAAGTTATTAAGGGTCATAACTGAAGAATGGTAAAAGTGACGCTACCCGAATTTGTACTTGATCTGAGTTTCGTTGTAATAAGTATTGGGTATAAGTTTCATAACATTTGGTAGAGGCAAACTTAAGTCAGAGAACAGAAACTAAAAATTCAGCAATTTTTCCATTTGTAAAGGGGCATAACTCTAGAAAAGTAAAAGTTGAAAGAAATATTAAAATGTCGTTATCGACAAAAACAGATGAAGATTTTTACGAATAAAATAAAACAAGTTAAAAGATTTATCCTGTAAAACAAAATATTACTGAAAAAAGCATCAATTTAGTTTGATCTAAATATATCATTTACGATACTGGTCTGTAATTTCGTTGGTTCTACGTTAAATACAAATACATAATACATGGACTTGTCTTATTACAGGTCTATCTTCAATTACTACCAAGGCTAAAATCAGGAATATATAACAATTTTTTATGAAGATGAGATTCCAACAAAAACATGTTCAAAGGATCACGTAGATCTTATCGCAATTTGGGAATCTGCGACACTTGACCCAAGAATCAACACTTGAACTATTGATGTCATACAACAATAACTTTTCCTTTATGGCATCAGACATTTCTATTGTGACTTCAAAATTTTATGGGAACCTTTGTGATGTCCAGTAATGGCAGACAAATAGCGATTAGGTGAATCGTGCAATCAGGACTAAGGAAAAATATCTTGTAGTTAACGCCTACAAGTGAATCAAGAAATTTGGCAGCTGTGATACACTATGCTGGCTAATGATTTCAAACTGTCGCATAGTCTATTCAGTAATAAACAAAACTAAGATGCAGTAATTTCGTTTGTCTGGTTAGCATGTTCATTAAATGGGGACAAAGTCCCAAATAACAGTAGAAAAATCAATCTACTTATGAACTCGAAATCGTTAACTTTTTTTCTAACATTTTTTATTTTCCAGCATCTGTGCAGAAATCTTTTCCAGTATCGTTTATCTCGGGATTTGAGTAAAATATTATGGGGACGTGCCTTATAACATTAAGCAAATCAATAGAACTAAAAATCAATATAAAAATCAGCATACTAATGAAATCATAGCGTTTCTTTGTTTACATTGAAAATGACGTCACAACTAAAATCCCTAACAACAGGACCGACATCGGAAACGTTTCCGTATTCCGTTTCTTTTTCAACAGATTCTGGAGTAAAATATGCTTGAATTCTAAAATAATTTATATGGACTTCGTCCCCTTTCACAGGTAACACCTGCCTCAAATTAGTTGTTCACAAATGGAATGGATTTACCTGACAAACAAAATTGCGGTACTTTGAGGGTATAGGACATAATCAAGAAATGTATGCAAAGTTCAACAAATCAGCATTGTAGGTTTTTATCTGTTGCTGTAAATGTGAATTATTTTCAGTTTACTTTCGTTTTCGAAAACAGTAAGAAGTACTTGGACTTTCAGGTAAATATTCAAACAGTGCTATTAGTTTTTGATAAAATAATATCTGGGTGATTTTTATTCTGACCTTGTATGACGAAGAAGTAAATGGCAGTGACATTTTTGTCTATATTTTGTGTCGCTAGTTGGTTGATCGGCAGCTACCGTCTGGTTGTTTGTAGCAAGCTCAATGTGTAAGATAAACCCCCTTGACTTTTGATTAGTGCATATACGCTGATGATTGAATGAAGCTTAAAACAGTTCTTGGTGCTAAGTCTAGACCTTGAAAAAGCCGGCGTCTGTCATGTTAAAACTTTTGGTGCACGTTTCTGTTCAACAAGATGGACGCAACTTTAACCCAGAATGCATTTTTTCGGAAATATTGTTAACCAGCTTGATATAAAATGCGTACTACAATTTCCGAGTATGGTCCATAAATAATACCTTAGGTCCTACAGTAGATAAAATGTAACATAAATCTCAGCCGAAAAGCTTTGACTGCTAAAATTTTAATGACCACCTGGAATCTCTGCTGGAGTTTCATTTAAAAAAGGTCATATTTCAAACCAAGATCTTTACAGTAATATTATCGTTATTAAAAGCTTACATATCACGTTTATCATTTTTTTTAACCCAATGCACTTAAATTTTAATTTGTTATTTTATAGTTTGAAGCAAAACTAAATTGTTCAAATTCGAAATTCTGTGCTAATTTATTTTGAGCATTACACAAGAACTTGTCTTCCTGTTTTGTTTATATGGTCTATTTCAAAGTGCAGTCACCATTGATTAAATTATGCTATAGATTATTTTATGCTATCTATTGTAGAGCTATAATACATTATACAGCTGTGTACTTTTCCTGTACTGATTTATATTGTTCCTTCTTTATTTTTTTTTTAATATCTGTGACCTTGATCTTGGACAGGTTGATTCAAAACCAAATAAGAACCTTTTCTTGTCATTTAATATTTTATATTATAATTGACCAAGATAAGTTTTGCTCAACTTAATCCACAGGAAGGGATTCTAAAGTTACCATTAGGAAAAACCCCTTCTGTATATGTGACCTTGACCTCAGATGTGTTGACCTAAGAGTAAATAAGATTTTTTTCCCATTATATGTGACAACCATAAATAAACATAAATATAAATCCAACAAAGGTTTTCAAATTATCATAGTTATATAAATCTGGAAACCTTGACCTTTGCTGAACTAGATTTGGTCTATTGTCAGTATAACAAAGGGAAATTCAAACTCATCAGTCGAAAACAAACTGACAACGCCATGGCTAAAAAAGAAAAAGACAAACAATAGTACATAAAACACAACATAGAAAACTGAAGACTGAGCAACACGAACCCGGTTATAAGTATCTGTGACTAAGACCTTCAACAACTTGACCTATGTATCTATCTTGATGAGTGGATAGAATATCTTAGTCAGCAGGATATTGTGGTAGAATCTGTATATCTGCATCTATGTCCAATTATTGTTATACAAGGAATATATATCTTTCAATGTGTTTTTTAAACAATTTTTTGTCAAAAGAATATGTTTTGTTTTGTTTTGTTTTGTTTTTGTTTTTTTGTTTTGTGTGTTTTTTTGTGTTGTGTTTTGTTTTGTTTTGTTTTGTATTGTTTTGTTTTGTTTGGTTCAATAAGAACATACACAAATCATGCATTTTTTATTAACAATAGTGTATAAAAATATATAATCACATGAACAATTAAAAGAGATCACATTATCACAGTTATAAATGTTTTAAAAGATCTACTGCTATAAGTTTTTCACTGTATTTCTCATTTTTTTTTATTGAGTAAGAAAAATTTCACTACTGAAGCACTGATCTGCTATCAATGTATTGTATATTTTATTTCCAAAAGCAATAAATCCTTCAATGGAGATTAAATTAGTATTGCTTTTAACAATCGAAAGTATACTATTAATTTGTCCAGTTTTAAAAATCCAGAAAAATGAAAATGAACACACTTATACAATTGCAACTGGGTAAAAATCTTTTTTTAATTTTAGAAAACAATTTTTAAATTAATGCATTTCTTGCATATTAATCAAATTTAACAATTTAATTGCATTTTCCTATCTTCCAAATAAATGTACAAGAATGAAAAAAAGAGAACAGGTGGAATATATATGTATAATCAACAGTAATACATAGCATTTTCATTCATTAGGCTCAAGTTTTTCGTTATTTTCATTGCTTTTCAAATCAAAAATACCAAATTAAATGCATTTTTTCCATTTTTTTCCCATTACAAAGAAAATGATGTCAGTGTTAACCAATTTTCTAGCAATAGGTCAATAGTATTATAATCTTATGAAGAGATTTGTTTAAAAAGTATCAAATGTTCAAACCAAAATTACTCGCTGTCAATACCTTTGCTAGTGGACCCCAAGTGTGCCACATGCCAATTAACTCAGTACTTTGGAACTGGCATGAAAATATGGTAATTGCTTGTATGAAATTTGTATTGACAAATCTTAGAAAATTGTTTCAAATTAAGGAATGGAAATCCCTCATGCATAGCTCTGAAACTTTGTCTTAAGATTTGTTGATATTTTTAGTCCTGTTTCAGTTATATCGATCAGCAATTGAAAATTTGTTTTATGTTTTAGATTTCCAAATATTTTGAACTTGAGCATAACTGAAAAGACAGTATTTGTCCAAATTTCTATCTGGTGCAGTAAAATTGATACCTTTTTTTTGTGTTATTACTACCACTGGACGTATACCTCTGCTGACGAAATGTTAGTCCCCAAGGGTATCACAGGCAAGTGGCTCAGTCCTTTAATACTGGCATGAAAATACAGATATTGTTTTTATGAAATATTCAGTGATAAAACTTACAAAATCATTTGAAATTGAAGAGTTTATTTCCCTCATGATCATGCATAGCTTTGATTCATTGTCTGGGTGTGGTTATACTTTTGGTTCTTTTTGGTTATATTATCAGCTCTTTCAACATTCTTATCTAGTTTTGAAAAACCATCGATTTTGGCATCTAGCATCACTGAAAGACATATATGTCAGTAATAGAAATTAATAAAATTTCAGATTTAGGTGGGATGTAGACTAAGGGCTTATGCCACCCCCTTTTAATAAAAAAAAAAGTTTTTTGCCTAAGAAATTGTAACAAATTTTATTTACCAATATGTAGAATTATGCCCCCTCTTTCCTGAAAATCCTGGATCCACCCCTGAAATTAAATCTATCATAATGTCACCTGTAGCAACTGCTTCATCTGTACAATATGATTTCAATTTCTAGCAAATGTATAAAAAATTGAAGGTAAAAACTAACCTGAACTGACAAGATGCTAGAAAAATTGGTAAACATTGATATAAGTTTGGATTTGATTTTAATATGATCAATGCAATATCTGAAATACAAAACATGAAAGTACCACAAAAACTGGAATTCATGAATATAGGTAAATTCAAAATTTTAACCCCATTAACCAAAATAATAACTTAAAAACTTTACAGTACAGAACAACTTTGTTTTTAGTAGAATGGTGAAATTCTATTCCATTTGACTTTAACCAACAGCAAAGACTCTTTATATTGACAGAAATGACTCTCTCTAAATCATCTCAACACAAAAACTCAAGTTGTTTTGCAAAAATCATTTATCTTTAAGTCATTAAGTGCACATCATCTGAGAAATTATACAGGTACTGCTGTTTGAATGTCCCATTAAAACAAAGTTGCACTGTATTTAATTATCAACAACCTTGACCCATTGTGCACTTCAAACATTAACACAAACAGAGTATTTGGTGCAATCAAAGACTTTACACTTATAATCATTAAAAATGTTTGATTTTTGTGCGAAAATTCTAAATGACAAATTTGTGTATTTATAGTGTAACTCTTGATCACTATTAATAGTGTAATTCTTGATCAGTAGTAGATGTGTGTTTTTTTTCACTTTTTTTACATCAATATTATCTAACAAAAATTTTTTTTCCAGTGTGTGTGAAAAAATCACCATCTTGTTTAATGAAAATCAACATTAAATAATCATAATTATGATTAAATATTTTAAAAACATTGATTTAATTACAGTAAGATCATGCTGACACCTAATAATTCATTTTAAATATGATCTCTTAAAACAATTAGCACTAGCCTTTATTTATCTCTCAAGGCCACAAATTTGGAAGACATTTTTTTTGCCTAGGAAATTAAATAAAAAGTCAATGAAAAAGCTATTCTACTGCTTGATTAAAGATCATATTTAAACTTTGACAACTGGTATTATGCATACATTAAAAAAGAGGTACTTTTAGAATTACAATGAAAAAATATGCACCACAGATTCTTTCAAGATATAATTGTAAAAGGAGATATACATGCAGGTAAACCTGTTAATTAAAGGTGTTTAGGGGAGATAAATCCAATAACCCTTTGTCTATAACAGGCATAATTATTTTTTTAATATTTTATGTTTATTTTGTATTATTGTTTTTGAGCAAATATGATTTTCTACCATTCAAATATATGATCAGATAAAAATAATTTTGTTTAATCAAAAGTAAGTGATCTCAATATTTATTTGATATTAATTTAAATTTTGTTTTATAAATATAATTAAGTGAAACCTCCACAAAATTGAATGAGTCCTTTATTAGTAATTATGAAATTAGTCATGTTCAAAATGAAAGGAAATATTTTGGGTTCGAAAATAACCATTCAACATTTCTGGTTAGTTCATTGCACTACAACTGGGGAAAAACTGGTAAAGTCTTCCAAGATTTTGATTCAGATCAATAGTTTATGTATTTTCCCTGAAATTTGTATCAAAACAAACTCCTAAATAATAAACATTCATTATGAATTTGTCACAATTTATCTTCATCCCTGAAAATTTTAACTTCAGTAATTATTAAAAACACAATAACAACAAAATAATTTGCATCAATATAAAACTTATACATGTATAAACATTTACAACATTTAGAATAATAACAAATGTAAGCACTTGTCCATGTCCTCAACAATATCACTGGCTTATATGCAATACACACCATTGTACATAACATACATAAATTTATGGGATGCCAATTTTCATGCATTTTGTGGGTAGAGGGAATCTCAATTCTAAATACTTGAAAAGAAATAGTTTATAACTTTGACAGGAGCAAAACTTTTCTCAAACCACAATAATTGATACCAACCAATAGATGAATGTTTTAAGTAGCTTAATTTCAAAAAAGATAAATGTAGAATAACCGTACAAAAATGTCTTAAAATATTAAACAGCTTTGTAAAAGGGTAAGAAACAAAAAGAATGAGAGGCTGTGTCAAATATTTCTTTCCTGTTTTGAGACGAATATAATTTCTGTTTCAAGACAACTACAAATATAATTTCTGTTTTGAGACAATTACAAATATAATTTCTGTTTTGAGACAATTTATAGTTGTTCTAATTATCCTGCATCTCTTAAAACTGTTCCAAATGAAATATTCTGAGTAAAAATCACCACTTATATGTTATTAATAAATGTAAAGGTGAAATGTGACACAAAACCAAATAGTGCCATTATTTCTAGGATCATTAATAAAATCAACTTAAAGACAAATAAGAAATCAATTTAGTAAAATAATACGAGATAATGAAAATACTGCCTGACTTCTGTAAATTGAGGTTTTTTTCGAATTGAAATCTGAGCAGTTGAGATTGAGAAGATGGACAGGTGTGAACATATTGATGAACAATAATGCTGAATTTATTTTTTAAACTATAGTACTATTTAAAATTACACTTAATAGCTTCTATTGCACTAGTTGATACAACTGTCAACTTCAATTATAGCAGTCACAAGTAGACCTTTTACATAGGATACATATCCACCATTTTTTCACCACAAACACTTAACCATTTATCCATTTTTCACCACTCACACACTTCACCACTTTTCATTTTTCATCACACACACTATGCCATTTATTAAATTTTCACAACTCACACACTTCACCATTTTTCATTTTTCACCACACACTATGCCATTTATTCATTTTTCACCACTCACACACTTCACCATTTTTCATTTTTCACCACACACAGTTGCATTTGTTTATATGGTTTCTGATGTGAATGCCAACTGCTTCAATCAACAATTGACAAGTTAATCAATCTCAATTTACCTTTAAGGATGTACACCTCTGGTGAGCCAAAAATTTCTAGAATTAACTTTTTTTTCTTAACCTGATTTTTGGGTTTATATGACTGTAAAAAAATAATTAGCGAAGAAAAAATCATATGGTGGTGCACTTCTTTTTTTGCTACGGCCCTTTGAAAGTACCCAATTTTGATGATTTTTCCATTTTCATCAATTTTTACCTATTTTTGGGCTATTATTGTGAAAAAAATCATAGTTCCACAATTAAACTTTTTTTTATACTTTCAATAAAGATGAAGTGGACCAATTTGAATAAATTTAACTTAAAAAAACTATAGGTAGGTGTTAACCCTTACCATGCTGAATTGTTTTCAGAAATTGTCTAATTTTCGATTATTTGCAAAAATATGCAAATTATATGCAAATGAGCTGTACCCTGATGCTGATGCATATTGATTGCATTAAATCAAAGATAGGGGATCACGGCGTGGGGTGGTTGGGGTGAGGAGGTGGGGAAGGGTGGGCGGGAATTTGCCCCAAATTTGGTCCTCATGTGCAAAACGCGTCAATTTTTACGTTTTTACGTTCTTTTTCTCGACCTGGACGTCCGAGGGATGCTAATAGATGCATCCAACTGTAGTTTGCATGTAGAGTGGACCCCAGTGAACACATTAATCACAACAGTTGTTAGGTCGGAGTGAAACTGATCTGGGTACACCAGTCTAAAAAAGGTCATTTGCACCAAAATTCTAAAAATTTCCGACTTTTTACTTTAACTGGACCTGCAACCGGAAGTAGTCGTTGCCTAGGCGTATTTTGATAATAAGCACGATCAGTAGTTATATGCCTTGGGGTTTACACTATTTGTCCAAGTTTCAGGCCTCACAACTTCGTGTTTCAGACCTCGAAGGTAAGCCCACCCCTCCAAATAACCCAATTTTGTCCGATTTCAATTTTCCAAGTTCGTATTTGAGCTCAAAATGAACATTAAAAGTGAGAAAGATGACAATTAATGGTGTAAGATTGAGGAAACATGCATACACTTCGAATTAGATGGCATTACGTTGACCTCCAAAAAAATGGAGCGCCATTGGTGCCAAATAACGGTGGTCTGGGTACGGCCGTAATATTACGGCCCCCGCATGGTAAGGGTTAATATAAGAAAGTTTTATCATATTTTGATGCTTTTTTGTGTCAAATTTACCATGCTGTCAATTTTGTAAATTTATGATTTTTCTCTGTTTTAAGAACAAAATGCATATTTTTTCAACGTCTTTGTTATAAATGATAGAAAAAATACATATCTAAGAAATTTGAAAAGAAAAAAGTGATATGGGATGTACATGATTCTGGTAAAATCATTTCTTGTACCCCTCACCCATTTTCTCAAAATTTGGCTAAACAGACTGACTTGATTGGTAATAAAATTTGAAAAATTGATTTCTCAAAAACTACTCATTGTAAATACACAATTTTTTCACAGAGTGAAGTTTGATTATAACATTTTTTAAATTCATTTATATTTTCCACTTGTATCACATAATTTGGAAATAATTCCAGAACGAGATTTCAACGAGACTAAAACGTCAGAAGAATACATCCTTAATGTGAACATGATTAGATGTAAAGAAATAGTCTAAATTTCTAAACTGAAATAATGATGCTTAAGTGATTCATTTAAATACTGAACAAGCTATATGCTTAAGTTTTAATGAAATAATATATTCTGGCAAGTGGTCAAATTCTTTTAAGAGTTTGAGCATGTCTAATACACAATTAGATGTCTGGTAATCAAAATTGAGTTTTTTAATATGGCTTTCAATAATGGGCAACACAAAAAAAAATATGCAGCAAGCTCTAAATGACCCTGAGTATAGACAAGTCTTGGAATGAATTTAAAAATTATGACAGATGATCTAGTGTAAATCAAAACTCATAAACAGACAGATGAATGCTATAATAAATCTTGTAAATTTTGCCCAAATCCTCTTCAAGTATCCTATGGAATACATTATATCTAATAAACATTAGACTTTAATGTGAAGAAAAAGAACTGAATTATCAAACTTTTATTTTTTGTCCTGTTCTGATAAGTGTTTTAACTTTCAAAATCACATTCTAAAGAATAGATAAGATATGTAGCGGTTGTTTACCCATGTTCTTAAAAAGTTGTACTTCCATTAGGAATAAACCAACCAAGAGAAATGAAGAAGCTGCACCAACTCCAAATGGAGCAAGATGGGGTGTGGAAATAAATGATCTACCTTTAATCTAATATTGCTATTTCTTTCAATTTTCTTACAGTTTTTGTTGCAAAAATTTTATATTTTAATGAAAATAATTCTAACTATCAACTGATAAAATCATACAAATTTTACACATCAAAAATATTTTGGCACTTTTTTTCAACTTGATGAGCAAACTTGAATTCCTGTAGCTTATGGAATTAATGAAACTATCAGTCCATACACTAATACAATGCCTTGCTTACATGATAAATTATGACACATATTTAATAATAATAACAATTTCAACTTGGAAAGCACTAAAGACAATTTTGGCATAGCAAAATATCCTTCACCCAATTGCACTATGTACACATCTGGTTATGTATGTGTAGGTAAAATTTACATGTCACATTTAACATTGCACTCTTTTCTATAATATTACACAAGCTTTGGATTCATTTCCTCCTACCATTTTCTTTTTCTGTTTATCAATTGCATTAGCAGTGAAAGCAACATTTTCCATTTTTTGCTTCGATTTCTCATCTGCTTCATCAACAATTCCTGGAAGTGGACGGAACAACGAATTTTTGTCTTCTATCACATCTAAAGCATCATTTCCTTCAAGTTTTGCAGTTTCTTCCAATGCTATGATGTCTTTGGCTTCTTTGAGTAATATTTTAATCTTATCATCTGTGATTGGATGAGTATGAATATATCGGATCCTCCCTATCTTCACTCTGTTTACTGTAAGTAATATAAATTAAACATTTTACTTCTTTTCTAATACTGAATTCGCTTATTATTTTTTTTCAATTCACTTTTACCATTTATTACAAAACTAATTCCCCCTTTAGTTTATGATATAATTTTATGAATAAGAATTGACTGCATCATGCAGTTAAGTTAGCAAATCTCAATACAAAAGAACTACAAAACTGTAATAAAAGTGTTGTCAATATGAACAAGAATGAACATGTTGTCCTCTTAAACATATCCCTACTCGGAATTCAAAGTTTCAGAAAACAGGAAGTAGATGTCTGTGCAAATACATTACAACTCATCACTGTCAAATATGAAGTCATTCTGTTCAGTAGTTTCTGGGGAAAATGTGACCAAAATATTTGTTGGACAAACAGACGGACTAGATGATTGCAATATATCCGACTCCTATAGTATAATTATGACTATTTACTAAGTAAGATATTAGAAGGTAAAATTTCATTGATATTCTATAAAATGGACTTTTAACTTTGGTGATTGTTGAAGATTGTTAAGCTTTAGATTTCTTTTGGTTATTTGTGTTGTTGGGTTGCTTCGTTCATTGACACATACACCACATATTTTTTTACAAAAAACTTAACCAACCATATATATATCTTTGTGTGAACATAACTAACAGATAATAGTAAATCAAGCCCAAGTTACATTTGTGGCAAGGGATAAAACCTACGATCAGGGTAAAGTATACTGGATACCTGTAGCATAAAAAGCCATTTCGAGGTTCTTACGACCATCCTCATATATGTTAAGTGCCAGTCTGCCTAAGAATCAGGCAGTGGTGAAAACATGACAAACAAAAACCCACTCAAGTTGACATTAATGTATGTTCAAATTGTATAATGGTGCACGAATATAACATTCGTTTCCTTTTCCTGTTCTGGTAATTCAAGATATAATTTGGTTGAAATGATAGGCGAGTTTCTACGGTACATATTGGGACGCAACATAAAACCTACCTCCTGGATATAGTAAAACTGTTGCATAAAAACCACCTGGAGGTTCATATGATACCCTTGTCAGGGCTATGTTTCTGTTTATACAGAGATAGCAGATCACAAGTCTATTTTCTTTCTTTTCTTGTTCACTTTTTGGCACAATGATTCCCCAACCTAGTGTATCTCCAACTGATACTGATGATTCAGCTGAAATTCAAAACAAAGAAACTTGATATTTGTCAGAATAACTTTTTTTAATTTTGATCAGTATTAAATTATATTTTTCTTCAGTATAGTTATCCTTATTGTATTATGATTTCCATGTTGATACATAACTTCTACTACTAAAACATTATTGTAGCAAAACTTTTGTAAAACTTATGTGTCACCTATGGATGATGATCTGCAAGCATTCTACTTTTATTACTGTACACAAAATATGAGTGTGGCTTGCTCACAAAAAATAGCAGTTTGTTCAAGATAATTTTCTAAGAAACATGTTATGTTCAGTAGTTGTCGTTGTTGATGTGGTTCATAAGTGTTTCTTGTTTCTTATATAGATTAGACCGTTGGTTTTCCCGTTTGAATGGTTTTACACCAGTAATTTTTGGGGCCCTTTATAGCTTGCTGTTCAATATGAGCCAAGGCTCCATGTTGAAGATCGTACTTTGACCTATAATGGTTTACTTTTATAAATTTTGACTTAGATGGAGAGTTGTCTCATTGGCACTCATACCACATCTTCTTATATCTATCAATGAATTCAGTGTATGCATTCGTTAACACTAATTTTGTTAAACAAAATTTGTAAGGGTTCCGCGGAACCCAGTGTCTCGCCTACTTTTGCTGTCAATCGCAGGCTCAACAAAAATGAGGAAAAAAATCTATAAAAATATTCCTTTAGATACTATGTTTTGATTGTAAGAAGCTTCTGTCAAAGTTTGGTATAAATCCAGGATATTTTATGAATCTAATAAATGTTTTAAAAACTTTAACTGCAGACTGTATTTAATGTTAACTGGAAGAAAAACAAAGTCCATTTATAAGTAAAATATGGATAAACAGGTACAAATTTTAACAAAATTTCCTTCTAGATACATGTACTAGCTTATGATCATAAACAAGCTTCTGTCCAAGTTTGGTACAAATCCAGGACAGTTTAAGAAAGTTATTAAAATTTTAAAAACTATAACCACAGAGTGAATGTATTGTTTCCTGGCAGAAAAACTAAGTCCATTTATAAGTAAAATACGGAAAAAAGGAAATTTTTTTTTAACAAATTAACTTCTGGATACTATCTTAATTATGATCAAAAACAAGCTTCTGTCCAAGTTAGGTACAAATCCAGGATAGTTTAAGAAAGTTATTAAAATTTTAAAAACTTTAACCACAGAGTGAATGTAATGTTTCCCGGCAGAAAAACTAAGTCCATTTACAAGTAAAATACGGAAAAACAGGAATTTTATTTTTACAAAATTTACTTCTGGATACTATCTTATGATCATAAACAAGCTTCTGTCCAAGTTTGGTAGAAATCCAGGATAGTTTAAGAAAGTTATTAAAATTTTAAAAACTTTAACCACAGAGTGAATATTTGTGGACGCCGCCGACGCCGCTGACGACGACGACGGAATGTAGGATCGCTATGTCTCGCTTTTTCGACTAAAGTCGAAGGCTCGACAAAAATGCAATATTCCTCATGATTGAATGATTGACCATTGCTTAATGCCCCATCAGCATAAAAAAAAATGGCTTTATTGCGACAACATAGCATATTCCTGAACTAAAACTTTATCCTAAAGTTTTCATATATTTTTATTGATGATCATGATGGATTGGTGTTTTACATCCAATGGCAAATATAACATGCATATCAGGACAAGAACCTGTTAATTTGATTTGAATATGAACCCTGGTTTGTACTAGACTTATAGGTTTGGATGGATTTTTAACATGCTAGTTCTCAAGGAAGACATGTCATCTGACACATTATCCTGATGCCGAGTCATTGCTCATACTCCTAAATGCTATGTGCTTAGCAGAGAAGCAGCAATTACCAATTTTTAAATATTTGGATTGACCTTGCTTGGAATCAAACCAGCAACTGCCTGCCTTTGAGTTAAGGGAACTACCACAAGACCACCATGGAAGTTTTTTTCATTGATTTTGTTAATAAGACTAGAATGCACATTAGAAACAAATTTCTGCAAATGGAAGAAATGATTGATTTAATACTGCCTAACATTCAGCAGTTTTTTGGCTGTAATAAGGATCTCCAGGTTTGTGTTGGTAGTTTTCTCTCAGTTTTCACTGCCAACAGTCATACTTGCTCTGCTATTGTTTTGGAGGCTCACTTCCACAGTAGTAGAAAATTCTTTGTTTCTGTTTTTTTAACATAGCTTTTTTTTACAAATTAAGGTAGCCCTAAGCTAAAGCTCTTAGTGGAGGGTTGGGTTTTTCTGGCAATGGTGTCCACGGCAGCAAGTAAGTAACATTCAGCAGCAAATAAAACATGCTCATTCAGGATGATAACAGATATAGTAATGAGTGTAATTAAACTTTGCATTGAACTAGATGAACATGCTTGATTGTGTCTTTAACAACAACCACGCTCGATGCATTTACACAAGTATTATCTTTCTACAAGCTGACCATTCCTTGCTCTTTCTCCTAAATGTTGTGTGCTTGGTTGAGAAGTGGCAAGTACCAATCTTAAGAGTCTTGTATGATGGCTTAAAACCAACAACCACCAAGACTTCAAGCAAGTAGGCAACAACAGTTTTTGAAAAATATGTGACCTGGTTCAGATTGCATTATTAAAACAAACATAAACATTTTCTTGTTATCGTGCAAATTCAAAACAAAGGTCTATTTACATCATGTTTAAAGATTTTGTTTATGTTAACTTTTGGTGATATACAGTTTTTGGATCTACAGTAAATAACCATGTTTTTGTGTCTTTCTTTACATACCCTCTCCTTTTGCTAAAAATCTGATGAAATCTTGTCTAAAGTTAGATGACATGGTGACACTGATATCCTGAAAACATGGAGATGACAAAGCTATCCCAGGTGGTGGTACTCCATCTGCCTTGGACCCAAATTTATCTACAATCTGTATCTCAAAATAGTTGAATTCTGTAATAAAAACAAATAAATATATAAAAGCATTGGTCCTTTTCATTTGAATTTTGTAAATTGCATGTGGGGATTTTGAGTCACAAAACAATGCATATTATCATAGTGGATATTATCACAGTCAACTCTATCCCAGTCAACACTATTACAGTGGAGAATATTACAGAGGACACTACAAAGTAAACGCCTTCATAGTGGACACTATCAAAATTCAGTGTTACAGTGCACAATTGTAATAGTGGCCTCGGTTCTATTCTCCACTGTAATACTCTCCACTGTAATACTCATCACTGTAATACTCTCCACTGAAATACTGTCCACTGTAATACTGTCCACTGTACTATTCTTCACTGAAAGATTGTCTACTGTACTATTTTCAACTGAAATACTCTCCACAGATAAACTCTCCACTGTAATACTCTTCACTTTAATATTCACTAGTGTAATACTCTCTACTGAAATATTCTCAACTGAAATACTCTCTACTGTAATATTCTCCACTGAAATATTCTCCACTGTAATACTCTCCACTCACTATTAAGAGAACAATATTACAGTTGACACTACCACAGATGACACTATTACAGTGGATACTACAGTATTACAATGCGCAAGGGAATATTTTCAAGATTTTAATTTAATTGCGAAATTAGTAAAAAATAAACCCATTGTTAAAATTTATCACTTTAGAGTAATGCAGGTAGCAGGATAAGATAGTGTATGAATTTTTCAGGTGTGTTTTTCTATAGAAAATTATAACATTGAATGACCATCTGAGTGACATTTATATTCAGAAAAGGAGAAAACTTAGCATTAAGCTCATGTAATGTGATTAGTGTATTTTTTTTCCTAGTGTTCTGAAAGGCACAAATGGGATAAGTAAAAAGGCATAAACTATTGATCGTCTGGAAGGATTCCTGCAATGATTTTCACCAATATTACTGCATAACCCACTTAATATAGCAAACTTTTTTAGCTTCTGCACTGTATGTATCAATAAAAAAATAATGCATGGCTCAACCAGAAGAAAGCCTTACTAATTTCTTCACTGAGTGGATATGGACATTGCAGGACCTCTGCATCTGTATGTTCTGGTATTGTTACCACTTTTTCTTTCTCATTAACCTTTGATCCTTCTGGGATAATCCAATAGTTCACATTATCCTAAAAAAGGAAACGAAAAACATTAAAACCTAATTAGATATAGTTTAGCTAACAGTTCTGTTTCCCTAAATATACTACTAATAGGTTTTTATTTTTTATTAAAGGAATAGCTATGTAACTTTGAAAGGATAACATCAAACTTAAAATTTTACAATTTTTATAGCAATTTAAAACTACTGGTCCAATTTGTGATCCAATTACATTACAATTTGTGATCTAGTTTTAAATCTTAATTCCATTGTCACGTAGACAATACAAGTTAATTTTGCGATGCTGTATCTTAACATATATTAACAAATTTCAGTACAACTAAATAACTGTTATTGTCTACTATTTAATCAATTGTGATGTATTTAAAACAAATGTTTTGCTTGGGTCCTTATCTTAGAATTACCTGGGTTCTACCTGAGCGATCTTAATTACAACAACTGACCTTTTTTTAAAACAGACCTTGATAAAATTGAAACAGAATTGGTTAATTAACTCATGTAAGATTTTGGTTGTAAACTTAATGATTTTAATAGAATGAAACCATTCTAATTTTTACACATACTCACAATTTCAAATGTAGGTCCAACACATAGTCTGGTGTGCCAAAAAACATCAACTACAACCTCATAACCATTTCCACAGACGGCAATAGTAGGGAAATATTGACTAGGATCATTAGCCATTAGGTATCTTAATCCTATAGGATGATAGTTCTTTGAAAACAAAACTACTGGAAGACTACTTTCAAACACTGAACAATCTAGTCCAACTGTATCACCTGAAATTAAATGTATGCATAAAAATGTATTTAAATTCATTCTTCAAACCTATGATTTAATCTTCTATATTTAATATGAATTGACTGTTAAGTGTTTCACTCCACCTATTGCAGTTCATTCAAATTTCTGATCCACTTGTTTATTACACTACCGTTAACTTCTATCACTACTTAAGGTGTTCATTCATCTTATATAATCACTATTCTATAAAGGTTAATTTCAGAACAGTTTCATAAAAAGTGTTAACATATTATCTCCCTTTACAAAATGGAATTATGATTCAGCTTTTTGGTAGCAATAGACCAGTTCTTAAGGCAAAAGGTATAAAACTCTGCTTAAACTAGATAATCAATACTTTTACAAGATCCAAAATGTAAGATCATACCAATATCTATAAACTACACAGTTAGTTTCTTGAATTTATTTAAGTTTTTAGTACAAGCAACCAGCGATTTCTCAGAGAATATTTAGGTTCTTGAATTTATTCAAATTTGAAAAAAAGCAAAATAATGCAGAAGTTCTTGAATTTATTTAAGTTTTGGATACAAGCCAGAGAATGTTTCAGACTTGATAAATGTATTGCCTTAATGCATGTTATAAATACCTTCTTCATATCTTTGCCCATTCACATTGCCCTCATATCTAGTGTTGTAGAACATGCGACCATTTTGTGACATCCAGCCTACTGTGTTTTCTGTTTTACCAGGATGCTTACTCAAGTCAAATTTGTTGTCGGCAATGCCAATAGTTACAACGGAATCCTCATCTGAAAATAATTTTTAAGGTTCAAACATTTTAAAAATTAAAAGAAGAATGTGACTAAGGAAAAGAATGCCTGTGTGCGATCAAGCTTGCTTTTCAAGCGAAAACGGGACGGACAGAAGGACGGTCAAGGGTAACACTTAATGCCCCCTTCGCCTTGTGGCGGGGATAAAAATCCTTTATTTTAAACTTAATGAATCAGTTCAATTGAGGTTCAAAATGATGACTAAAAATAAATACTCAGTCAACACTTGGTCACCATGGTCACTTTTCAATTTTGACTACCTCAGCCTGATAGAAAACAAACTACAATGTATCTCCAAACTCAAATATTGTTCATTGTTTCCTTGTTCTTACAAATTAATATGAATAGAATTCTTTTTAATGGTTAAAGTGAAACTAAATAATACAATATAATAAAAAAAGAATTCAAGCCAGTCTTTGATGGAATATATGATCTTCTAACTTATCCGTAACGTTAATCTTGTTTTTTTCTTTCATTAATAATGATTTTTAGAAAATTAGCTATTTGAAAACAAAAACTTCAAATATGATCAACAATTACATACTGAGAGTTTTTATATCTAAACAGAAGTAAGAGTTGTCTTCTGTTAGAGGCTTGCAAAACTGTATGGCATGAATTCCCATAGTCTCCGCAGGTAGTGTTATTCTACAGTACAATTTACTCAGGTCAATGTCTGTTGACGGTTCCTTGGGAACATCCAAAACTAAAGCATCAGACTTACGGAACATTTTTATATGAATTTCTGCAAAAAGAAAAAGCATTGTATTAACTTATTTCTGTATGTTTGTAGGTTAATTTCTATATGTTGTTTCTATTTTCTATGCTTTCATAACATATCATTTGTTAAATAATATTCCTTTAAATTTATTAATTAAAAGAAGAATCCAATTGCTAGAAAATAGAAATTTACATAAACGCTAGTTGATAGTTTATATTTGTTTTGCATTGATTGTTTTAGTGTAAATCAGGCCATTAGTTTTTTGTCCATCTAGAGCCTTTTATACCTTACTAAAGGGTATTGGTTTCTTTGGCAGTCATAACACATCTCCTCGTTTATATATTTGAATAGTGCTGAATTATTCTCAAGCATATATGACCAATATTTGATTTTTTCAAATCTTTTTGGGTTGAAACTGTAAATGTTTAATATGCATTCATCCTTCCATACTTCTGATCTTAAAGCATCCCTAATGAAATGCATTGTATCATCTGCCAAAAATTATATCCCTTTTCTACATATATATGTTGTGTACAAGTTATCATTTTGTACAAATTATAATTTGTATTTTGACTTTGTACAAATTGTAATTTGTACAGAAAGTGCCTGTACAAATTACAATTTGTACAAAATTCAACTAAATTTCACTTATAACTTTTACAATAATTTATAGTATGGATTTTGTTATAAAAAAGCATTGATATACACTATAGAATTTTTATTCAATGACCACATAATAAACCTTATTTACAAAATACAAAAATACCCAGATGGAGACAGGAAATGTAATTGATACATGCATGCCAGTTAATTCTGTTAGTACCATAGAAATTGGCCCCATTGACAATTCTGATAGAATAATATAAAAATTGGCCTCAGTGACAATTCTGATAGTATAATAGAAATTGGCCCCAGTGACAATTAGGATGACACTGTCGTTGAAACACCAATCATATGTGTCAGGAACCGTGCGATGTCTGGCCAACAGATCCATGCCGAAAACGAAACAGAAATTATCAGAACTTGCTGTGGGGGATAATGTCATTATACCAATTCCTCAGTATGATGGTGCTCCAACAGATCCTCGAAATATCTTATGTGTAATTATTGAATCTGGAGAATTTGGGTACCGCATTAGAACAGCTGTAGGAATTTTAACAGGATATTTTTCGAGAAATCAAATTGAGGCTGTTAAAGACACATCTGTATTCGCAGCAACGGTTTCTGAGCCTAAACTTTCGCTATGTGAAGCAGTTAAAAATCTTCCAAAAACTGGTGGCCAGGGTTTTCTGTCATGTAAATGCAAAGGGGGAGCAGAACTTCTAAATGTAAAAGTAAAAAAGCAAAAGATGTTGTGCAATTCCCAATGCCATAACTCTCTCACATGCTCAAACGAATGATACAGAACTATTTTTGTATTTTGTAAATAAGGTTTATTGAGTGGTCATTGAATAAAAATTCTATAGTGTGTATCAATTCTTTTTTTTATAACAAAATCCAAACCATAAATTATTGTACAAGTCATAAGTGAATTTTAGTCAATTGTGTACAAATTGTAATTTGTACAAGCACTTTTTGTACAAATTACAATTTGTACAAAGTCAAAATACAAATTACAATTTTTACAATTTTTGTGTACAATTATAATTTGTACAAAATGATAACTTGTACACAACATATATATAATGTTATCTTTATTAGCAAAAAGGAGCAATTTCAAATTTCTCTACTCTATTGTCAACAAACCTCTCTTTATACAATCTTCAATGATATGTTTGGTAGCCTCTTCTACAGCCTCTTTAAATACTCTGTCTAAATTATCATACACCTCTATCATTCTGTTGGATTCAACATCTACTGAAACTTTTCGACCTAAAATAAAGGACATTCTAATGTAATTTTTATGTAACAATTTTTTACATTGGCTAAATTCATAGTCAAATCCACAGTTGACATGTCGTAACTAAGGAGCAACTATTGAATGATTAGAATAACAAATGATACATTACTTCAATATAATTGAAAATAAAACACCTACTTAAAAAAAACATTTTGATGTGATTTCTATACAAATTAGAATCGTAGGAGTAATATAATATCCATCAGTTTGATATTTTTTTCATTTGTATGACATCATGCTTAGCCATAGACATTAATGCGCCTAAACCATTCATGAAGTTTCGCAGAATTTTATATTATGTCAAATTGGTCATTTTTCCAGCTCTAAAGTATATTTTTTGTTGTAATGCATTAGATTTGTAATCACAGCACTGTAGTTGAAGAGGTGCGGCCATCAATAGACTATTTTCATATCACTGTTTTCAACTTCTAAATACATAATTTTCCAACAGGTTACTCTGTGGTAGGAAATTCTTGTACTTGGTCAAGTGAAAGCAACTAAAAAGAGTGAAAATCAAACTTACAATCAGTGCAATTTTGGGGAAAAATTTACTATTTTCCAATGATTTTGTTGTGTATAGAAAACATAAAACAGTTGATTTTTTTCCCCTGCAAAACCCTGTTCCATTCACAATTTTTCAAAATAATAAAAACTTTGCAAGAAGAGTTCATTATTATTTTTACTCAATTCAGATATTTGTGAAAAGACCCAAAAAATGAACCAACTTTATATGATACAAAATTTGTATAAGTAGCCATATTCTTACAGTTTTGGTCAAGCAGCACCAGAGGATAGAAGCCTCCCTCGGGTTGTATGATCATCTTTGCATAGATAGTAACGGTATTCTTGGTAACAAAACACAACACCAACTGTGATTCTTTGTCATTGTATGCCGGATTATCTCTGGAATCTGGATGGTAGTGTACTCCCATACCAACTCGGTCATTTTCTTCTACTGTGTTTACTAAAATTTTACAACATTTTGTTTAAGCTTATCATTAAATATTATGAAGTAAGGCAGGACTTCATAAATTACAGAACATTAATAAGGTCCTTTTTGATTTTATCAGCTCTTCAACATTTGTATTAGCTATTGGATTTTCAAATATTGTGACCTCGTTCATCACTGAAAAGACATTAATTGTGGAAATGTGTATTTGGTGCCGTCAAATTGGAATTGTTAAGTTTATTAAAGAAGTTATTTGTTCTCCTTGATTACTCTAGTTTATTACAAGTTCTTCTTCTATTTTTTCTATATCTATATTAAAATAGTTATGTAGCCTTTTATCTATCATATTCAAGTAATTTCCGTTTTTTCTAAGGTCTGCCGAACTTCTGCTATAAGCTTCTGAAAATACTTTTCCAAATTCAAATGGTCCCAGACTTCAGAATAACAAATGTATACCAAATATCAGTCTTTTAGGGCATTTCCTGACTTTCAAATAGGCAAGAAGAACAAATATTATCTTTCCAATTACAAATTTGAACACTCATAGGGTCAGTCAACTAATTTTTGTGTAAACGTGAAAAACTAAATTTTATTTCTTTTGGACTGATTGCTAGTGTTTATTAATATGTAGTTCTCACTGATATAAATGGAAATAGTTTTATTCATTTAGATATTCTGTAGAAGAAAGTTTTTTTAGTTTTGAATTCAAATTAACCCTTCATGATGGAGGACAATTATACTTAAACTCACCTTTGCCATCAGCAGTCCATGTCATGAAGTCCCGTAATATTTCACATGTTGGTGATGGCTTTAGAGGACTACAATCACCAATTCCTACTGATGCTGCAGCCCCATCAGTAGTTTCTTTGATGTATACCTCAAAATGAGAAAAACCTGCAAATAGAAATAAAATAATAATAATATTCAATTACTATTCCAGGCAAAAAAATAGTCATTCATGATTCACTTTCAAGAAATGAAGGGGAAAAAAATGTTATCAAAAGTATTATAGAACTGAAAGTTCTGAGGGATTTAAGTGGCCAAATATTCTTGGTTGCATCTTTTAGTGCAAACCCCTTTCTATCTTTTGTTTTATTATTATGTCATCATTTGCAGACGTTTTCAACAAAAGTAGCCAGTTTAGAATGACAATGATTTTATTGTTATATACTTTGAAGTTAAGTACATTTGTCATTCACCGTTTAAGAATCTAAAGCATTTTGAGTATATTTTCAATAGCATACACCAAAATTTTGTGATTGGCTTACAAGACTTTAACAAATAGTCTGACATAATTCTTGTTTTAGAGTAAGATTCATAAAATTACCCAATGTCCTTGAGATTCTGAAACAGTTAATTATTCAAGTCTTTCTAGCATAGCTCCTGTCATCTGCAATACTGATCATTGATTAGTATGCGATAAAAAATGAGTTAAAGATTTACCCCTGACAATTAACATTTCTTCCATCAGCAACAATTCTACAGTCAAAATATAGAAAGTGGCAATTTGATTACCCTTCAAACACTTTTTCATAAGTTTTAAGGTCATATAAAAATATTTCTAAGCAAAATCATTTAAAGTACAATAAAAGTAATTGCCTTCATTTTTTATCAGTTCTATGCACAAATTTACCTGATTGTCATTAAGTTATATAAAATTATTAAATCCTTTAAACTAGTCTTATAAGGGGAGATAATTCAGTGATTATTTCACCTCATTTGTATGCTTATGAATTACATGTTTCTTTCAGAATAGGGGACGGACAATCAGACAGACTAATGGATGGACAGCTGCACAGACAGGAAAACAATATGCCTTCATCAGAAATGCTAAAAAATAAACATTTCAGAACCCGGGAAACATTTATACACAGAAAAAAATAGTTGTTTCAAAAACACACAAAAGATTATATCTATAATGTTTTAAATAAAGAATCAAGTTTGTGACCTACATGATTTACAAAAATTTTATATAGCTTACTCATAAAGAGTGGATGGTGACATGTTTCCAAAAAGAATGAAGGCTTTGGAAAATAACTTACCTGAACACAATGGCTGAGGACTCTGTATTGGTGCTGTAGCAATAATTTTATCTTTTGCCTTGTCTAGAATAAACATGTTGTTTGACATATCAAAGTGTACTGAAGGGTCAGACATCCAATGTAGCATATTTTTCTGTAGAAATAAAACAAATTAACCCGGTAATATTTTTTATCAAGTTTGAAGAAATGTATTCATTACTTAAGGATTTTTTTATAATACATGTAAAATTAAGTGAAGCCTCAGTAGTAAAATGTAAAATAACAAAAATACCTACCGGGTAACTCCAAGGGAAATCCAAAATGGAAAGTCCTTTATAAAATGGCAAAAATCTAACTATTGGAAAACAACTGTCATATTCCTGACTTGGTACAGGCATTTCCTTATGTAGAAAATGGTGGATTAAACCTGGTTTTATAGCTAGCTAAACCTCTCACTTGTATGACAGTCATATAGAATTCCATTATATAGTAACTGACACTTTTCAAAGTTAATGTGGATTCATTTATTTTCTTCGGTACAAGCACCAAATTTTGTGGTTTATATATTGGGAAAATTGCATTTTGAATTCCTGGATATTTGATTTCGTGGGTACAAATAACATAATTCTCATGGATTGAAGAAAACTGTATGTTCATGGATAATTGATTTCATGGTTTTGCCAAAGTCTGCATACTATATAGATATAGGAAGATGTGGTATGAGTGCCAATGAGACAACTCTCCATCCAAGTTAAAATATATAAAAGTAAACCATTATAGGTCAAGGTATGGCCTTCAACACGGATCATTGGCTCACACCGAACAGCAAGCTATAAAGGGCCCCAAAAAATTACCAGTGTAAAATACTAGTCTATTGAAAACTTGTATTTGTTGAACATTTAAATTCATGGTTCACATATACCTCAGAAATAAAAAAAATTATATCCAACCAATAATAAAATTTATATCCAATCAATAATAAAATTTATATCCAATCAATAATAAAATTTATATCCAACCAATAATAAAATTTATATCCAATCAATAATAAAATTTATATCCAACCAATAATATAGGGTTATTGCATGAATATTGGGGAATATTGTCCAGAGTAGAATTTTATATTGCACGAGCTTGCGAGTGCATTATATGTTCTACGAGGGACAATATTCCCCAATATTCATGCAACTTTTTATTGTATAGCAATATAATATTTGAAAGTAAAAATTGGTTTAAACTAAGATTTTGTCGTTGATGACGTCATAAATTTTGAAGATTTATTGCACTAGTGCAATATTATAATTTATTGCACGCTAACTTGTGGTTACTTTCTGTGGGAAATATTATATTGCTATGCAATAATAAAATTTATATCCAATCAATAATAAAATTTATATCCAACCAATAATAAAATTTATATCCAATCAATAATAAAATTTATATCCAACCAATAATAAAATTTATATCCAATCAATAAGAAAATTAATATCCAATCAATAATAAAATTTATATATCCAATCAATAATAAAATTTATATCCAATCAATAATAAAATTTATATCCAACCAATAATAATGAATCAACAGTAGATAATATATATCATTTATAGTTAAAAGGCCTTATACAAGGTATTCAAATTCTCAAAAAAACAACTTTGCAAACTTAAATCAAAACTAGATATATAGTAGCACAGGAAAACCTGTGTCACTCAACTGGTATGGTATGGTCAATGTTAAGAATGGATCTCTCCAAGCTAATAAACCTTATAATAACCTTTAAAACTCTGGAGGCAGTTGAAAGTTTTAAAAGGACTAGAAATTGTTGTTTTAAAACAACCTTTAGAATAGTAATGATTATGCAAAAAAAAAAAACAGTTTACAACCAAAGTGAATTCCAAGTAATTTTAGAAAAGCTCTCATTGCTAATGTTTAAGGAAAATAACACAACAGCTATGAATAAGTTTTAACATAATATTATATTTAAGATGAAATGGTTTCATTACTATGCTAAAAACATAGCAGTCAACTTTTGAGAGGAAGCATACAGATAAATTTGTAATTATAATATGAGCACACCTATTCTAGCAATGCATATATACTGTGGTTTCATTTATTTTTGTGGCTACCAAATTTCATGGATTGATGAAAATCATATTTTTGTGGATAACTGATTTTGTGGTTTCCCTCAATAATAATTAATCAATGGTATGTTGCATTTACAATCCTAAGAAATACATACTTCATCAAACTGTGGACTACCAAAAACTGCTTGTGGCCACATGATCCCTAAATCTATTGGTCCATTCTCAAGTGTTATGGTAGGCAGAAACTTACTGTGGTCTGTTTCAAAGTGGTACCTGCATAAATGATAACAGAAATTCATACACAGGATCTAAGGAAGGTACTTCAAAATGTCAACTATGGGTGGGTGTCCATTTTTTTTTGTACAGTAAAAATGTAAGTGAAAATTGCTTCTCTAGGTGGTTTACCCGGTACATTCCATTTTCAAACCCTGGTACCCTATATGTTTTGATGGAACAGCCCTAAGGAAAATCTATCATTTTTGTTTATATATCAATCACATTACTTGTAATTAATATTTTACGAGGAGTCATGTGAATATTAGAAAATTATGTAATCTCTACACATGCAGTGAAACCGGTCTTAACCCATGGCCAATTGAAGCTTCACTTACCAGGATATGAAAAAAATCTTTTAAAGTTACTGTTCTGATAGTTATTTACACCAACCAATGAAATTTCTTCTTCCAAATTCTTGAGTGGGTGTATAATTCAAATAAAACTAGAGTATCCTGAAAAGGTCTTCAGAACAGAAAGTAGAAAGGAGCCTTGTCAGATCTTTGTAAATGAAGCATGGACACAGGATCTGTATTCCCGATTTTAATCATATTTTTCTTACCTTGTAGCTACAGGTTTTCCATTCTTCACAAATGTAACTGTTGACATTTGTTGTCCAAAGTAGGTTACACATACTCCAAACACATCACCTGTCAGAAACAGAAAGTTTGATTCAAAAAATGATTTTGAAATAGATGATAGAATTTGCAGGCAGATCCCTTGTTTTATATACAGTTTATATTGATTTACTACTGAATATGCACCCAAAAAATATATGAACATAATGCTCAAAAAGGAGATCAAATTCTAAATTGACATGTACTTGGTGTAATTTATCAATTTGACCCTAAATTTTATACAAATAATTTGTTGGTTAACCTTGAAACCATATTATCATTATTTCAAAACTTTTTATGAACCAATCTCCAGTTGTGTTTTATGAATGAGTTTCACCGGTTGACAAAATAACATAGGCATTGTGACATAGGAAATGTGCCGGAAAGTTCATAAATTTGAAAGTCGTCTATTGCAATACATACCTATACCAAACTTTTCTCCATATGTGTTTGCAATCTCTTTGTGTGATGTGTAACATTTTCCAGTATCGCTATGGTAACCAACAGTGTTGTTCCAGTTACCTGGATGAGCATCATCTTTGATGTCTGGGCCAGCAATACCTATAGTAACCTTGCTTTTGGTTGCTATGAAAAAGAAATAAGAATTATTAATGACAGAAAAACTAACAATAACTTTGAAATCATTACAAAAAAGAATTGAACTGGTAATGTGGATTCTGTTAAATTTGTTTTCCAATTCTGATGAAATCATCTTTTATATGAATAAAAGACGTTGGGTATTCACTAACTGGACAGCACCCAATGACACCAAGAACAAAACAAATCAGTCTTCCACAGACAATAGACAAGTGGCTTATACAATATGTCAATCCCTAAATTACCCTATCTATACAAATTTCATTGTTCTGTATTCATAAAATTTCAAATTCACAATTTTTTTTTTCATTGGACTTTGGAAGTTCATGTTTTGTGGTTTCCTCAGCTTTTCAAAAAAAAAAACCCAAAGATATAAGATTACTCATATATTAAAAAAAAATATATTCATATATAGTATATCATATATCAGATCAAAATATATACATTTCCATTATATTATAAGCATGGTTTTTTTTTAAATGTTCCTTATCATATATTTAAATTATAATATATGAATATCATAATATATATATGAATATTAATTCCAAAATATCAGAAGTATTTATAATATATCAATAACATTTTATTATCATATATATCAGAAAACAATATAATACAAATATGTTTTAAATATATCCTTGTCAACACACCATATTTGACTCCTTTTATAGTTCAAGCTATTCTCTCAGTCTTTGATTTATACCTTGATAAGTATTTTCTCAATGGATTTATGAAATTTGAATATTGGTTATCAGCTGCTGCTTCTAGTTTATACAAATATGTGATGAAGGTAAGATATCCTTTTTGTTGCAAAGGTGTGAATCATAAATTTACTAAAATCAATGTGTTAAAATACCATTTAGGTCAAATACATCAATTTCGACATATGTATATGATGTCATAGTGACAGAACAATAGATATTTCTGCCCAAAGTGTTCAGATGATATCATCCTGTGCATTTATCAAAATAAGATTGAAATGAATATGCAATTTTTGATTTTTTGCAATTTCCTGCGTAAAATATAAATTGCTCTAAATAATGCCTCCTCCTTTTAAAACTGAAAGTTGCCCTAAACATAGAAGACATATTTACCACTTGACATTAAATAGGCAGCAATCAATCTATCAAACTCAAACGTATACAAGCAGTAAAATATTGTTATGCATATTTAACCAATATCCTTTCTATTCTGTTATAGGGGCCTTTAAGTGGCTGAGTGGACTAAATACTTCACCTACTGCATACCACTAGTCACTAATAGACTAGGATTATAAGAATGTGGTATGATTGCCAATGAGGCAACTATCCACCAAAGTTCAAATGAAGTGGATGTAAGCAATTATCCACCCATACCATATAGTCAGCTAGGGATTGCCAGTTTTCCTGCCAAAGGTCAGTGGTTCTCTCCGGCATTATGGCTTCCTTTCCCCCCAAAAAATTGGCAGCCACAATATAGCTAAGATTGCCAAAAGGGGATTTTAAACTGTAACAATCAATCAATTAATCAATCAACATATTTTGTCTTTAAACTCACACAGTGATCTAATCTGTCCAAAGAAGTAAGGATTCTGTGGTGTAAGGGGTTTAAGATACTGAAGAAAGTTACTGGTCTCTGAGTACATCTTAAGCTGTACATCACTGATGTGTCCTGGTACTGGCTCCTGGTCATTGTAAATTATGTCACCAGCGCAGCGATATAAACCTGAATTTTCCATATTTTCAACCTGAAACATGAAAAAAATTGATAGATTATAGGAAATGTTCTGTAAACATCAATGGGACAGCAAACAGCACAAGTTTACCAAAAACAAACATTCAGAACTATTTTGTGAAATTATTTCATTAGAAATGAAATAGCACAGAAATTCTCTTCCAATTCATATTAAAAAGTAATAAGGTGCAGAATGTTGTTCTTTAAAGACACTCTATCAGAAAATTAAATACAAATTTTACTTTCCAAAAACTGGGACTTTACTTTTGCATTGATGGTGATGATATATCTATCAGCAATATCAAGTTTTGCACTGGATAATTATCCTGTTAAAGTTGAAATTTGCATATATGTGTAGGAAAACAAAATTTTTGCAGTATGATTAACCTGTAGAGACTATAGAAAGGGATTTTAAGCATTGACACTAACAAAGACTGAAAAAGTGAAAAGTGTTGTAGTTGCATAATGTTAATACTCTATTAGATGGGGGTATGCAACCATGTTTTTAGCACATACCATCAGCCGAGACTAGACACATTTTCAGTCTCTTTTTTTGTTTTTTCCTGTTTCCTCTCATAGCAATATTTTTCAAAACCACTTGAAGTCCAAAAATGCAATACAGTTATGATTGTTTAATGGATCTAAATGAACACCAAAAGTTATCTAAAAAAATTTATATTTCAAGGAATGACAAGCTTTCAGAATTCTGTGCAGGGCACTTGAACATGCACATTATAGAAACATTTGAAAACTTCCTGGAATCTATAATGACTTGAATAAAAACTTTGAAGACTGTACAGATATATGTCTTTAAGCTTTAAATTATACTTTTATCATCACATACTCCCGAATGGAACTGAAATGATAGATGGGTCTATTTGGGTCTGTGGTAATAACTATGGCCCTGAAAATCATTCAACATAAAACTTCCAGTCAAATGATGTTGTGTAAAAATGCAACAAACATGGACAAAAGATATAAATACATGTATATACAACAATCTGTTCATCCATTCTTTGAAGACATACTTTTCTTAAATCATAATATTCGAATAATATATAGGACTGTAAAAACAGAAGAATTTGGTGAGCACCTTAGGTGACAAGTCATTTGACACTGCTGCAGACAAGTAAAACAAACATGCAAAATCCACTTGTTAAAAACAAATACAATGTACATTATAACCTTTTGAGAGCTCATGATGCAGCACCATGTACATTATAACCTTTTGAAAGCTCATGATGCAGCACCTGCCTTATGTTATAATGTTTTGTGGTTAAATTCTACATATTAATCATATACATGTACACTTAAATTGATAAGCCGTATAATCTGTGTGTTTTCAGCATGTAAATATAGTGTTATTGTGTAATTTGTATTTATCTCCATTTATTTGTAGATGATCATGTCAATTGCAACCTTAACGCAGTGAATCATTTCTTAGGTTATTTGGAATATTCAAGGGAGCATCTTATCCTTTAATTCCTTAATTTAAGCTTTCTTTTTAAAGTTATCTATTTTCAGGACAATTGTCAATGCATTACAATCAAGATCATCACTTAAGGAGATCTAGCAGACATCATGCTTTATACTTCCTGCATGGAGTTGGATTATGCAGAGGGTCTCTTTGGTTTAACTGGCCAAATAATTAAATATCATTACATTCTTTTAAGAAATCTCTGGTTTTTTAAACAATTCACTAGTATCAGTTTAGTTGTCACAAAATCTTGAATCAAACTATTAAGATATTTAAAACGTACTCAATAAACCTAAAACTTCTGTCAATTTTTTTACTATCACTATCAGCAGGTGCTCTGTTCTGTTACAAAATCAAAAGTCTATAAAAAATCTTCGTGTTAACATTGTCAGCTATAGTGCTGTTATTTAATTTTCCATAAATGAACTATTGAAATTAAATCTAAAACGTTCATTGTTGTTTAAATAGGCTATGAAATACGATAACAAGGAATTTCCCTTGTTGCTACAACAAGCGGAAGTAAGCAAATAACCGGAACTAGTTACAGCTATTCTAATTCGGGAATGATACCGGATAAGTAGTGCTAAAATCATAGTAACAAATCCGAGTAAGACTCCAAATTGCTGTTCTATTTTTCCTTCTGCCGTGTTAATGGCTTCCTTTAGCTTTAAGTAGAGAGCAACATTTGGTGTGAGGGAAGGGTTTAAACAAATTGTTGTAACAAAAAAAAAGCACCCCATAAAATCAAATGGTTGTTTTCTCGATTGAATGATTGATTGATTGAATGATTTATATTGATTGATTGAATGGTTTATATTGATTGATTGATTGAATGAATGATATCTCACGGTTGATGTCTTTTACCGTTATCCATGGTCTAATCAAATGATTGAGTGATTGGTTATTTGATTGATTGATTGATTGATTGATTGGTTATTTGATTGATTGATTTATATAGCTCATAGTTGATGCCTTTTATCGTTGTGTAGCATACGAAATTTGATTGTCTTATCCATGGTATCTGCCATGCAGATGACACACACCCAAGAGGTGAAGATGGTTTGCCATACAATTTAGATAATCGTTAATAACTGTTATAGAAGCAATCAAGAGTATACGAAAATATTTAAACGATAAGGTCTGATCGACTGTAAGGGACTGTCCATATTAATTTTATGATAGAAAAAGTCTCAAAACCAATTGAGGAATTTTTTTTGAAAGCTAAATCTGAACGTGTATTTGGACAAAATATAAATAACATTTTCTTCGTATTTTGGAATATTCTTTTAAAGTATGAACAAAATTTGGTCTACAAATGCGGATCGTTCAGAAAAAAACAACAATATCGAGACAGGACGAATTGTAACTGGATTAACTTTACTTAGCCCCGAAATATTCTTAATACACTGCAACAAGTTAAGATTCAGAAACTCTTTCATAGACAATAATACATTGTAACACAAATTTATTCTATAAAATAGTTTTGTTCCATTTAAACTCTCGGTGGCCGAGTGGTCTAATTAGTCGAACTACTGCATCACTAGCCAGTCAACACTGAGGTTGTGAGTTCGAATCCCGCACTTGGCAGATGCACTCGACTACAATATTAATTGACTAGGACTGTCAGTTTTCCTACCGAAGGTCTATGGTTCTCTCCGGGCACTCCTGCTTCCTCCACCAATATAAACTGACCGCCACGAAATAGCACAATAGCAAAACACCAATCAATCAAAAATTAAACTCTTTCTTACAGTTTTTCAATTTAACACCGAAAATCTTTGAATATTGTATTATCGGTACTAACATTGATTTTTAATCTTTTTATAGTCATAAAAAATTATGATCCTAAATCCTGTCGAACTTACTATATATGTACTTTTATTTTGTCATTGCACAAGGTCATGCTTTTCTCAGACTGTGTATAATACGTCCTAATACTAAACCCAACGAGAAAAATTATCGTGAAAGATTAACCAACGGTGGTCAAGCATTGCGATTGGATCGTGAAAGATCTGGTATCGGATCGTGAATGCAATTAAGTGAAATTCTACTTCAAAATCTGTGAACAATCTGCTGTATTTTCAAAAGGTGGAACAAATCAGAAAAAAAAAATTGTGTCTGTCAAAATAATTCAACTTCCTAAATAATACTGTGCACTACTTTAACGAAAAACGCAGTATTTTTCAAGAAAATATAAAAGGCGATATACGATCCAACGAGAATCATTAAGAAAAATCACGTTTTGTATCTATAATGGTCACATTCCAATAGATCTTGATATATTGGAAACTTAATTTTTAGTGTGTCAGATTGTCCAGTAAATAAAAGTATGCCATTACTTAAAAGAAATAATATCATTTTTGAAAAAAAGTATAATTTTGTTGATTTTCAATCAAAATTGATCGTGAAAGATCAGGCATCGCATTATATTGATCATGAAAGACAAAGCGTGACCAGGCTTAATGATCAGAAAACAACATTTCTTTTACACATTGATATACTTGTAATTGATTGAAGCGTGTAAGCACTTACTAAGAACGTAAATTAACGCTTTTTTGTGAAATATGATTATATACATGTATACATATAGACCCATATTTAGACATGTTGTCATTTAAGCGGCAGCGCTAACTAGGAATCCAAGATAATAAGATCTCCAAGAACGCAAATTGTCGAAAAGTGAATATCTTTTGTATGTGAAGCAAGAGGGGATCTGGTGGTCTTCCCTGGAAATATCTTAATTGTGTGCGTTTTTGTTTTGGTAAGGGTTAGATCAAAGAAGCTATATCATTTAATTTTACATACAGGTATAATGAAGATGTAATTTTCATTAACAATACAAGCCTTTCTGATTGGGTCCCAGTAATTGTCCTGAACTAGAGATTACGGACACCACATGTACAGCTTCCTAAACCTCATATTTGGACTGCATATATACTCATATATACCTCGAATTTGACTACATCGGTCATCTCAATACCTGAATCTATGACAAACGATAATTTCAAATTTGAAATTATAAATTTTCCTCACCATAGCAGCAATTTTACAACTTCCTCCGCGTATGGATTATACATTGCTCAATTCAAACGATATTCAAGAGCTTGCAGCTGCTTCTCAGAATTTGTGAAAAGTCCTCAGTGCATGTCTGAAAAAGTAAAGAGCCAAGGTTTTGTGAAAGAATGTCTCGTCCTTTTTCTCAAAAAGTTAATTGGAAAGTACCAAGACCTAATAGATAAATATTCAGTGTCTACTTCACAAAGAACACAGTATGGTCTTAAATGATAGATTCTAGGTGCTGCTGAATCTGTGTAGAATTTATCTACTTTACAGTTTTACCTTTATTTGTCTTTGTACTAGTATGTTCCATTTGGGCGTATGACTCTTGACGTGGTTCGGTATATGCGCATCCAGTTTTCAGGTTGTTGGCTTTTGGCGTTTCTAATGCGAGTGAGTCCAGAGATGCGATTCGGGCACATGAGGTGTTTATAGTGCTGTTTTCATTTTGTATAGTACCCTTGTATTTATATTTTACTTATTTTGTATTCTATTGGGAAAGTGTATGTCATTGTGCTTGACTATACTGACTGCACTATCAACTACAAAAACTTTTTTTGTTGATCGACGTCTTTGTTTGATTTAATTGTAAGTGTGTTTGAACGTTTAATTCAGTTGTGCTGTATGTCTGTGATGTATGTTTACACTGTTTTGCTTGATCCCAGTAATGGCAACGTTTACCAATTATGTCTGTTTGGGTTGCTCAGACACCCAATTTGGCTAATTACGGAATATAAAAAAAAACTGTCATTCAAGTGGGCGTTTTAGCTAGCTAGAAAACCTGGTTTAACCATCCATTTTCCGAAGAAAATGCCTGTTCCAAGTCAGGAATATGACCGTTGTTTTCCTGCGATTTTTTTTAAACAATGTTTTTTTTCCAATTTTTTTATAGTTATGACTGTGCATAAAAAATAATGGAAATCAGATGAGACAATCTGAACTTTTCATACGACATAAAATTTATGCAGGACGGGTAGACGGACTTGTATTATTATAAGGTAACTAGTCGGTGTAGTATTATCAAATGGCATTGAACGTTACCATCATAGCCCTATTCAGAAAACAAAAGTGAAGCGGAATAAGTCATGCAAATCATATCTTTTGCTATACCAATTACAAATATAAATTACCATGTCACCCCTTTAAAGAATGATTTGATCGTAATAACGAATGAGCGGCAACAGATCTTTCGCGATCCATTACGATCATCAAAAAGCGGTACCCGATCTTTCACGATCCGAAATATCAAATTTTTACAAATATTCCCATTTTTTCAAAGTTTCTGATTAAACTTAAACGACATAACTGTAACACCATTTAAAACAGTAATATGGAACGATATTTTTAAGAGAAATGTTGTTTATGCATTAAAAATATGAAAACAAATTATGTTTGTTTACATTTTTTGTTATTGAAATGTCGATGAGCAATTTGCCTTTTGTAGTTTTGTAAAAACGGTGTACATTTTTTATTTTTTCAAAATTTGGCATTCATAAAATTTAGATTTTTTATTGACCTTGCATGTCTCCTCTCGATAAGATTTCCTTCACGATCCTATACCAGGTCTTTCACGATCCAATCTCAATACTTGACCACCGTTACTTATTCTTTCACGATCATTTTCTTGATACATACCGAATGACAGCCGTGAATCCGTTGGATGTGTTCTGATCGATACTTCTACCTGGGAGATCATAATTTATCTATAAGTTGCAATTGACTTTGAACTATACATGTTTTTTTCTGCTTCCTGCCAATATTATGAATCAAGTATTTCCAATTGTTTTTTTTTTCTACAGTTTTTCTAATGTTGTGCTATATAATCGCTATCCCCGGTTAGAGGAGGAGAGTTGAGCGTTCATAATATAAAAATAAGGAGATGTGGTATGATTGCCAATGAGACAACTATCCACCAAAGTTAAAATGAAGTGGATGTAAGTAATTATAGGCAACCGTACGGCCTTCAACAATGAGAAAACCCATACCGTATAGTCGGCTTTCAAAGGCCCCGACATGAAAAATATGAAACAATTCAATTGAGAAAACTAACGGCAAAATTTATAACAAAACAATTTACGAAAAACAAATATGACAAACATGAACCAACGGCAACCACTGAACTACAGGCTCCTGACTTGGGACAAGCACATAAAGAATGTGGCGGGGTTATTAGTAGACAGCTCTCTCACAATAAAAAAACCCATACCTGTAAAATATAAGGACATACACTACAACAATCTAATTAAAATATAGAACTCTGATTTCGTTATACTTCATACGTATGGAATCAGAGAACTATATTTTAATAAGATTGACACTACAAGCACGGGGACGCATTCTACAGCATCCACACAACACGAGCAACAAACCCTGCAATCAATATAAAAATATTGAGATGTGGTATGATTGCCAATGTTTAACCTCGCCACATTCGTTATGTGTCTG